CTTGCCGTGGACCCAGGGTGAGCTGCAATAATATATTTAAAAGAAAAAAAAAGAAAAAACAAAAAAAATATTTAAAAGAGAAAAAAAACAAAAACAAAAACAAAAAAAAATCAAAAATATCAGAGCCAGGTTTCGATCCTGGGACCTGTGGGTTATGGGCCCACCACGCTTCCGCTGCGCCACTCTGATTTTGTTGAAAATACTTCTCCATTTAAAGTATTAATATAAAAAACTCTTAAAAGTTCTGAACTAGATGGATAATATCTGAACTGAAAACTCGAAACAGCAACACAATCACAACAATGGCGTCAATGATAGTTCCATCCCCTCTCCAACCGAAATTATTCCATAATACCATCTCTTCCTCTTCTTCTTCTTCTTCATCAACGGTTGGTCCAATTTCAATTTTTGTGGGGTCTGTAAGGAGTATCGGATGGTGCAGAAAAAGCGCGAGGAAACTTGGCCCAAGCTGCGGCTCAAGAACAACTTGCTGGTTCAGGTTCGGTAAAAATGGCGTCGATGCTGAAGGTGCCGGTATTTATGGAAGCCAAGCCCGTGATGATTTCGACCGTGATGATGTTGAACAGGTTTTCCCTCTACCTTTTTTTTTCTTATTGTACAGTTAAACGTCTATAAATTAATAGAGTCGGCACGAGCAAAATTCCATTCATTTAGCAAAAATATTAAATTATCGAAATAATTTAGTAGATGTTTACCGAGCAGATCAGAAGAAACTATTATTTAAGTGACATTATTAATCTATAGAGGTTCTACTGTAGTAGTTAACTAATTCAATTGCAGTATCTTCATCTTCATCTTCATAATTTATGTGGATAAGATAAGACTGTAGATTAAGTCTATATAAGCTTCAGTTTAGTTTCAAGATTAAGGTAAAAAAAATAAAAATGTGAAGATGTTATGTAGGCACTCTTATAGTAGCAGCAAGATTGGAAAGAATTTAAGGTTTTAAACTTGAGATTTCAATTAAACTACCTGGGAATTATAGTTTCTCATTTGTAGTAAAACATGGAGGCAACTAAAGGCAGCTGTGGTAGGGGTGTTAATTAAACGAATGGGGTCGAGCCAAATGCATGCTTGTTCAAACTTGTTCGAGCTTTCAAACTCGTGTTTTAGCTTTTTCCGATAAGCAGTCGAGTCGAACTCAAATGAGCTTTAATCGAGCCGAGCATGAATCGAGCTCGAGTAGATTGGTTTTTTGAACATACTTCATTTTGTTCGGTCGAACAAGTCGGAACAATTTGATGCCAATAATTTTTTTTTTTGTTTTTTTTATTTTGGGTGAAAAAAACAGTACTTCAATTACATGGGGATGCTGGCAGTGGAGGGTACATATGACAAAATGGAGGCTCTTCTGAACCAGAACATTCATCCAGTGGATATATTGCTGCTAATGGCTGCTTCGGAGGGTGACCTTCCCAAAATCGAAGAGTTACTCAGAGCCGGTGCAAATTACTCCGTCAAAGATGCCGATGGTCGCACCGCCTTGGATAGGGCGTCAACTCCCGAAATCAAGGACTTCATTCTCGGTTTCTCCGTTCAGAAAGCATGATTCTTTTTTCAAGTTTTGCGACTTTTTATTTAATGCGACTTCCCGACTTTTACCCTGTTATATGCTTTTAGCCTAAATTGATGAACTGGAAAAAAATCAGAGAATGAGATATTTATTATTTTTCCTCCATAGATGCTACTATTTGTGCATCATTTACAAAATATACGTACATACATACTTGAAATCACACAGAAGAAAGAGTACTCTCTACTTGAAATAAAGCTCAACAAGCTTCTTCAGAGTTTCGAAGACACTCGTGAACGGATTAAACTGAACAGCCCGTCTCAGTTCCAAATCGGGAAATTGATTTGTCAGAGCTTGTTCCATACCGGACATTGACATCATTGACGCCAGCTGGCTATTCGACATCACCTCACAGTCTTGTGGGGTATCTTTGATTTTGCTAGGATCGTACCCGAAATCCGCTAAGTAATTTTTGTACTTCTCGATGAATTCTGTTCCAGGAGTAGGCGTCCTCGAGTATATCTGAAAGTATCGTCTTTATCAAATTGTTCAAGCAATAAGAACTGAAATATGTGAAGTTACAGAGCATGCAATAAGCTTCTTTTCTTTTTTTTTACCTGTATAAAACCTTTGTCCTTAGCTCCAGAAACAAGGGCGTAAGTGTCGTAATCGGTCGCTATTACATCGTAAGGCAATTTGGGAATGAAGGGCAAAGTGGGAAATCGAAGGTAACACTTCTGCTTGAACGTGTCCTTCGTTTCTAGGTCAGTTTCTTTCATATCCTTATCTTCTTCGGAAATGCATTGAACCCTTCCCCTTATACCTGTAATATAACCGTCCGGTCCTCCGTGAACACAAAATGTATCAACCTGTATGGCAGGTTTCTCCATATTGTATGTATATACGCCCTGCAATTATGTCCAAAGAAATAATCCAGAAATCAGGCCAACGCTTTCCACTCAAAAAGGGCATACTTGTCATTTTCATTTCTATGAAGTATGATCTGCCCTGCCTTTGATCTAAGTGAGGCACTATACTTCTACGTACAAATATTCGCCCCAACGAAAACTAAAAAGGAATCGTTTCAGAATATTGATAATGTAATATGTGATTATCTTATATTAGGAAATTGTGATTACACAATCCTTGTATTTATTTATTTATTTATTTTTTTAATCAAGAGCTTGAAACCCCAAACGTCAAACATTTGACAAAGCTTGATTCTACTGTCTATCAAGCCTAATCATAATTCCAAAACGAAGCCAAAAGTTTATCACGATAACAATGGGGATCTTCTTGATTGAGTTATCTGGTTACCTGAGTGCAGTGGCAATCTTCTTGACCTTGACCAGCGAAGCCACGTTTAAGGGAAGCTACTTCGAACCATCTTCCGGCATATCTGGCTGGATCGAAGTTCTTTGCAGTCATGCCCTTCATCGTCATCATCATCATTCCATTTCCTTCATCACTGTCCAAAGGAAGACTCGGATAGTTGTCTGTAGCACTTGCCAGCTGGCATATATTGTCGGGAGAAAGATTCGTTGCACTTGCCTGCCCAACAAAACAATATTATCTTTTGGTACGCAACTTCAGATGGATGTGATATGTTTCTCTCATTCGAACAATTGCAAAATAAGATCGAAATACAAAATTCCAAAGATGAATCGAAAAATGCTGAAATTTGACTCGTACGGCGATTATTGAGGAACGGGATTTGATTGCAATACCCGTCGTTTAACCCAATGACGAGACACAACTTTTAATTGGTCGAATGTAAAGGAAAGTTGCAATAACAAAGTATCGGTAAACAGTAAAAAAACACTAACCAGATTCGGCTGAGATAGCAATATTACTGATGCTGCAAGACCTGATATCGCTTGTTTCACTCCAAATTTAACGGAGATTGGTCGGTTGATCGAGCAGTTTGAAATGTATTTACTGTGCAATATTCCCCTATCGTAATCGAATAAACTACATTAGCGTTCCATGGCAGAATACAAAAATAGCAAGGAAAACATTTGCACAGAGTCCGAATACAATTTAGAAAATCGACAAACATTAACTCGGAGAACTCGTAAGAACATATCGAAATTGTAACAGGAAACGTCAACATTAGCTTCAAAAATCAGAATCGAAAATCTTCTGATTCCAACAGTAAAACCCCCAAACCCCCAAAGTATCATAATCAAACATAAAAGAAACAGAAACAAAATCGAAAGTACAGAACTAATGAGAAGAAGAAGAGGTAGAGTTAATGGAAAATGATCGTGTTACAAATGGGTAAAACAGGAACAATTTCTGAAGCAGAGAGAGAGAGAGAGAGAGAGAGAGAGAGAGAGAGAGAGAGAGAGAGAGAGAGAGAGAGAGAGAGAGAGAGAGAGAGAGAGAGAGAGAGAGAGAGAGAGAGAGAGAGAGAGAGAGAGAGAGAGAGAGAGAGAGAGAGAGAGAGAGAGAGAGAGAGAGAGAGAGAGAGAGAGAGAGAGAGAGAGAGAGAGAGAGAGAGAGAGAGGCGATCGGAATTGTACGTCGTAGATAAGCGGCGAGGATAATGCGATTGAGCAATCACAGGCGGTGATAGTGCCGACACCATTTTTCTGATTTGTTTACAGGAAAATTGAGGGATGGGTTTCCTTCTGTTACAAGGACGCCATAGATTTGATTTTTTGTGATTTTTTTGTGTGCGCGCAGAGAGAGATATTAGAGTGATGAAAGTGATTATAAGCTCCTGATTTTAGCTTTTTTACCGTCTATCAACTACTTTTTTGTCTCTCAATCTATCCGACGTCGTTTTACATGTCCTCCTCATTTGGATATTTTTTTCTGCAAAATATTAAAAAGAAAAATTGACCTCCTCCATCCAGCTGTCAGCTGTCGAGAAGTTTGGACATCAAAACATCTCTGAATGAATTTTTCTTCCATCGATTCTAGTATTGTTAGAGCAACTCCAATGCATGCACTACGTAAAGTATCATACTAAAAAATTACTACTTTGATATTCCAAAATTAAAAAATCCTCCTTTAATGGAAGCATTAAAGTGATACTTATATTTTGATACTCAACCACACTGAGGTATCAAAAATATAACTACCCAATTAACCTATCACTATTTGTCACGTGCCATTTAAAAATATAATTATTCATATACTTAAAATTTGATAATCTATTTGATACCTGTGATTGGAGTGAATTTTTTTTCAAGAAATATCAAAGTATTATATCAAGTATCAAGTGAATGTTTAATACTCCAATTTGATATCTCCCCCATTGGGGACAAATTACAAAATCGACTAAAATCGATTAATAAATTAACTATGTTTCTTCTATAGTCGAATTTATTATTGTTAGTATACACTTTAATATTTTAATCAACTACTCAAACAAAGTAGTCGATTCACGTCTATTTTAATCCAGAATTTCGCAAAAAAAAAATATAAAGTAATCTAAAAATTCGAAAAAAACATAACAAGAGGGTTACCACTAAGTATCCCTATAATTTATTTCTACCGATTATGATCTAGTAAAAAAAATCTGATTTTAGAGCAATAGTTTCATTTAAATTCTGAAAAATTCGTTCTTTCTTGTTTGCTTGGAATTGAAACATATTTGAAATTCTAATGATTTATTTTGTTAATTTTCGATACTAATTCCTAAAAATTGAACAAATTGCGCCAATTTGTATCGGACACGTTTCCTATTTCCAAACAAACTTTTTCATTTCAATTTTCAAAATTTTGATTTTGGATTTGAACTATGGGCTTCTTATTTGCAATTATAATCTTGCAGTATATGGGTTGAATTTCCCTCCACCAAGGCCCATCCATACAAACACAGAAATATCCGTCGGGTCGGGTCGGGTCAAAATCCGATCCAATCCCTTGGACAACTTGGTCCTCGTCCTCGATGATAGTGATTTGGGGCTCAAGATTTGGTTTGACTTATACTACATAATGATCCATTAATATTCACATGTTTACTCGAAATTAAGCGAAACATATTCAATTAAATATCATTAACTTTTGAATAAAAAACAAATGATTGTAAAGGCCGAAGGGAGGTTAATTTAGTAATTTTAACAATTTAGATAGTGTAAACTTTCACTGTTTTATTGATGTGGGGGCTACACGTACGTGTAAGGAAGCATAAATGTACCATTGACCTAGTCCAATTTATTAAAGACTTGAATGAAATCTTAAATGATTTCATTAATGTGCTGACAAGATTGGATATAATAAATAAAACAATTGAGAATAAAAAATATATGTATATAAACGGTTGGTGATTTTATTTTTTTCAATAATTATTATACTTTAATTTGAGTTTGGTAGTGCTATTTTTAAATATCTCAACCAACTATAGGGCCATAGATTTTAGGGAAAATAATACTAATGTATGAAAATAGTTACGTGGTCTATTCTAATGTGTAATTGGCCTCCACCTATGTCTTTTCTTATATAATTATTTATTCACCATTATTAATTTTACTTCTTCTCTTCCAAAAGTAGGGGCACAATTGTAATATTTGGATAACCAAAAATGGCTTTACTGAAAAAGGAAGCTTTAAATAATTATATGTGGTACCTTTCATCCCTTTCTCTAATCTCTCATTATATTTTCTGATTATTATTTTTTAATTGATTAAATGTAACTTAAAATCAATAATTCTCAATCAAGTGCTCACCAATTTACACATAAATGTGTGTATGGTGTTTGTTTGAAAGGGGCACGTTTGGTAGAAAGTCCAAAAGAATTAGCTAACATATATTAAAATGGCCTTGTCATTCAAATTTTCCAAACTTGGATTTTGGGACTTTACCAAATTTGGGTCCTAAACCCTTTCATTTAATACCTCTAAGTTAGTAGCTAATTGTAATAATTGACATTTATCATCTATTATTAATTTAGAGAAATCTTAAACTACACATATTTTAAATCATCAGTAAGTAGAATTATTTGAAAGCGAGCTATAATTACTGTAGTATGTCTCTATTCTTATATTGTCGTTTTCGCTTGACTTGAATGATGTGTATTGAGCGTTTATGCCGGGATAAAATATTGATGTTGCATCACTCACCTTGATGGATTTAAACATGAACACTAGGGTAGATCTCTGCACGCAAGTAGATTATCTAACCACGCAAAGATGAGCAACTAGATCTCTAACTTTCAAAACTAGAGCATGTGAACTAAGTCGGAGGTTGATCCGACGTAAACACCTTCGACTTGCAAGTCAGATGTCTGGATCAAATGTATGATAGAGAATACTCGATCAATAGAACTCATGAGATTTGTTCTAAAGTAGAATATTTTCATAATAATAATAATTATTATTATTAATAAAAGCCAACCAATTGCAAAAATAAAATAAAAAAATATAAATGTATGAAAAATGAGGTGGTCTATTTAAATTGCAAAATGACCTAATTCCTTGAGCAGCGTAGAAACCAATAATAGGCCGGCAAATTGGACTGTTGTTATTTGGTTACCGGTCAAAAACCGCTCCGCCACCCACCACCCACTTCAAACATATCCAATATTACCAAAATGCCCCCACTTGTGACTGACTAATATTACAGGGTCGTGTAATTGTCAACTAATTACACCACAAAAATCCACCAACACATACCACTTTCCTCCCACTGTATAATTTCCATATTACAAAACCAATAAATCATACATCAATAAATATCACAAAATACATACACAACTATATATATATATATATCAGCAACCACATGGCTACTCAGAAAGCCCACGACGCCACCGGAAAGATGAGTCAGCTCTGCCGGAGAATCGTCCACGTCAACGTCCGGTGGAGCATCGTGGAGAAAGTTGCTATACTCCGGCGGTTCTTTAGGATTATCTGGGAGAGGATTCTTGTTTGCTCGGTGCGGGTGCGCGGTAGTAATAGTAGAGCTCGCTACAGGAGAATATTGTCCACCAGAAGAAACGACGCCGTTTCTCCTCTAACGGAATCCATCGGAGAAAACCACGCTGTTACGACGGCGTCAACTAGCGGCTACGAAACCGACTCCGATTTGGTCTCCTTGAAGATCAGTTTGTTGGGTGATTGCGAGATCGGCAAAACAACTTTTCTGGTAACTAATTAATTAATTATATTATATTATTATAATAAATTAATAATCATCTAATTATATTTTAATTAATATATCAGATAAAGTATGTGGGAGATGAAGAAGAAAAGAAAAGTTTGCAGACGAAAGGGGTAAATTTAATGGACAAAACATTGCATATTGAAGGTGCAAGAATTGCTTTCAGATTATGGGATGTTGCAGGTATAATTAATTAATTAATTAGGTTAATTATGGGGGGATTGATTGATTAATTAGTTTTAATTTGGTGACTGTCGGAAAAACGAAGGTGACAGGCGGTCATTTGATCAAGTCCCAATTGCGTGCAAAGATGCTGTAGCAATCTTGTTCATGTTTGATCTTACCAGTAGATGTACTCTCAACAGGTAAACATAAATAGAAAATTCTTATTAATTATTAATTACTAATGAAATTGTCCTTACTAATTTGATGTTGCTAATTATGCATTAATTGAAACTTGTTTGATGAGATTAAATGATTAATAAATGCAGTATAACTGGATGGTACAGCGAAGCAAGAAAGTGGAATCAGGTACGAAAATTATTAACTGGGTTTCGCGCTTTTTAATTAGTTAAACTAATAATTCAGTGGTGGTCGTTACTTAAAAGTAACACGCTTTTAGCAAATTGGAATACGATTCCCCTTGTGATGGATGATTCTTGCGTTACGAAAAAGTTACTACAAAAGTGATTTTTAGTAATAATTACAGTACTTGGGGTGCAACTTTATTCAGATTTTATTTTCGATATGGCGGTGGCAAATGCAGAACGTATTTTAGTAAGTGTAGGACACTTATTTTGTCAAGTTCTTTTTTCACGTCCGAAGCAGACGCAAAGTTAGTAACATCGCATTCTAGCTAGACGAAACGACATAAAAAAATTGAATTTTGTCAAATTTTCTGATGAAATTTTGTTTCTTGATGCAATAAGTTCATTGAATTTAAAAATGTCTTACGTCTACTAAAAGTCGTCATTTAAAATAGAGGAGGATGTTTATGTTTTGTGCAGAATGCAATTCCAATACTAATAGGGACCAAATTTGATGATTTTGTTCAACTTCCACTCGATATTCAGTGGACTGTCGTCACTCAGGTAATTAATTAATTAATTAATTACTCCAAGAATATTACTTAATATGGTAAATTTTTATTATTTAATTTTCGGAATATTAATTTACGATTTCTAGTAAGGAGTCATTTTCAAGAATGACGTGGCAACTAAAATTGGAATTAAAATCACCCCCCATATGTATATTAAAACAAAAACGTGTTTTGTTTTATTTCAACTTTTATGACCGAGTCGTCTCGGGGTCAATTGTATTTGCCATAAGGAAGAAAACGTGTTGGAGATGGTCTCTGCTTTGGTTTATTATAGGATATATATTTGTAAATAATAATAATAATAATAATTAAACTTTGATTAATTCTGATGGCATACTTGTAAAAATGCAGGCACGTGCGTATGCACGTGGTATGAAAGCAACACTATTCTTTTCAAGCGCAACGCACAACATCAACGTGAACAAGATATTCAAATTTATTATGGCCAAGCTCTTCAATTTGCCATGGACCCTCCACAGAAACTTGACTCTTGGTGAACCTATTATTGACTTTTAATTTTTCTTATTTCCCTTTTCTCTTCCAATTAATTAATTAATTGTCCTAACTAATTAATCATACATTTTTGTAAATAGTTTAATTGTAATATTAGCCAATATTATTACCTTTTCCATCTATCCCTTTTTGGTGCAATTGTTGTGCTTGGGATAGTGCAATTGTTGTGCTTTTAACGAAACGAATCGGTTCAATACAGAAACAAGATTTCATTAGTTCAGATCAGTACACTTCAGAATTAAACAAAAGAAGTAATAGTAATAATGATAAATAATAAAACGGAAAGACTCAATCGTCTTTCGACTTATTTATAGTATACCCTATTACACAACATAAACTTGCAAATGTGGGGAGCTAATATGATCCATCAACTTTTGAATATTTTCACGGTAAGTCGATTCCATGTCGATGCCGTCAGCGCCTCTCTCCTTTGATAAACCAATGTGTAAATGTCGTAACACCTTCCCGTATTTCAATAAATACCTTAGCACAGTAATTTCATTGTCATCCCCCTTAAAACCTTTTACTTCAATTTTCTTTAAGGTGCTCTCCACGCACGCAGGGTACCATAAATTACTCGAGAACGGGTGCTCCCTCATACCATATGGAGGTCTCCAATCCTATATATATAATTACCAAAAAATAAAAAAATATAATAATAAACGTGTGCATAGTTAGTACGTATTAAAATGAAAATACATGGATCTGATAATCACCTCGAAAATTTTCTTGGGGCCGATGTCGATAGAAAGAACCTCCAATCTAGGGCAACTATTGAGGAAAAATGTGATCCCATAATATTCTTGGATGTGCAATTGTGTCTTCAAAACCAGGCGCGTCACGTTTTCGAGTCTCGGTTGGAGCGATAACGAGTTTTCCGCCATCGGCACTACCTTCAAAACGACGAGACTTCTTCACTAATTATCGAAATTAAATTAATTAAATATGCATGCATGTAGTGTACATACGTACCTGAAGCATGTAACTGCAGACAGTGAGAACCTTAACACTCCAAACTTCAGACAGCAAATTGTAAAGCATCTCGGGATCGCCTTCCTCGTCCCACGTCGGCTGAAGTGAAAAGTCGAAAATAGCCTCCGTCATGGTTCGGTTGTACTCCATTTGCAGGTAAACGGAAAGGCCCGAGTACTGAAAGAAACTCAACGACGGAGCGCTCACGGAAATGAATTCGGGCCCGGACAATTTGTCGAGAACCAAGAACTTTAGGTTCGGCGCTTCGATGTCGAAGCTTCCGACGTTCCAGATTCTTCTAAGGATTAGGGTTTCGAGCGATGGGCAGAGCTTGAGAAATTTGTAGAGAGAGGAGCCTGGAATTTTCATCCATGCCAAGCAGACGTTCTTCAGCCCGGAAAAGGTGATGGATTGCGGAACACGGAAGTTGCATGCAGACAATCGGAGGGAGTTTAGAACTGCGTGTTTATCGAGGGTTATCGCGGGAAGATGCGGCGGCGTTTGAGGGTTGACGGAAATATCTTCTTCGTCCCAATCAGGGTCGGAGAAATCAAGATCGAGCGATGTGAGTTCGCGGTGGTCGACGGCGAATTTAATGCAATGCTGCACCGCCGGAAGATGAAAGTCCGGTGAGTTCGAATAGACGAAGCGGTACTTTTTGACTTTGGGTTCCGTGTAGTTTTCCGTCCAGAAGCGGAGGAATGCGACGAAATGGCTCCTCTGAGTGGCCCTGGTCTCGCCGGAGCTTCCGGCCTTGACGAAGAAATTCTCGTCGAGGTCTATGTTTCCGGTGGACTGCCAGAGGCGGAGCCACCGTTTTGATAGGACTGAAGTTTTTACAGCCTCTTTGAAGGGGAGACAGGTTATGATGATGAGGATGAGAGCATCTGGAAGAAAGGAGAAGCGGTCAACACTATCGTTTCTGTCCATTTTTCCGGCGGGGTTAGGGTTTCACTCCGGCGATGAGTGAGAGAGAAATTAAAGTGGTGGATTTATAGAGACGAGGGAAAGTTGAAGATGTTTTTTTTTTTTTTTGAAGAGGTGCTTTTGATAAAACGTTGCATCGATTTGCAATCCGGCGCAACTGTTTACTCCGGCGAGCGGTGGTTTTTGGTCAAACCAAATAATACTTTTAAGTTTTAAAATACAAGATTGAAAAAATTGTAGTTTTAGTCCTCTATGTTTGCCTATTTATGGACTTAGTCCCCTAACTTTTCATGTTTCAATTCTACATGCAAATAATTTTACAAGTATGTGTTTTTTGTCCTATTTTGCATGAATTTTTAATTTCACGATGCGACAAATAAACTTGATCAATTTTACTTTTACAAACGCTTAAATTATAAATTTGACATCAAACTTAGCCGTGATATATAGAACATTGATCATGTGAGATGATGAATTTGTAAACAAAGTTAAGAGGAGTAGTTACAGATTTTAATCTGTCCATATAAATAAATTACGTGGAGTTTGTTAGCCACATTATTAATTAAAGGAGAAAATTCAAAATTCAGTTGAGATATGACAAGAAATTGAATTGAATGTAAAATTGAAATAGGACAACCTTAAGGACTAAATTCCTAAGCAATTAATAGAAGACTCAAATTATAATTTTCCCAAAATTAAAAGGTCTATTTTATATTTAAGAAATATAAATTGGTAATATTATGATATGATCTCTTTGGAATGCCAATAATCACTTTGATTCCATCATACGTATTGGGAATATGTTATACTTAAAAAGTATTCTTCTCTTCTTTTTTTTTCAACTAATTTCTATCTAATTGATTTTTGTATTCTTCTATTTATATTAAGTGCAAAGCTTCCTCGAGAAAGCTTTGCATTTTTAGATATTTTCAGCCAAATCACGCCCCCCATGTTGCGATATGGTTGTGGTATATCGCGATATGGTCTCCTCTCTTCTAGAATATGCTAAATCCCGGTCCCATATCTCGACATGGTGAAGCTCATATCACGATATGGTCGTTGTGTCGACTTCAAACGCTGTTTTAGCCCATTTTCAGTCCCAAACTGAGAAAACTGCATTCTAACAAAGTTGCAGCCTTCAAAATTGACTTTTCAAATCTAGTTGAATTAGCTTAATTGAAGGTCGTATGCGAGAGTAATGTTTGAAACACCACAAAGTGTCATATTTTAAGGGTGCAAAGTGGAATAAGCAAAATATAAAAAACCTTTTTTTCCATTAGTTGACTTCTCTAAATGAATTATTTCGTGGAAATATAAAAATTAGAAAAATCTTTTCTTCCCAATAGTTGACTTGCTATACTAATTATTTCGTGTATAAAAAATTAAAAAAAAAATAAAAAAAAAACCTTTTTTTTTTCCGCAATAGTTGGTTGACTAGCTTATCTTTCCATAACATCATCCTTCCACGATATTTTGGCTCCCTCCCTTGATCTTAAAACAAAGAGGTAACGTAATCGAATCCAATGGCTGAGAGCGCAGTGTCGTTTCTTCTAAACCACCTGTCAGAGTGGATCGGCCATGAGAAGCAACTGATCGGAAGTCTTGGCGAAAACGCCGAGTTCATACGAGACGAGATGGGCCGTATGAGGGCCTTCGTAAGGATGGCAGATGAAAAGCAAGAAGTCGACCCCTTGCTCAAGGAATGGCTCAACCAAGTTCGTGACATTGCGTATGACGCCGAAGATGTTTTGGACAAGTTCGTGCTCCGATTTCCAAGCCGCCGGAGAGATGGGTTTTCCGGCCGCATCACACAGATCTACGCCTCGGTCAAGAATCTGAAAACCCGCCGCCGACTTGCTTCCGAAATGCATGCAATTCGGTCGCGCGTGAGCCGCGTTTTGGAAGGTCAGCAGAGATATAGAGACATCTATGGCGGTGCCTCGGGTCGAGAATACGTCCGCGACGAAACAGCGTTGTGGTACGACGGCCGAGGCGATGCGCTGCTGTTGGAAGAAGCAGAAGTTGTGGGCATCGAAAAGCCAAAGAAGCAACTAATCGAGTGGCTTTCTTCGACCGGCCGTACTCGCGGGGGGCTCAAGGTGATTTCAGTTGTGGGAACCGGAGGTTTGGGTAAAACAACCTTGGTCAGAAAGGTGTACGAAGACGACGCGTCGGTGAAGACGCTCTTCAGCTGTCACGTGTGGATGAACGTTTCGAGCTCGTTCAAGCTCGACGTGTTTCTGAGAACCATGATCCGGAGGCTTGTCGGTGAAGTCAAGCAACCACCTCCGCAGGGACTAGAAACCATGGACGCCGATGAAATGAAAGAATTCGTTTACAAGTTTCTTCAGAGTAGAAGTTACATTATTGTTCTAGACGATATCTGGAGGCTCGACGCGTGGGAAGCCATCAGATACGCGTTTCCGAGAAGCGGAACACGCGGCTCCATCATCATCATCACCACACGGTTTCAGAGCATAAGCCACACTGCTAGTATCGAAAGCAACGGACACGTCTACAGTATGGAACCTCTGTCCCAAGAAGAATCAAAGACGTTGTTTTGTAGAAAGGCCTTCTTGGGGAGCTCCTGCCCCAGTTACTTGGAGGAGATTGCCGGAATTATATTGAACAAATGCGAAGGTTTACCGCTCGCCATTGTAGTTATCGGCAGCCTCTTAGCTACCAAGAACAACAACATCGAGGAGTGGAGGAAGTTCCATCGAAGCCTTGGTGACGAGTTAGAAGGCAACCATCTACGGGGGATGACAAGATTACTCTCCCTCAGCTACTACGACTTGCCTTACTATCTGAAATCTTGTTTCTTGTACTTGAGCATCTTCCCGGGGGATCGCAGTGTTTATATGCTGAGGCTGATTCGTCTTTGGATATCTGAAGGGTTCATACAGCCAAAGGAAGGGAAAACATTGGAAGAAGTTGCGGAGGACTACGTGAAAGAGCTCTTCAACAGAAGCCTAATCCAATTAGAAGAGACACCAAACTACGACAGGTCGATCAGAGTTCGAGTTCACGACCTTTTGCATACAATGATCATATCCAAGTCTAGAGAACAGGGCTTCGTAACCATAGCCAACAGCAGCCAAGACACGCAGTGGCCAGCTAATAAGATCCGACGCGTAGCGATTCATGGTTCGATAGAGGATATGGCAGGCATCAAAGGCTGTCAGCATCTCCGGTCCGTGCTAGTATTGGACAATGTTAATACGCTAACTGCGATTACTTTATCTGATTTTCTACGCAATCTTTCTAAGCTACTAAAAGTATTGGAACTAAGAGGCACTTTGTCATCAGGGAAAATCCCGGATGAAGTTTTCAAATTCTATCACCTCAAGTACCTCGGCTTGAAGTACTCGAAGGTGAAATCGATCCCGAGATTAATCGGAAAGCTCGAGAATCTGGAGACGTTAGACCTCAGGAATACGCAAGTGACAGAATTGCCGGTCGAAATTCTAAAGCTCGGGCGACTTCGACACCTCATGGTCTATAACCTGTACATAAGAAACAGGGGCTACCACCCCTTTGACGATGTACACAGCTGCAGAATCCCATACAGAATAGGTTCCCTTTCGTCCCTACAAACACTTTCAGACATTGATGCTACTCGAGCCGACGTCGACACCACAGTTGTGAAGGAGATTGGCAAGCTAACGCAGTTGAAAGAACTAGGGGTTATGAAGCTGAGACAAGAAGATGGGAAGGATCTATGCACCTCACTCGCGAAGCTCACGCGCCTCGAGACGCTGCATATAGCTTCAAGCCAAGAAGACGAAGTCCTGGATTTGCTGGATCCTGTATCCCCGACTCCACCAATCAGATCGTTGGAACTGAGAGGGCGTTTGCTGCTGTTATGGATTGCTATGATAAATAAAATAATTGAAGATAAAAGGGCAAAATCTGCATTCAAGCTCCAAAAGTGAGCATCAAATCCTTACAGAAATAGAAAGATAGATATGGCAGTCTTGCCTTACATTAAATTAGGGTAGTCTACTACTACACTACCTAGCTACAGCTACTAATCCAAACTTAGCTTTTTACTTCAGCTTCTTTCTCTATTTAAAGCAAGCCTTCCTCTTCCAGCAAGTTTTCTTGATCACTACTCCAACAACCCACGCGCTCCTCACGTGCCCCGCTTTCCCAGCCAAATTAAAAATAGTAAATGCGACTTTATTAAAAGAAACGATTCTCTTGAAACGACACCGTCTCGTCCTCAGCCAAATCCCTAATTCGATTCCCAAACCTTACAGCTGCACCTGCCGCGGTGGATACCCAGTCTTCATGGGCTGACCCGGTTGCTTTTGAGATGGAGCAGGATCGAAAACAACGATGATGATCCACTGGAACATCTTCAGAATTTGCCCAATTTGATGTATCTCGAACTCAGCCATGCCTATCAGGGAGATGGGATCTGCTTTAAAGCGGCAGGGTTTCAAAGGCTGAAGAAATTGTGGCTTATAAGATTGGAGGGTTTGGAATCGGTGAAAGTGGAGGAGGGTTCGATGCCCGTTCTCCGGGAGCTGTATATTTGGGGATGCAAGTTGGTGGGTGAGGCTCCGTCGGGGATTGAGCACTTGTCGGATCTTCAGTACGTCGATTTTTCAGACATGTCCGATGGATTTGTGGCGAAACTTGAAAAGCAGAAAGAAGAAGAAGAAGCGGGTAACTGGAAGTTGGCACACATCCCTAAAATCGAGATATACACTTTAACCGGCGGCGATTGGCGAGGTCGATCCTTGTAGATCGATCTTTTAGGTCATGATTTAACAAAATAAATCATCTCCGACACTATCTCCGGCGTCTTCCTGAACCCTAATTTCTGAAACGACGTCGTTTGGAATCCGGCAGGGAATGATTTGCAGAGCTTCGAGATTCGAATTTTGTAGGTAATTTGCAGAGCTTTGAGATGCAAATCTCCGTCCGTAATTTGCGGAGCTTTGAAATGCGGATCTCCATTGATAACTTGCGAGCTTTGAGATGCAATATCCGTCGGTAAATTACAGAGCTTTGAGCTGATGGGGAAGATGAACAGTACTTTTATTATCAACTCTTTTTTGGGTTGGGGTAATTTTGTAATTTTATGAAAACGAGATAGGGGGCAGTGTTTGTAGAAGATAAACATCAGGGGTTTCTTTTTAATTGTTTTTAACATGAGGGATTTTTCGGCCATTCGAAATTACACAGGGTGTTCTGTGCAATTACCTCAAATTGAATATTCCACTTGCAAATAAAATAGCGCCAGATTGTCTGACGCGAAAATCAGCCACGTCACCACCTACCTACCAAATCTATGCAGATTTTGAAAAAAAAAACAAATTAAACATCTTCATTTTTATACCCCACAAATAATAATAATAATAATAATAATAATAATAATCTGAACCAAACATGGCCTTCACAGCTGCTTCGTCATCGTCCTCAGCTAGCAAAACCCAAATCTCCCTAACCCCACATTCCCCACTCACTTCCATCTCGCCCTCCAAATTCAACAAATTTACGCCGCCTTGCCCTCTGAATTCCCGTTCCCCGTCTATTCGTTGTACGCTCACCAAACAGCACGCGATGGTCGAGGATCGGGTCGATCCGGCGGCTCTTCTGCACCGACCCGACTCGTTCGGCCGCTTCGGAAAATTCGGTGGTAAATACGTCCCCGAAACCCTAATGCACGCCCTCACTCAACTCGAGGCCGCCTTCAGATCCCTCGCCACCGACGATGAGTTTCAGGTCCTCTTTTTTCCCCCTCTCCATTTGCTGATCGATAGGATTTTGCTCTGTTCAGATTTAATGGCGGTTCTGATGCTTGATGATTTTTTTTAGTGCTGTTCTGTAATATGCTTTCAACTTGTTTTCACATTTGTTCTCTACTGCAAACTATTGAATACGGTATCAAGTGCACTTATAACTGCTTGGAGACTTATGCAAACCCCAACATTATGGTGTCTAAGATTTATCTGATCAAGTTCAGATTTTCAATTCCTGGTGTAGAAAAAGGATAATGGCAGTGACCGGAAAATGTAATACCTTGAATAAGAAGGTTAAAAATAAGAACATCATGCTGTGTTTGTAGAGTAATCGATAAAGTTGCTGCTAGGTGTTGGAGAAAGAAGTGAGTAGCCAAGTGAAGTACGCGCTAATCACATATAGAGGAAGTTTGTAGATCTACAGATGGCAGCTACTTAGCCAGCTTTCGTATAGCTCACATGATAAATATGTGATGAAACGTTTGTATAATGTAGGATAAAAGAAATTAATAAGCAGCAGCCTGCTGAGATAAAAATTTTATCACCAGAAAATGTAAAAACGAGCAATACGCCTCTGCATTCATTTCAAGTCTTGCTCAAATTATTGTTTTGTCATGCTGTTCCTTGTCATTTAATAGGTGTTTTTTTGTTCCATAAACTGCAGAAAGAGCTTGACGGGATATTGAGAGACTACGTTGGAAGAGAAACCCCGCTTTATTTTGCTGAACGACTTACCGAGCACTACAAACACCCTGATGGTAAAGGGCCCCTTATATACCTCAAAAGGGAAGACCTTAATCACACCGGGGCCCATAAAATCAACAACGCTGTTGCCCAAGCTTTGCTTGCCAAGCGTCTGGGTAAGAAACGTATCATAGCTGAAACTGGAGCTGGTCAGCATGGTGTCGCCACAGCTACTGTTTGTGCTCGGTTTGGGTTGGAGTGTGTTATTTACATGGGTGCTCAAGATATGGAGAGACAGTCTCTTAACGTATTCAGAATGCGCCTTCTTGGTGCCGAGGTCTGTGTTTCTTGTATATTTACCCGTTCTTTTGGATTGTTTCACTCCGCCCCTCTTAGAGTATGAAATTTGCATATGCTCTCTGGTCTTGCATTGGTTGATTAGGAGATGGAGAGGTTTTCAGCTTGATAGACGTACTTGCTTATTCGATAACTCCTGTATTCTTGGATATTGCTAACAGAGTTTGAAACATTATGTATTATCTTATCATGTAGGTTAGGGCAGTTCACTCCGGCACTGCCACGTTGAAGGATGCCACATCCGAAGCTATACGCGATTGGGTGACGAACGTCGAATCAACTCATTACATACTCGGATCTGTTGCCGGGCCCCACCCATATCCGATGATGGTAAGGGAGTTCCACGCAGTGATTGGCAAAGAAACAAGGAAACAGGCATTGGACAAGTGGGGCGGCAAACCTGACGTGCTGGTTGCATGCGTCGGTGGAGGTTCAAATGCAATGGGTCTCTTCCACGAATTCGTTGAGGACAAAGACGTTAGATTGATCGGTGTGGAGGCTGCAGGTTTTGGCCTGGACAGTGGTAAGCATGCTGCCACGTTAACTAAAGGAGAGGTGGGAGTTCTTCATGGAGCTATGAGCTACTTGTTGCAGGATGACGATGGGCAGATAATCGAGCCACATTCTATTAGTGCTGGGTAAAAACCGTAACCTTTTTCTCAAAACATATTTTTCAGTGACCAAGAGTTATTTATTTACAGTGTTGCTTTAATAGACTGGATTACCCGGGAGTTGGACCCGAGCACAGCTTTCTGAAAGACATTGGACGGGCCGAGTATTATAGCATCACTGACGAAGAGGCTTTAGAAGGTCAGTATATTAAAAAAAAAATCTGAAGTTTTTTCGCTCGTCTGCACTTGTATTTCTAGTTGTTTGATTATTTTGTTTTCTTTAGAAGAGGATTTTAAGACAATAGTGTGGTGTGAAGCTGATTTCGAATTAAGGTGTTTGATTAGCTTTTGACTTGTATGTGCAGCTTTTAAGAGATTATCTAGGCTAGAGGGCATTATTCCTGCACTCGAGACATCTCATGCACTTGCTTATCTGGAGAAGCTATGCCCAACTCTTCCTCATGGAACTAAGGTTGTTTTGAACTGCAGCGGCAGAGGCGATAAGGACGTTCAGACAGCCATTAAACATTTAAAGCTTTGATTTTTATTTTTATTTTTAAAAATATTTTAGATCTTTTTGTTGCACGAATAAAGCCTCTTGTAACTTAAACAATAAATGATTTCCTTGGCAGTCTACGAAAGCTGTGATATGCCAGACAGTTTCTCCAAAATCCGATTAAGTTTAACAAACTGTTCGTTTTAATATTCGTATTATGTCGTTTGTGTGTTAGTCGTTGCCATGTTAAAAGAAGGCTCTGTAACAAACCAGAGTTATATGGAACGCAGGATATTTAAATTGACAAATCAATCTTCTTATTTCCGATTCTCTTTACTTGTGAAAATTGAATTCTACGATCATAGAAGTATTAATGCGAAGTTATATTACGCTCAAACATGGATATTCCGTTCCATCGACAGTTCCTCCATTCATTATTCGAACTGAACTTATGATCTAAAAATCGTCTTCTCAACTTGTGAGATATAAATACAAAACCACGAAATGCCGCAAAATATTTAAATTGTATAAAGATTTTTCTTTTTTTTTGGGATAGCTCTCATAATTATTGATTATCTACAAGTGAAGCTGCTGCTCCACTTAGTAAATGTAGTTGGCTACTATATATAGACCAAGGATAAACTGCGCAGGCGCAGTTCTTGAGAGCTTCTAAGCTACTACTTCGTCATACTCGATTCCTACTTTCAAGCGTCTTCATTGCTTCGCCTGTTGAGTAAAACAAACACGTGTCAAGAATCTAAGTGAAACGGGCAACTAAATTAATATACCTTGAAAGAAAAAAAACTTATTCAGAAACTCTGAGGCTATCGGATTAGTCTTGAGCCTGTGATCAATATTAAATTGTAGGATAAAAGCAAAGAGAATTCGTACAATCATAACAAGTTTAAATAATGTGCTTTAGTGCTCAATAGAGACACGAGTAACCACGAAATAAAGAGTGTAAAATAAGGGCAATCGGCTTGAGAACTTCACATAGAAGAATAATTTGGAGGGTAAAATAGGAAAAAATGAAAAAAAATACAAGAAACAAAGACGGAAACTACTTCTTCGGGACCATAGTCTCCAGTGCTAGGGTATCGTAAAATTAAAATTAATTGAGATATAATTAGTCGGTAATTCAGGGTGCTAATGGTTATAGACGCGTGGCTTTTTCAGGAAGGTGTAACAACACGCATTCTTTTTTTAAGTGTCGTTTAATAAACGGGCCGATTTCTTTGTCTTGCACATATGATGAAATGGAGCTATCAAAAAAATCCACGAAAAGCGAAGATATTTAGCGAATTACCTGGGAATACAAGAAAGTTCCAAGAATCGCGATTGCAGCTCCGAGAGCATTGACAGGTTGTACGGGTGTGTGGAAAATGATGATAGACGAGACAATGACGGAAATACGTTTCATTGTGTTTCCAACACTAAAAGTCAAAGGAGATATCTCATCCAATGACATGTACGACACCTGATTGTAGAAATGATAAAATATACTCTGCGCTGCCATCCACCTATTTTCAATTATCAACCACACAAAAAAAAAATCAGGACAAAAAATCGAAAAATGACAAAAATTGCACAAAATTCCAAGAATGCTCCCAAGAATCCAACATCTATAGCGACCCGAAAATTCCAAAATTGACGAATTTTAAGGAAAATACTCAATAACTGTAAGACCGATACATAATACTAACACTCAATGTTTTCATATTTTACGATATTTGACAGATGAGATGTGTTATTCACTTATTCTTATGACTTATCGAATCCATGTAGGCAATACATTATCTTGATGCTAATGAATATATAAAAATAGGAAAAATAAAATAAAAAAATACGAGTAGATGGGAATTATGTTATTACCAAATGATTTGCGGTCCAATTTGAGACATGGCTTGTTGAAAACCGACGGCCCACATCTGAGGTCCCTCCACGGCAAATGCAAACGGGGTAAGAATTAAGAGAGACAGCATAGATAAGCAAGCATAATAGTTCATCCCACTAACGGACTTTCCCTTCATGCCCTTCTTGGAAAATATGTTCCGGAAAACAAACGCTAAATTCGATATCATGGCCCCCATAAAACCTGATAATTGACAGCCATCAACGATTAAATTTTTTTTTTTCAATAAAAAGACAATAGAAAACAACCTAAAAAGATGGGCAAGGGTGTAATTTCCATCAAAGCCCCTTGGAAAACAACCAGAAACTTCCAAAGGTAAGCTACCTACTACATCAAGAATTCATGTGACACAATGACGAATTTTGACTTAAAAACAAGAATCGACAAGCTGGCAAGATTGCTTTTTTTGCTACAACCCCGGTATTTCATTGCAATAATCGAAACATAATCCCAAACAATAATAATTGTTGAAGAATTATTATTATTACCAGTCATGTTGAAGTTGAGCTCGGTTAGAGCGGCAAGACCGCAACCACCGATGATCGGAAGAAGCGATAAATAAACCGAGGGGGGAAACGACTCTCCCAAGATGAATCTCGAAACTAGAACACTAAAAGCAGGCTCACTGCTCTTGATTATGTGAGTGAATGAAACTGCCACCTTTGACATACTCACGGTAGCCGCCACATGCCCAATTGTATGCGCCAACGCAACCTAAAATTAAATTCAACCGAACCCCAATCATCAAGAACAATCAAAGATTCGATTTTTCGATAAAATACACACAAAATAATGTAAATAGAAAGAGACCCAATTAGCATCACAGATCGGAAAATTCACCAAAATTTGCCCTAATTTTTTCTTTTTTCTTACCGGAAAAAGGGTTTTCCAGAAATCGAGATCGGTTTTCGGAACTTCGGTGATTCTGAGGGCCCATGAAATTAGCATGATCAGAGAGCCAGCAGCTAAAGAGAGCGTCGATGTCAGCCATGGAAATGGGTACGCGTTCAGCACTTTCTTGTTGTAGATGTTGAAGATCACGTTCAGCCCCCACCACGTGGCGAAGTAAATCCCGATCTTCAGTTTCCTCGCCGCCTCCGACTTCACCTCCGGCGATTCCAGAATCGGCTCCGATCGATCGGCCTCGTACGCCTTGCAGGTGACCGGAGAAGACCGCCGCTCCTCCTCGTCGACGACTGAAAACGACCCGACCTTCGAGACGTGGAGCGGTTTGGAGAGGGAGATAGTTTTGCTCCGGAGGGGTTTCGCCGCCGCGAGAGACGGCAGCGCCGCCGCCGAGTGATGGGTCGGGAAATTCCTCCTCGGCTGAAGAAAACTCGAGCCGTGGAGAGAGAAAGCTGACTGCTTGAGAGAAGAGATCATGGCTGTCGGAAAAAGTATTGTACAGAAATCAGAAAAGTTTCAGACGAAGATTGAAGAATTTGACAGGGGGGTTGCTTTCTCCTTAAATTAAGTCGACAATTCCAAAGTAATTTTGGTTGTATATGAATATATATATATATATATATATATATATATATATATATATATATAAAGATGAAGAATTTGTTGGAGGCAAAGGGACAACAAGAAATAGAGATAGCTGTTCACGGCTCTTGTGTGTGTGGAAGAGCCTGAACAACCATGCGTATAAGAAAGAGTCTGCAACTAATATTTATTATTTATTTCTAGAGAGAGAGGGGTTTTGAAGAGAGAGAGAGAGAGAGAGAGAGAGTGGGTTTCTTTCTACGTTGGAGTGATAATAAATGTTTTAGGTGGGTGAGTTACGGAGTGTGCTTTGAATTGTGAAATCTCTGGCAGTAAAGCTCGAAGGGTTTTGGTGTTTATATGAGAGAGAAAGAGATGAGAGAGAGAGAGAGAGAGAGAGGAGAGAGAGAGAAAGAGGCGAACTTTATTATTGTGTAAAATTGAGGTGGCGGGCGGGTGTGGAACTTTTCTCAGCAGTGTTGTAATTTAGACCGAGATTCTTGCTACTGCTGCATATCTCACTCCAACAAACAAAAGTTCTTCATCTTTTTTTTTTTTTATTTTTTTTTTATTTTTTTTTTTTTTATTTAATTATTTGAGAAATGAAGTTATTTAATTTGATAATTTCTATTAGGGATATAGAAAAATAAAGGGAAGTGTGTTTGGGTGAAGCTCAGTTTATTTTAGTTACCGTAAGATTAATTTATGGTTTAATTAAATAATTAGATTTTATTGGATGTTTGATTAGGACTGGCACACAATTATAGAAAAAAGGGCTATAATCTTGGCTAATTGTAAAATTATTTATTAATATAATTATTTAATCTTATATTTTATTTTAGAAATTAAATGAGACTTAGTTAAAAAAAATAACATGGCTAATTGTAATTATGGTAATAAAAAATAAAATAAGGTAAATTATGGCCACCCCTAAGGTAATGTCATTACGAAAAAACTCTCTTGTTTGGGTAATTACAACTACCCCTCAACTATGAATTTTCTTACACGTCCACTCTTGCGATGTCAAATTTATTAGAATCTTCTAGATTACGAGGAATATTTTTCGATCTGTATCCGTTTTACCCCATTCGAGCTCCACGTTTTGAAACAAAGATGATCATAAGATGAGTCTCTTGCTTGTAAACATGTATTTTCATTTTGCACAAAACGAGTACAAACTAGAGAACATTCCACGAAATCTAAAAGATTATGTTGAATTTGACATTATAAGTATGGACGTGTAAGAAGATTCATAATTGACAGATGGTTATAATTAGTCAAACATGAAAGATTTTTTCGTAATTTGACATTAGCTAAGCCGTAAGAGGTGGCCGTAATTTAACCTAGCAATAATAATAATAATAAAAAGGGCATTGTATATGTTGTTGTTGTTGTATTTGGACTTATTCTTTTATAAGAAAATTCCAAAGCTGATGTTGGATTCATTTGTTTGACCCCTTTAATAATACTATAATACTACAACTCTTTAATTTTTTTTTATTGTGTAATGGAAATAATGCAAAATAAAATAAAACTCCATAAAAAGGTCACAAAAGTGACTTGCGCAGCATCATGTTTTTCTTTTTTAATTATTATTAAATACCAATATTAAAATATGTGTAGGTGACTAGCAAATTATTATGTGATAAAGAAAGATACATCTCCCTTTAACTGCTGACCCTCTATATCATATTCCACTTATGAAATAGCATATTCTGACTAAAGCTCTAAGCTGCCATTAATTACAAGCTTCTTTCATCTTTTATTGTATTTAGATAAAATTATTTAAATTGAAAAAAAAAAGAAAATTATTATTTTTTTAATATCTCCATATAAAGTTGATTCAAATCCATCATTAGTAAATGAAAAAACCTGTGAATTTAAATTGGACAAAAGCATGAATAACCAATACAAAAGCTATATATATATCTATATTTTCTGATCAAAAAAGCATCTATGAATCAAGATATGAGCCTCAATTCTAACAAGTATGAGCCTCAATATACATGAATCAACAAAACATTCAAAAAGGCTATATATGACAAACACAAATTCTTTACTCACTTGCCACAAAAAAAGACAGACAACCTTCGACCACGTAACGTATTTGACGTACTCGAAGATGTTCCAATGTCCAAAAACTTGCTCTCTTCCCCTATCAATAAAAACAAAACTAAATAATTATTAAAAAAAATATCAGGTGCTCAAACTAGCCAAATAGAAGAAATTAATTGATTACCACTTTTACGAGAGTAAAAGCGGGAAAAAAAAAAAGATTGGAGATTTTTTTTACCAAAAAAAGCTACGTCGTGATTAGTAGTGCACAATGCAAGGAGCCTTTGGGAAGTGCATGCAATTGTTCTTTTATCTTCCATTGGTTCATTTGATCCTTCGAAGAATTTTTGGACCAGTAAACATTCATTTTCTCCAACACGACTGCGTTTTTCAGCAAAAACCTTAAAAACCATATTTCTGTATTAGTTCCACAAAAATTCGTGTAGTCGACTGTCTTGAGACTGGACAAGGCACAGTCCGGCAACAGCTGCATCCCCGAATCATCTTCACATTGACCAAGTCCCTGAATTCAAGAAAACAGTTAATTCACTAACTGAGTACCTTTTAAATGATAATGCTGTTGAATTTGGCGTACCTCACAGAAATGAAGAAATTCTAGTTTCAGCATTCGTCGGAGCAATTTAATCAACAGTTTGATCGAATGTTTCCGAAATTCACCCCTCAACTCCAAGAAAGTCAGGTTCTCAAAGTTCGGAAGATTATCCATCATGTCCTCCGCATGAAACAGAGCCTTCACCAAAGAATAGGGATATCGTTAATTATATTTTATTTTTTATTTTATTTTTTTTAAAAAGGGCTTCTCGTGAGATGGTTACCTCAATGGTGCCACTGGATATTCTGAGGCTACTAACATTTACGAGCCCACCAAACAACTTCACAGTTCGATGACCAATCTCCCGCCGCCTCCCACTAAGTGTGGGAATGTTAATCAATGCAAGAGCCGAAGATGAATGACCGTAGATATTGATCTTGTTCGATAAGTAGCCACTGTACTTGAAGAATATCAAATTTCCAGCATCAATACTGATCTCACACCCACGAAGATCATCAACAGAACAAAACGGTAAATCGTCAATTATCAAGATCTTGAGCGAAGGTATCGTTATGGAGATTCTCTTGAGATTCATCCACTCACAATCCAACACAGCCAGCTCTTCAAGAAAGGGGCAACTAGAGAACAAACTTTGCACCGTGTTATTATCATTCGGAAACGTAACAAGACGGAGGTGCAATGTTTTAAGGCTCGGAATGGATATACGAGGTGGCAGATGGAGATTGCAATTCATTTCTAACTTTATAACCGTGAGGATTTCATTATCGAAAACACATGCAGGTAATACGAAGGGCTCCTCCACAAAAAGACAAAGATCGAGCTCTTGTACGTTTTGTTTGACTGCGGATAATATCCACTCGTTGACTCGAGATGCACTGAAACACACACGGCACGAGAGCCGGAATCTTTTGACATTGGATTTGTCTCTTTGTAGAAGAACTTTGTCGACGAAGTTCATGAAACACGTCACATTTATTGAATGGCGAAACTCGAACTGACTTGAATATAATAATGAATCATCGAAGTCTAAGATGGGAACAAAAGTCCATAAATACTTCCATCTTTTGGATAACACGGAAGTTGCCACAGCCTCTTTTGTGGGAAGATACGATAGAATGTGATCGAGAATGCAATCGGGTAAAAGGCTGATACTGTCATAACCACCATTAATAGCACTCTGCTCCTCATACACCTCTTTTACATTGAACCTTCCCATCGATTTGCTGTTCATATTTCTATCGAAAAACAAAAAAAAAAATCGGTAACAAGTCCTGTAGTTTATTCAATGTAATGATTCTGATCAGCAAATAGAGAAATACAGAAAAAAAAATTAGAACAAATAAGGTTTCATGTAGAAATCAACAGTAAAGGGGCTTTCTGCTAAAATAGAATATTTCCAATTTGAACTTGGAAAAAATCTTCAATCTACATGATTACACATTCAAAGAGCATACATTGGCACACAAAAAAGAAAAAAGAAAAAAAAATTAGACACAGAATTAAGAGAAGCAAAAATCGATGGAATTAAGAGATACGAAAATCGAATTAAGAAACATTTCTCGAAGAAATGAGCACAGAAAAGCATGCATTTCTATAATCAAATAAAACCTATGGCTGCCCCTGAACCCTACGCCACTCTTCCCCAAATATAAGCAGAACATTCATTATAGAAAGATAAAGTTACTTAGTTACAATAGAAGAAATAAATTACTCATTTGTAAATTAAAGCAAGCAAAACAGAGCTCTGTGTGTGTGTGTGTGCGTGTGTGTGTGTGTGTGAGAGAGAGAGAGAGAGAGAGAGAGAGAGAGAGAGTACAGGATCATGCTCCGAAGCGGCGGAAGGAGGCGGCGCGGGGGTGGTGGGTGAGGGATAACGTGAAGCGCGTGGATTGTACGAAGCAGCAGAAATGAATAGTGATGCGGCGCGAGCTCCACGACAAATGCGATTTTGGTTTAATTAATGATTTCAAGGAAACACGTTTTATAATTTACGTTTTTACTTCATATAAGGAGACTCACTAAATTCCAGTTACATATAGAAAAAGGAAAAAGAAAACAAAATCAAATAATTAGGATTTTATTACTTGCTCCTTACATTTTACATATATTACTATTTTTGTCCCCTCTATTTCTATATTATATTTTATTTTAATTTTTGATTAAATTTCTATATTATTTGGGGAACGATATTTTTTGGGGAGAAAAAGTAATGTTTATCCTAATTTTGGAATGAAATTGTACCGTTAAGATTCTATTTGAAAATGTCGGGAGAAGAATTTGAAAAATAAAATATAATATTAAATCTAAGGGTGGTAATTGGTAAACGAGCCGAGTCGACTCGCGAGCCTTATTTATTATTATTATTATTTTTTTTTTTTTTATATATGTTATTTTTATTTAAATAATGTATAATAATATAAAACATTATAGAAATAAATACAAATATTAAAAATATGTATAATTACAATTTAGATTATATATTGTATTTTATTAAAATAATTTTAATAATAAAATAATAATTAAAAAAATATTTAAAAAAAAAGGCTTGAGCTCGAGCTCGAGCTCGAGCCAGCCAAAAGAGGCGAGCTCGGCTCGTTCACACCCCTAATTAAATCCCTCTTGTTTGTTTCTCAATTTCGTCGTGATATTCAACACATGCCGTTGTGGTTATTAAAATCGACGATTCGATTCGATTTGAACCATCTTCAATACAAATCATTGAATATATCTTAAATTTTAAAAAGCCGTACGAGTATAATACTATATTAATATACAGTGCCTCATAAATACGTGTACATTATTTAATATATTAATATTATAACATTTTTAAGGAAACTTAAAATAATCTTACGATTTACGAACAATTTTGACAAAACAATTCTCGATTCGATTCATACAAGCCTATAATAAAAACTAAAAATCAAGGTGCCATTTTATTTAATCCAACATGCAAAAAAAAAAACCTAACATACCACAACTACATTTGCATGCAAGAATACAGAAACACTACCACAAAATACAAAGATCAAAACTCATGCTGGATTTCTATCACTAGCAACACAATCCTCGGGCGAAAACGAGACAGTCCCCTTGTTCAAATCATACGTAAACCTCGTATTATGCTGCTGCATTGCCCCCAACACACTCACCCCGTCACTCGGCACAATCCCGATGCAAAACAAACTCTTGTCCTTATTCAAAAGAAAAACCTTTTCATACCCAACCCTAAAATCCGCGCCACCCGCGAAATGAAACGTCATAGATACAAGCACTTCCTCCACCTTCAACTTCAACTTCGGAACCATTTCATAGCAAAGGTCGAATTTTTGCACCGACTTTTTCTTGAGCTTAAACTTATCGAATCTATAAGCAAACACCTTTTGAATTCTAGCGTAAGCCGCTCGATTAATTTTCGAGAATATAGTGCTTGTGTCGATGACAAAACCCGTGTTTCTCCTAGTGGAGGAAAATCCGTCCTTGTGGTTAATTTTCAGCCGTAAATTTCCGATACTTATGTCGATCAACTCCAACGCGTACGCGTGAGGGTAGTAAAGATGATGCACTAATGGTGTCGTTTGTACTTGTCCTTTACCTTTGATGATGTCATTTCCGAATCGGAGGTACCCTTGTGATTTAGAGCTCGAAAACAAGCAATAGGAGAACCGCCCTCCGATTATGGCGGTGATCTGACTGATTAGCGATTCCGGCGACTTATTCATGGCCAAAACCCCGCCTGAGTTTTTAATGCTCTCTTTTGCGCAACCGAAAGTTAGGTTATTAATGTGCGTTATCGTGTTTTTTATTGTGAAAAACAAGAAATTCTCGCTTGAGGTTTTCCCCAAGGTGGATCCTCCATTAGGGTATGTGATGTTGTAGATGCAGTCTGGCTTCTTTGGTTTGAAAATCGAGTTGTTCTTGCAAATAGGGCTGTCGTGGGGGATTTTCTTGTAGGTACGTGATTTTTTCGAAACGTAGGGACTTTTTCGACATTTTGTCCACGTGAGGGGAGTTGCAAAGGTGTCCAACGTTAGGTACACGTTTTGATTGGGTTCTCCGATACCTAATTGGACCATGAAGTGGTCCCCGGAGTTCTTGAATGGACCCGCAATTTTCGACTCTTTTTCGGAATTTTTGGGGATGAGCTTGAGTTTGAGTCCTATGAGTTCTGATGTTACAATGTGGAGGAAGAGGAAGAAGAGGAGGATAATAAAAATTGAAAATATTTGAATTTTTTTAGTCATTTTATATTATTGTTGGTTCGTGAGAAATAATGATTTTAATTTATTTATTTTTAGTTTTTAGAGGGATGAAGTTGTGGATTGATGAGTGTGATAAATTTGAACATATCTCTAGTTTGGAATTTAAGTTAATTGGACATGTGGAAATATGTTCTAGCCTATAGATAAAGCCATAAAATCTAGAAGGATTTGTTCACAATAAATGTGTCACAGTTAGTTCCGAAAATCGGATGGATCAAGTTGGAATTAGCACTTTTAAAAAAAAAAAAAATCAATTTTTTCGAAAGCAAAAAATTAATTGTATTTTAATTTTCAAATACATTCGAAAAATTCAAAAAATTCGGATCAAAATTCTTTTATCCACATATAATATAAAATACATAATAATATTAATATTATAAATGTAATTCTCGGAAAAAAAATCATTTTTTGAATTAATTTTTAAAATATAAATTGAATTGAACTTCTTGCACATGCCCCCTTGTACTTTCAATATAACACATGACCCCCTTATATTTAAAAAAAATATTCTTCCTAATAAGTGGAATATCATAGGAGGTTATGTGTTTATATTAAAAATATAAAGGGGCCATGTGCACAAAGTTCAAACTACAGGGGATTATGTGCTTATATTGAAAGCACGGGGGGTCACGTGCACAAAGTTCAGATTACATGGGGTTATGTGCTTATATTGAAAGTAAAGGGGGTCACGTGCAGAAAGTTCAAACTATAGGGGGTTAAGTGTTATTTACCCTATTTTAAAATTAATGAAAATCTTATATAGACGAAGAAGAAGAACTGGTTCAGTATATAAAATCGAAGCAATTGAAAACTCGCAGCTTCTCAGCAGTAATGAAATTAATAGAGATTTGAGATTTCTGGAGTTGCTGATTGCTCGCTGCAACTCAAAAGTAGTTTCGTGGAGGGAAAATGGCGGATCGTGATAAAAAATGGGATTTTCATCTCCGGTCATTGTCTTCCTCCGCTAGAGATTCCAATTACGCCACCGACCCGGCTTCCGATCCTTCGATTCTTAATTCGGTTGATTTTACCTCTTTGAACTCGTAATCTATTGTCCGATTCTTGTTATGCACACTGGGTGTACGCATTTTGCCGATTTTTTGTCCGAATTTTACTGATTTTTTGTGTGGATTGCATAGGTCAAAGGGGTGTATGAACTCTGCAGAAGCGAGAAATCAGAGGAACACGTTGCGAGGATTTACCCCCAACTGAACAAAATATTTCAGCGATGCGTTGCTTCAATTTCGCAGACTCAAACTTCCAACGGTCTTCTTTTGCTGGTATCCTATTTTCCTTGTTTTTTGCCTGCAAATGTTTTCTTAGATTAGATATTAGAGTGTGTTTAAAGACTCAATGGCGAATTCATGTTCGATATGAAAATTTCTCTTGTTTCCTTTTTAATTCAATGAAACTGCATTGTGATACAAGAGTAGTAGAGTTTTAGTTTGTGAGTTTCTGTTATAGGTTCTAGGTCCTTTTTGGTTATGCATGTAATTCTAATCCCTTGCTTATGATTTGCTTCCTCTGCCATTCAGGCGATTCTTCAATTCTTTCTTGATTTTGGAGATAGAGTTTTACATGATGCCGAACCTAGTCTGAGGACATTTTTCCGTTCGTGTTTGAGTCGGTAAGGAAAATTTAATGTACTCTTTTATTGGCTAGAAATTTGAAAATGAATGGAGATATCATGTAATCTTCCGTATGTATTCCTAAATGGATATCCAGTGACAAATAAAATTAGAAAGATTAATATGCCAATTGCCAGAATTGGCAAATGAAATCTGAATAGAATTCAATCTTCTGCTTGTACTCGGCATTTCTCCTGAGTCAGTGGATCACGTATAGTTTCACTCAGGATCATTCTTAGATTCCCATTGTTCACGTTTTGCCATGTCAAACTCATGTTGTTACCAATGTTGGATATTGATTGGGAGCTTTAAATGTGGTCGATCGGCCCTTTCATTATTGATTTTGTAAGACTTTGAAAAAACAACATACCTTTTTCTTAATACATCATGAAAATTCATCTCGGGTTTCAGCAGCCAAATTTGATTTGGTATTGTTGTTTCTTTACTTTATGAGCAAGGAACTACCTAACAACTGAAATCTGCAAAAGCTATGAAATCTACCTGAATCAAACTTGTTTCTAAAATCTAAGTGCTTTCTTAGCTACAGTTTGTACTTCTCCTGGCCAAGTAAAAACTGATATGAAGGTCAATTCAACGGTTGTATCTTTTCTCCTTCCATTTTCTACCCTTGTATGCATTCTTTATTCATTATCTTATCTGAAATTATCAACTTGATAGTCATCATACACCTGCCGGTTTCTATTGTTCTTGCAGCGAGTTTGCAGACCCTGTCGTTGCTGAAGCAACTCTTGAATTTCTGAGCTCAAACAAAATAAAACATCTGAAAACTTTTGCTTCATTACTCCCACAGGTATTTCTTTGAATCACTGATTATAGATGCTACTGTTGTATAATAAATTTATCTTGATTATTTAGAATGTTAAAATATGCAAAGTAAAGTCTAGAGAACTTCATTGATTAGTTAATGTTGTAGCCAAGATTTGCATATTCAATAAAGTAAGATATTAGTGAAAGCATTATATTCGGAAAGGAACTCTTCTTTTCCTTTTCATTTGTCACAGCTTCGTATATGTCTCACATCTATTGCTAATTTGCAGTTTTTCCCCTTAATGCTGAAACTGATTGCATGGAATGGAGAGAAGTAAGTCTTATAGGCTTTAGTTTTCCGTTTCTATAGAATTTCATTGGGGAAAATGATCTTTATAGAATAAGTTGTGATTCAAATGAATATGTTTGCACTCATTGTCTTTTGACTTCAATTATCTTCTTTTGGTCAGCAATCATTTTCTTTGTTATGCAGATTAGAAAACTTATTCTTGAGAGTTTTCTCGGGATTAATCTCTCCTGGATCCTTGCTCCCCTTGCTTCCAGCCCTTGTAGACTTACCTAGTAAGTTAATCTATCTTGCTTTGACAAAACTATTTTCCAGTTATTTCTCGGTTATACTTCTATGTTGTGATGTATTTCTCTGTGTTTCGTCTAGTATTGGTTGTGGCACTGGAAAAGGTGGAAAAAAGTTCAGGCTCGCTTGTAGGAAGCAGCATAGCTTCAATTCAGAAAAGCGCTGCTCCCGAGGTTGTGTGGAACTTTGAGAAACGAGACTAATGGAACTTCCGTCTCCTTATAACTGATGCACTTCCTCCTGTTTGATTGAATAAGATGCTGCTCGCTCTCATGGATGAGGCATATACTGGGTCAACCATAGCAGACGGAGGCGCAGACTCTGAATCTGAAGATAACGCTCCTATGGCTGCTTCTGACCCTCTCTTTCTTGATCTCCTCAAGGATGAGAATGATGGTCTTGCAGTATGGTCCTTTCTGTGCAAATGTTAGCATTAAATCAATGATATATAAATGTTGTGGTGATGTTTTTACATAATTTATATTAAGTGTTAGGATATTCACTTCTTAATCTTACTAATGGGGCTTCAAATGTATTCTCTTGTTTGTCTAATTGGCTACGCAATTTTTATCTGGTGCTACGATTTTTTATTTTTTTTACCAAGATTAAGTAGATTACTAGTGCGACCTAACAAATTGGGAGAAATGCCTTAGGTATTAAATGTTTTAGTTTATTTGGAAATTTATTATGGTTAATCATTTCTGTGTTGTTTCAGGAGCGTCATTGGACCACTCCGGCAATGAGTGTAGCACTGCAGGCAGTAATTAGTACTCCCCTGTCGAATAGATTGAAAGAAGCACTTAAAATAGCACCGAGGCTTTTGGATTCCTATTTCGCATTAGCAGTTCAGGATGCCAATGATTGTACGTGTACACTGATTTTCTTTATTCTTTTTGGTTGAAATAGGACTTACATGATGACTTTTGTAGCTTGAGAAACTATTAAATATGAGCAAAATTGATTTTGCTGGACTTCTTCGTTGATTTTGATTTTGATATACCTCTGTGTCAGCTTTAATATGTGCTTTGATTCCTCTCATTATGGCGAGATATTCCACATTATTTCCAGACAAAATTTTCTCGTATGAGGTAAAGTTTTCTTCTTATATTTCTCACTTCTGTAATTTTATCAAAACAATTTGTAGTAGGAAGTCGAGTGTTATTTTTGTGGAATTTTTTCTCTCTCTGTTTTCATGCTATAATGCCGTGATACACCAAGATTAAGCGTTTTGGTTAAAGTCTTTTATAAATCATTTATCAAGGTGATTTTCTTTCATTATGTGCCACTTATTTTTTCTCTTATGTACAAGTACAGGTTCAGAGGAGGCTCTTAGAATTCATGCTTGCTGTCTTTCATCAATCTCCTCATTTCATTGCACTTCTTAAGGTATTTTTAACACATTTCTCTTTAAATTTCATCTGCCCAGTGTTGAAACATGAAAACATTGAACGCAATTAAAAGATAATGCTGTTGCAATTTTTTTTGATATTTGATAGTCGCTCTTCATAATCATTTCAGTTTTGTTTCATCCCGTCTATCATTATGTATGCCACACTGAGGCACTCGCGTAATTGTTTTTACATAGTAGAGGGTAGAATTCAGCCTGAGCAGCTCAACATTTAGTGAGAATATTTTAAACAAAAACTTTCTCCGCAACTCTAATTTTCGACTGGCATTTGTATGTTGCAGAATTCAAAACAAAAATTTGATTTTTTTTTTATTGGTCGAAAGACAGAAATTTGATGATTTGCAGATCGAAACGGCACTAAATCTTGTACTTATTTTGCAGAAGCCTATAGTGGACAGACTTGGAGAAGCCTATGACAACCCTACAAAGGTCCAAACCACAAAATTCTCTTTCTTCTTTAAAAATAAATGGTGATTTCTCACTTCCACCACTGACAAAAAAATCTCTTACTCTTGTGCAGACTGAATTAGCATTACAACTATGTTGGGCCGTTGGGGAGTATGGAGGAGGTGGCGGATCCCACAAAGACGAAGCTCGTGAATTGTTCGAAAGTTTGGAATTACTCCTTTATGAAAATCTTTCTTCAAGGTATATATATATATATATATATATATATATATATATATATATATATATATATATATATATATATATATATATATATATATATATATATATATATATATATATATATATATATATATATATATATATATATATAGATATAAATATATATATATATATATATATATGTATATAAATAGATATATAAAATGGTTATTAAATATATATATAAAAAAAATTTTTTAAGTAAAGGTATGTATGTTTAGGTGTGAGTGAAATAAAAAAAATAGGAAATTAATATAAAGAATTAATAGAGGGGGTTTGTGTTTTTTTAGAAAATGATATATTTTTTTAAGACATTGTTACATCAATTGCCATAGTTGATGTGCTTGTAATTTGGCATAATTTGGATAAATTTATTTTACAGGTTGCTCGTTCTCGTATTTCAGATCCGAGAGTGTGGAAACGGGCTCAGGATTATTTGGGTTTGATGAGTGAACCTGCAATATGTTTGTCTATATTGGGACCCTCAAATGAAGCCGTACAATATCCAGGCACCGTTGATTGGACTGAAGGCCGTAAGAAAATGATTGCTCACATTCCATTTCACCTTCTAGGTGGCCAAGAAGGTAAATAAATTTTACTGCAATAACAAATCTAAAATCAAATCAAATTGTGACTCGAACTTCTAGAAATATATTATAATCGTTTTTTAACCCCGTAAGTGGTAATTCCTTTTATTTTTCATTCTGGCAGGCCCTCCTTTTCATGATTTCTCGTTCTCGGATATTCTTCCGAGGGAGTAGTTTCGGTTTCCGGTACGAACCTATTCCAATGAGCTGATTTTTTAAGTTGCAACTGAATTTTCTTTGGTTGGATGTAACATCAAATTACTTCTTTTTTTTTCGTTTGTGTGTGAATTTTTAGTAACCCACAATGAATTTTCTGTGGTCGGATGAAAACTACACAAACACTTCGAAGTTTTTTTTCGGGAGTTCGTGTATCTTCACACGAGGACTTCATGTGTGATTTCACGCGAAGCCTGAAAAGATCCTCATGTGAATTCACGCGAACTCGTGCTAATTTGTTTTATAGTTTAATAATTTGTTAACTAAATTTATCTGAAAACAAGAAATACACATAAATGTTGATGAAGATACGGAAACATTTCATGTATATAATTATAGTCAATATTTCATTATCGCGGCTGCGTTTAGTAGTAAGAATACCCTCATTGGGTGGGTGATGAACACGGTCGTTGGCGTCATGAAATTAGACGTCCGTTTAGTCTTTTCATGAATAGTTATATCCAATTACTCCAAGTATACACACAAGAAAAATATGTGATTCAATTGTTAGAGTTTCGTACTATATGTAATAAATTAAATTGTGACATGTCATCAACAACACAAGAACACAAATATTGATAAATCGGCCGTTTAAAGGGGAAGAATTTGGAATGTCGTTTTAGCAAAGAGACATCTTGTTTGATTTTGAAAACTGCTGAGTTGTATCTCTTTGTCGTATTCCAAATATTTATTTAACACACTTGTGTATTGGTGTTTGGTTTCTTTTTTCTTTTTCGAAAATGAATACTACTTTTGCCTAATTGTCATAATTTTATTTATTTATTTGTTGTTATTGAGGTAAATTACGACCAACCATGTGAGGTAAGATTAGATTATGAAAAAACGTACTCGTGTTTGGATATTCTCAATCACTCCGCTCAATTATGAATCTTCTTACACTTCCACCCTTACAAAGTCAAATTAAACAGAATCCTCTAGATTCCGTGGAATGTTTTCTAGTTTATACTCGATTTGTGAAAAAAAAATCAGTTTCTGATGCAACACAATCTGATATCTACAAGCCAATAGACGACACATTTTATGATCGTCTTGTATGTTTCAAAATGCGGAGTTCGAATGTGCTGAAACGGGTACAAACTTGAGTTTCCGTTAAATTCAACATCTCAAGGGTGAACGTGTAAGAAAATTTATTGTTAAGAGGTGGTTGTAAGTTACTCAAACACGAGGGGGCGTTGTCGTAATTTGACTCAGTGCAATTTTTCATTTTATTTTTTGATTGGCTATAAAGAATTGGGTTTGGGTGTATATTATGGGCCAATGAGGAATGGAGAAAAAAAGGGGAAGGGTACAATTTAATGAAAAGGAAAGAATAGAAGAAAAGAAGGCCACAACATTGATTGCATTTTGGATTATAACCATTTCTGTGGTTTAATACAAACTTAGAGCCCTCCACCATCTTTATACCTGGATCCACCATTAACAACAATGAAAACTATGTTCACCTGAAACTTGATTATCTCATCATCAAATTTTAATATCTGTATCTATCTATATCTATATATTATACTTGATGAGATCCCACGTCTGATAATATATAAAGGGGTCATTAGCAATACACCCCTCCTATAGATAAAAAATAGTGATATGTCCATGCCATAATTCTTTCTTTGTGAAAACCCCTTATAATATTTAATTCCAATTTTACCCTTATACTACTTTTTTTTAATAATTATCTAATATTAACAAAATTCCTATTAATAAGGAAACTAAATCCTGCACGTTTTTTATTATAATTATCTACTATTTACAAAATTCCTATTAATGAGGCACCTAAATCCCACCAATTAGGAATAATTAGTATAATTTATCTCAATTATTTATTTTTTCTCTCTTTCCATAATAATAATTTAATTCCTAAAAATGTGCTTTCAAATTCCTAAAAAAATGCCACCAAATCAAAAAAAATATATATATTCGGATTTTATTTTTTTTATTTTTTATTTTTATATTATTTTCGGACTTTATTTAGCCATTTTTTATTTATTTTTATTTATAATATTTTTTAATAAAAATAATTTTTTAAATGTTTTTTTATTTTTTAAAACAAAAAATTGAAATTTTTCTCTCCACAAGTTTGCAACCCGAATATGACTATAATTGAATATGACTATATGTGACTATATTAACTGTAGTCATATTCTTTCTTTACATTGTTGTTTTTTTTTTTTTTTGAAATTAAAAATTCCGATTATATGGCATAGTCATGTTTACCAAATCATATAAAACAACGAATATTCCCTATTGTTTACGAAAACAATCCAATCAGTATCCACACAAAAAATCAATTTGAATCTACTTACTAGAAGTCTACTTGAAAACGAGAAGATAGATTATATTCAACAATAGTCATATTCATATTCGGAAAATACATAAATAAGACTATAGTCATATTCGAATATGACTATAGTCATGTTACTGCTGCTGTTCAGATCTGGAAAAAAAAATCGAAAGAGAGAGTGGGGAACAAACAAGAAATTCATAAATCAGTAATTGATGAATCAACAATAGTCATAATTATTAACAGAACAATGAGAATATGACTATTATGTGAGTCATATTCAGTAAGTCAGTAAGTGAGAATATACCCTTGCCATATCCATCAACGTTGTCAGTCATCGATACATCCATCGCATTCAAACTGCACCACTTATCGGTGACAAAAGACAACGAGGTCTTCATACACAAAATCACCCTGACATATCTTCACCCAAAACGAGCCTCCATACTTTAACACAATCATCAAGGTTGACGACATGCTGTGCAGCACTACACAAAAAAAATTCAGAATGTGACTACTATGTGACTACTTCTGATGAATAAATCTGCACTACTCTGTAAATGCAAAACACATGATATTATGTGAATTCAATTCAACCACAACAAACACATTGAAACTTACACTAACATATCAAGTAACGCAAAAAACAAATTACAAGCATTATCGCCAAGCATACCCTCGCCATATCCATCAATGTTGTAAGTCATCGATACATCCCTCGCATTCAAACTGCACCACTTATCGGTGACAAAGCCAACGAGGTCTTCATACACAAAATCACCCTGACATATCTTCACCCCAAACGAGCCTCCATACTTCAACACAATCATCAAGGTTGACGACATGTTGTGCAGCACTACACCAAAAAAAATTCAGAATGTGACTACTATGTGACTACTTCTGATGAGTAAATATGCACTACTCTGTAAATGCAAATCACATAATATTATCCGAATTCAATTCTACAACAACAAACACATTGAAACTTACACTAACATATCAAGTAACGCAAAAAACAAATTACAATAAATTACACTAGCATATCAATTACCACAAAACGAACAATTAATTTACAGAGTAGTCACAACGTGACTCTGTGTAAAACGGAATAAAATTTTGAATCAGTAACAATCCTTTACACCAATTAAGACGACCAAAAAATAAACAATAAAATTCGGTTCTACGTACACACATATCTGAATACACACACTACAGCCCAGCCCCCTTTACGAAACAAACAAAAATAAAGCAACACCTCTAACCTTCAAACGCAGTTTCCCATTAACGAAAACCAACAAAAATAAAGAAGAATCTCTAACCTTCAAACGCAGTTTAACTCCGGCAACGAACAAAGAATGGTTGAATGGCGATGAAATCTCTATTCTCTCCTAATCTCGGCTGAACTCACGTCTGTGTATCAAAGAGAATCACGTCCGCCTATAATAAAGGGAAACGGTTATGGAAAGATATCGTGATTGAATATTTGATTTATTATAAAAAACTATTAATAAGGGTACTTATGTCTTATTATGTTTAATTAAGGGGGTTTCACTAATTAAGTTTGGGATGTGGGTTTGTGCAAAAGTCTTAAAAGTCAATTGGGTTTTACTCATAATATTTTCCATTTGAGGGGGGTATTGCATATTTCCCCATATAAATAATTGTTTACTAAGCACACATACATATACATATATGTGTTATTACGTGTAAATCAATAGTGTAAATTTACATGGTGTATCTCACCAGGTATAGGTTCTACAAATTAAAACGGTATCTACACGGGGTGTTTGATGTTTTCATTGCCACGTCATCATACCATCTAAAAATCACGGACATGTATTATAAAAAAAAAAAATTCACGGCGTGGTAGTGAAAATCCTTGTATATATTCTCAAGAAAAATAGAATTATTAAAAAATGGCAATTATTAATTAATATAATGAAAATTAAAGGGAAGAGTGTTTAACCCTTTAATCCGGAACAATTAATTAATTAATTAATTAATTAAATATGTTGACCCTTGCACATAATTCATGTCACACTTTAAACCATTACTTTCTCACGTGTTTCCATAGAAATGATTCCCATCATCAAAACAATTCTCTAATTTCATTGAATGAATTGAATTTGCCGGCTGATATATTAATTAATAATTATTAGCACTAACTAGATCAATTATCACTACTAGAATTCAAATAAATTAGAGGGTGTTTGGCTAATTTATAAGCTTCTAAAAAATAGTTTATAAGATGTTTAAGAGTGTATAAGTTCTTCTTAAGTGTTTGGTAATTTAAAATTTCTTGAAATTCAAAAAATAAGTTGTTAGAGATCTCTCTTTCGAAAAGTACTTTTACCCACCATTTTTATTGAAGATCTTAAAATGAGTAAAAAATCTTATAAGCTTATTATCTACTACTTATTAGATGTAGGAGCTTATAATCAGTTGTTTAAAATAAGCTTAACCAAACGGGCTCGTATATTGATTAACTATTTTTAACTAATCTTCATTAGTTAATCCAAAAAAAAATACTAATTTCATTTGTCCATTTTAATGGTGTCGATCGTCATCTGAAATTGAATTCAGTGCACCGACGCCACATTTCCTTTAATTCAAATATTCGAATTTTGTCCAACTAAATTTCGAACCGCATGATCTTTTAATTGTAGTAATTCTTTTGTTTTTCTTTCTTAATTTAATGCAAAATCTGAAATTAACTCTTGGAATTAATTTGTCCCAATGAAAGTAACAAGTACCAGAGTGGATTAAAGTGATGAAATTTAAAGAAACCAAATTAGGATAAGAAATTGTCGTTGGGCAAAGAAACCAACATGAATCACTCAGTTAATTAGACACCAATAATTGATGATGTTTTTTCTATAAATTAAAAAAAAAAATTTAAAATTTAATAATTAAAAGATTACAAAACGAGGATCACTCATAAATTTGTTGCAACAAGGTTGTACTACACATCCTATTCCAATGTCCTTTTAGTTGAAAGTTTAATAGTAGAATGTAATAACTAACATGAGTATTGGTGCACCACCTATATTGTACACTTCAATTAATTTTCTTGTTTTTTAATTTTTTAGCCTGAATTTGGCTGTATTTGTCCACGTGGGCAGGTTCGGGTATGAACAATCAACAATCGAACGCCGTGCACGTTTGTATGTGCTGATTGCACTTTAAAACTAGGGTTTGCGCATTTCTTGACATCAATTGGTTTTACGACAACTGGTAGCGCAATTGTTGACGGGGAAATTGTTAGCGTTTGCTTAATTCTAATCTAACCTTTCTTATTGTGCAATATACTAATATATTATTTGAGAATTTCTCAAAGAAATAATAATTATATATTACATTTAGATATTATAATCAAGATAATAAAATCACTATCATTTGTTAGGTTTTTGCCAATATTGTGTCTGTATTCATTTAGGTGTTCTACTAGGGTTTCGTGTCCAGACCTACTTAATTATCAAAATATATAATAATGGACTTCTATTTATTATTAATTCTCATAAAATAGGTGAACAAATGAATAAATAAATATAATAATTTAAAGGCATCAATGTCAGCTCTTAGAGAGTATGCAATTAATAGTTAATCTTATTTAGTCCTAAGCTCCCAAAAAATCATATTTAATTAATTTCTTAAGCTATTATTGTAGCTCTAAAGTCTATAGATCCATTTCTTGATTGGGTCATTTTTTATGTTTTGGCCAAAATATATTCCTAAATAAATGTGACTTTATTTTAGAAAAAATAAAATAAAAAAAACAACAATAACCCTAATCAGTTAATGATTTATAAGAAATAATTAATAGTTAGACTTAACTAATAGGGTTAAAACAGGACAAAAAATGGATTTAATGCATTATTGAAAATGTAAAGTAACAGATGGAGTATTATGATGAGGAGAGTAATCGATGAATCATTGTTCGTTTTATTTTAGATGAAAAGGTAAGATGACAAACATGCCCTTGGAAATTTGTTAGGCCTCGTTTGTTTGGATTTTAGTTCTTTGATTTGAATAATTACTCTTGTAATTAGGATTTGTTTTTTTAGCAAAATAGCCATGCATGTACTACTCTATAGAGGTTTGGTAAAAATAGTCTTAGTTAAATTTTTTTTTTTCTGTTAAAAAAATTCAGAAATGCCAATTTGGTCCTAAAATGCAATAAACAAAATTATTTTTGGCAATTAAAAAAAATTGGCAAAAAAAAAAACTAAAAAGGCATTTTGGTCCTGTAAATTTTCTTTTGGGTTACGTATCTCTTTCGAAGAACTTCACCTCGGAAAAAAAATCGAAGATTTTGCACAAAATCGAAGGACCACAAAAGCTGTATGATTCATTTCAATCTCTCTTTTTTCACTCGTACTAGGTATCGGTATGTACTTCGATTTCTTTCTTTCTTTCACTATCAGTTGCAAAAGTTAATTTATTCTACAAATAATTTTTTTTTCATTTAAATGTTTATTGTACAAAGATAAGATAAAGATTTATATAATGTAACACAGTAACAGTATATATAAATATTCACCAACAAAAATAATTAAATAATTCGAGAGAAATTAATAGTGAAGGTGTTCATGACCTATGTAGACTTGTTCAACAACATTAATATTAATTCGGAAGAAAAAAAAAATTAATTAATTAATTAATTGATTGATTAAACTGAACAAAGAAAATAAGATTTTGCAAATCTCATTTGATCATAGTTTAATCCCAACACCACAAAAAGGTCAAACCCTTGCAAGTTCCATCTCAAACTGTTGGTCAACTCATCCACCTCAACTTCACATGGGGCCCACAATCAAGATTCCCCCACATTATAGTTCACATATTCTTCTTCTGCATAATTCCTTACTCAAATTCTCCATTATATATACATATAGTCCAACATATGTATTATTCCTTATACCCTCATCTCTCTCTCTCTCTCTCTCTCTCTCTCTCTCTCTCTCTCTCTCTCTCTCTCTCTCTCTCTCTCTCTCTCTCTCTCTCTCTCTCTCTCTCTCTCTCTCTCTCTCTCTCTCTCTCTCTCTCTCTCTCTCTCTCTCTCTCTCTCTCTCTCTCTCTCTCTCTCTCTCTCTCTCTCTCTCTCTCTCTCTCTCTCTCATATAAATACAAATGGAGGGTTCAGGTTCAGGTTCAGGTTCAGGTTCAGCAGGAGCAATTTGTCCAGATGATGAAGATGCAAGAATGGCAGAAGAAGATTCGCCAGAAGAGAGCAGCTGGACTTTCTACATCGAGGGTTTCATGCGCGACGACAACGACAACGACAACGACGATATCAATTCTTTGTCGTCAGCATCCGAAATGGCCGAGAGCCCTTCTCTTGTTTCTGATGCAGCATCTTCTGCCGTAGTGAAGAAGCTGTCGAGTAGTTATTACAACTGCTGCGTCTGCCGTAGTAATACGGATGACGACGGCGACGACGGTGCATGCCGCCTAGGGTTTAAAGGCAGCATTAGGAATATGTTAATTAAGCAAAACAGTTTCAAGAAACAGAAAACCAAAGTGTTTTTGCCTTCTGTTATGGATTATGATTTAGAGGATACTGCAAGTTCTCCTGTAAATAGTCCCAAGGTCATACATATATCATGCTCATCATTATTATTTATTTTTTTATTTTTTATTTATTTTTTATCATTTTCTTTTTTTGGTGGTTAATTGGCAGGTTTCTTATATGAACCAGTTCATGAATGAGAAAGACAAAGCCAAAATTGATGTTTCAGAGGTAAATTATAAGCAATTTTATGATTTTTTTTTTGGTTTTTTTTTTTTTTTTGAGGAAATCATGACAATTCTTTTCTGAGCAATTTAATTAATTTATTTTATTTTGGTAAAAAAGGTGAAAAGAAAGAGTATTGGCAAGGGTGGGATATTTGCTGTTGAAAGAGAGAGTAACTACACAGACTGCATATATATATATATATATATATATATATATATATATATATATATATATATATATATATATATATATATATATATATATATATATGTTTTAATTCATTTCCTTGGTTCAGTTTTCCTTGGTGGTATATTATATATGCAATTGTATACCATCATAAATAATAAACTTTTTTTCTCAACCAATTACTTATTTTCATATATATATGCCATGATATAAAGATGTGTGTGCGTGAAAGTAATTACCCTTAATATTTGATATTTCAGATGAAAACTAAACTGGTTTATGCATGACTATATTTGTTTTTAATAATAATTATTATTATTAATAATAAAGGGTATTAATAATAATAAAAGGGAAGAGTAATGTGTATATGATTGGAGCAATATAATATTTACTGTTTCCAGGGAAGTTCATATATTCTCCTGATCACAAACAAATAAAATAATTGTCATGTTTCTGACATTAGCAATTTTGATTTGGACATTTGGATATTCTGTTTATGTAAAGTGTGCCTACCCATGAACTGTTGAACCTTCCATCCCATCCTTTTTTTCTTATTTTTTATTTTTAATGGAAATAAATAATCAATTATTGACCTTTTAATGCTCTAAATAGCAACTTTGGCATTCTAAATATTTTTGCTCTCTTATAAAATCTACATTCATTCATGTATAATATCTTTTTCTTTTTACTGCATTTTAGTAACTTGTTCTCTCCATTTTCGATTAACTATCGCTTTTCGGAAAAAAGATGTTCGATATCATCCATCTCAGTACAATCTCAATACTTTCGTAAATTATTTAAAATATTCTCACCAACAAAGCAAATAGTAATAAAAATTGAAGGAAAAGTCGGGAAACATGGTGTTTTCATTATCCATGCACATTTATTAGTTTTCTTAACACATTATACGCCAAAATCTTAAATGGTACATAATTTGAAACCGAAGGAGTATATTGTAGTTAATTATCTTTTTTTTTTTCTTTTTTTTTTATTGTAATTTAAAAAAAGTTATCCACGAGGCTTTCTGGTCAACAAAATCCTACTTCCTCCCTTTATAATTAACTGTGGCTTTTAACTTTGTACAAGAATTAATAATCTCGATAAATGTTTCTTGATTTTAGGAAAAACAAATTAGAAAGACTAAAATAAACTTAATAATTCAATGATATGATAATACTGAGAGAACTTAAGAGTTGAATTAATAAGGTTAAAATCGAGAAAAAAAAACTATTTAATATTGTATTAGAAATTTAAAACGACAAATAATATGTAATAATAATATTTATTAAGAAAAAAGAGAGTTATTATGAAATTTTTTTAAGACAAAGTTGGTGAATCAATAAACAAAATCCATACCAATAACCAATAGATAATGTTTTATATATAATTCTCATCCTTTGACTATAATGACAAAGCTTCAACTCAATTAATGACATTTATCTAGTTATATCGTATAAAGCAAACGTCACTCACCTATATATCTTACTAAAACCCAACATTTAATAAAGCTTAAATTGAAAGGTCATATTCCATCCATTCGGATACCATTATATAAACAAATAAAATAAATTAATTAAATAAAAAAATATAAATAAAAAATTAAATAAAAAAATTGTGTGTGTGTCATGCCACATACCATTCAGATAATCAAATCATAGTTCATTTAAATGTTAGTGTGTGTGTGTGTGTGTGTGAGAGAGAGAGAGAGAGAGAGAGAGAGAGAGCTGCACCTTTTCACAATACCTTAAAGCCATGTATGTTTATACATGTATTAAAATTTACAAAGATAATAGAGAGAACCAAATTAAATTTGAAGCATATGTTAATCATCAATACACCACCAGAATTCGACTAGTTAAACTCCGGAAATCACCTGTAACTGCTTCGAACGAAACGACAAAGTCAAACTGCAGCAGTGATATATATGTATAGTCGAAAAAAGGGGAAGAAGGCTATGAATGAATACCTAATCGTACTGAATTATTTATTTTCAACTTTTTTTTTTACCAGAAATTGGCGAGTCGAAAAGACCCTCGTCAGTCATCAGTCTACTTTTTGTCCGGAAGTTTCTCTAACAATTCCGGTATGACCTCAAAAAGGTCACCTACAAGTCCATAATCAGCAACCTGCATTTCAAGCACAGGACTAGTCAACTAAGACTAGGGTCTAAATATGCATGTTATTGTAAAGATTATTAGGGTTCGAGCAAACAGTGAACTCAAAATTATATCGACATATTACTTCCATAGTCGCATGTGATCTGGTTAGATTAGGGGTAGGGGGGGGTGGATTGGTTTGACCAGAACCTGAAAAATCGGTGCATCGGCGTCTTTATTTACAGCAACAATGACCTTAGAATCTCTTATGCCAGCTAAGTGTTGAATAGCTCCAGAAACACCAAATGCCATGTACAAGTCGGGAGCAACAATTTTCCCAGTCTGACCAACCTGGTACGAGAACAAATCGACTCCATTACTTGTATCAATATGAAACGCTCACAAGAATCATGCATAATTTATAGTTTTTGACTTTCAAGTTTTAGTTTTGAGCTCTAGATACAGGAAACTTTCAACAATTTGGCGCAAAGACACTACATGCTGTTAATCCGTGAAATAAATCACCACATGTTATAATGCCTTTTGATCCAGAAACATTAGTTTAAAAAAAAAAAAAAGGAATCAGGTATTTCGTAAAATGACCAAAATACCTGAAGTTCATTCGGAACAAATCCTGCGTCAACAGCAGCACGAGTGGCTCCAACTGCAAGAAATAGGACGTTGAGTTTTTTTCTAAGAAAAGATGCAAAGTAAAAGAGACTGGATACACAGAAGAAAAATAAAACATGTAGATTGCAGAGTTTTAAGTCTAAACTTTAATCCAGTAGAAAATTGACGTAAACAACATTTGACCCAATAAATCTAGGCCGGGTAAGAAAAACCTGCTGCGCCGAGTTTCTCGGCAAGCTTCTCTATCATTTTGAAATTCTCAGCACTTTTTAGAGCTCGCCCACCAGTGACCACAACACGGGCATTTCCCAAATCTGGGCGTTCGGTATCTTGAGAGGAAATGCTTATGAATTTTGATTTCCCAACTGCATCATCTGAAACAACAATCATCCATTTTCACTGTCACTGTTCCTAAAAAGACGATAATTATAATTAGACAACCAATTCAGCCACTCCGTTTCTTATATGCATGTGGGATAAAAGATAGGAATATTGAGAATATAATTTCTGCTAAGTAAATATTTCACACAACCTTCATCGAGGCTTGATGTATCAACCTTATCAACCGATGGGGCATTAGAAACTGAACCAGCTGAGGCTGGCTTCAAAGGAAATGACGTTGACCTAATGATCAGCATGCAAGGGTCTGAACCAGTGTAGCGGACGGTACTAAGAGCATTACCAGCATATATCGGCCTGACGTAGGAAAGAATGTGTGAGCAAAACTAAGAATGCTGCATTGTGAGTACTAATGTGAAAAGAAACTCACACCGGGAAAACAAAAATAAGTTACCTGACAAAAAGATTAGACCCACTGATCTCAATTACGTCAGTGATGGGAGAAACATCGAGAAGTGCTGCTGCACGAGGGAGAATGTTTTTCCCAAAGGAACCTGATCCGGTGATTATGTGTGAGAAGCTGCCTTTCTGTTGCACCACATGCACTAGTTTGGCCCATTGTTCCGCTAAAGGATACGTAAACTTGTCCGAATCAGCAAGAAGGACCTGTACACAGAATGTCGTGAGAAAATTCAATATCCCAAAAGAGTCCGATGACTTGATTTTCTTCTGCGGACAATAGTTTCTCTGAGTTCAACCAACACTGGTTTCAATTCCACGCTATGCACCACTATACAGATCTTTCAACTTGCCACTTCTTCGTCGAAACAGGTGAATTCCCTTTATTTAAGCATCGTTTATTTATTTATCTATTTTTTTTCGAAAAAAATCTAAGTTGTAGAAGGTGAATTCCCTTCATAATATTTCTCACTAAGCACACTAAGTTCCAACACAAGCCCTTCGCAGCCAATTGACCATACCCCATTCTTAAGTATACAACTCTCCTTAACTTACAACACAGTAGACTGTAATTACACATAGGCAACTAAACAAACATCCAAAACGCAAAGCCCGAAATACCTGAGAAATCGAAGGATGGCATGAAGCAGCATGTTGAGCAGCTTCTTGTAAAGAGGGACCGGAACCAGCAAGCAGTAAAGATATCGAATTGCCATCACCCAACAAGTTAGCAGCCTCCACTGCACTCAGTGTTGAAGCTTTAACAGAGCCTCCATCGTGTTCGGCAAGAACCAGTGTTTTGAGCTGTATAAAACAAGGAAAAAATATAGTGTTTGAATTGGTACCGCCATTGTGCATCCAAACCCTAGCCTCTAAAAAATCTACGAACAACTAGAAAACTAATAAAATACAATCCAAACACAGATCAACCTATTTACTCTTACGTGATCAGCTACATGAATTAAGCCAATCTCACTTGCATTAGATATGAATCAATAAATAAATGCAAAAAAATTAGGGTTGATGTGCTGCTAACGAGTATCTTGATTAGTGTAAAAACATAATTTCGTGGGGAATTAGGAATAAAACTTAAAAGAGGGCTTACAGATCGAGAGTACGGCGCCACACGAGAAGAGAATGAATGATTTCGAAATGCTCCGATCAACGTACGAATTGCCATTTTTTATTTTTTTTTTTCTTTTTTGTTTTTTCCTTTTTCTTTTCTTTTGCTCTTACTGAATACTGATGCAGTTGAGTTCTTTGGAGAAGATGAAAACAAGAGTTAAACGCCGTCGTTTTGATGTTGGCCTAACTTTTTGCCTTCCTGGATTGAGTTGCCACGCAATCAGTAGAATTGCAAAATTGGGCCTGATAATCAGATGTATTTAAATTTTAAACTGGGCTTCGATATTGGCAACTATCGGCGGTTTTCTAGATGTTACACCTGGTGAATTTTCGTTACTTGTGATCTGAAAAATTCTGATTTTGAAATAATCGGGCTTAATCTCACTTTGCAATTTTGAAATGTGTCATTTTGATATTTTGCACCCTAATTAATAGCATTTTGCATCCTCGAAACACAATAAACCATTCACAATGCACCATTAATTGAATATTTACAATTTAATGAGGGTAATTTTCTGGCATGCAAATAATATTTTAAATTATTTTTATTTTCTTCCACTCAATATAATTTCAAGCGTACAAAATGCGAAAAAAAATAAAAATGACAACGAATTACTGAAACAACCTATAATTTCTTACAAAAAGAAATCACTAAATTATTCGATTAATGGATTTTTATATTGTAATTAGTGAAAATATTTAGTAGAAATTTTCGGAAGAAAATATAATTTTCGAATAACTTGATAGCTAAGTGGCGGAAGGATATAAGTTTGTTCTTTTTGTTTGTAGTAAAAAAAATCTTTTTTTTTTGAGAAAAAAATAAATTAATATGTTGATGAGATTTTTTTATTTATTTATTTTTTTTTTTTTTTTTGCATTTTGTAATTTCGAAAAGATTGATGAACAAAAAAAAATGATTTGACATTTGACATCCTAAAAAATATTAGGGTGTATTATGCACGATTTAGGGTGTTTCGAGGGTACAAAGTGCTGTAAAACATTTCAAGGATGCAGAATGAGATTAAGCCAAATAATGGTGTTCATTTCAAAAATTTGATTTTTTGATTTATTCTTAATTTTAGAATTAATTTTCATTTTGGTTTTTCTTTTTTCTTTCATTTAAAAAATAAATAAACAATGTTTGTTAAAACAAGTGAAAATTCGGACAATATCCAATGATCGAAGGTAATTTCCATAATTTGACTATTATTAATTGCAGAATCAGCAATTTCAGTCAAATATAATGGAATATTAATAAAATAATCCCGTTTAAAAACGAGTACACACAGTCACACAGTGCACACAATCGTAATCACAGCACTAACCCCCATCAGACGAAAGCTCATGCCTTTTGGTTACGATTCAAAAATCTCACACAGCTAGCTGTATGATATTGATAACCCCTGTTTAGAGATCTACTATTTTCCGTTCATTGTTGCATAATTTTATCGGCATCTTCTCCGTTTCTTCTCGAATCGACGGTTGATTGATTAGCCATGGTTTCATCCACTAAGATCAAATCCGTTGATTTTTACAGGTGAGCTCAGATTTTATGGCAAATTCCATGGGAAGTTTATATATATTCACATTTCATTGAATTCTACAGTTATGAATCTCTAATTCTTTTTTTTTAATGTCGAACTTGCTGGCTATTATAATTTTTGTGTGTATGATACTGTGAAATTTGTGCATTGGGGATGAATTGTAATTTGAGTTTATGTTTGGTTATTGTTCAGCAAAAATTTGTACTTTTTAGTTTTTACGATATCGTAGATGGTCTGCATTTTATTGTATTGGTGGAGCTGGTCTGATAACAAGCTAACAGGCATGTGTAATTGTTGGGATTCTTTTTGTTTGATGGTTTGGTGTTAAAATTTTGGGAAGGGTTAGAATAATTACAGATGCTGAAGGTGGATAGATACTTGGACGAAACCTTTGTCGAGTTACAGGCTTGATGTGCTTAGATGTGAAAGACCATTTGCAGAACATTTAAAACCTAAATGGACAACACATGTTGACTTTCTGCGACTCTATTTAGTGCAATTGTAAATTAGTAATAGCTTTTGAATACGTTTTTTCTTCTGTCGTTGTTCAACAATTTTCACTTTCTTCTTCAAGGCCATGGGTTTTATTTCCATGTATGTAATCTTGTTGATGTACAAAATGTAGCTTGCTTATGTTTTTTCATCTTTATGGATGGTTCAGATGTCGACTGCTTTGTAGCGTGCCTGGAAAATTCATGTGAATGCTAAACCTTGTCATCGAATCGTTCTTAGGATACCATGTGCTTGAATGCCTTGGTTATACCTAGAGCTGCTAGAGCCATCTTAATAACAATATGCAATAGTTTACCCGAACGACTTCGTAAAATATTTACATCAGTTTTAGCCACAGGTGGATGCAAATGCACTCTTGATGCATTGGGGTGAGTCCATAGTGAGAAAGGCATTAGAAATTCCAATCCTCGTGACATTTAGTCATGTTTTAATTCACTATATGTGGGTTTCTGGTAGTTTTACATTTTAGGAGATCTAATATTTTTGCGGGCTCTTGTTGAAATAGAATGGAAATGTCATAAGATTGCTATGCTGTGTTAAATTGATGGATTCAAGCTACAGCGACATTAGAAGGATATCTATTTCATTGTGAAGTGTGAATCGAAAAGATTGAGCCTGGTATCTGCGGCATGATTAGGTGTTTAGATTGTAGTAGTGGATACATATATACTTAAGTCATTCTAGGAACTTTGACGTTTAAACTTGGGACTTATTTCTAACATTACTGCTTATCCTATCATAACTGTTATTTTGAGCTGCTGGAAGCACATATGAGCTGCTGAGTTGATTGTTACTTGTAATCTAGTCAAAATGAACTAATTCTTATTTCTTAAGAGGAACATGTTTGACAGAATTAGGATTTGTAGAAGACAGATCCCTGGTAGCATTAGATTCTAATATAGCTGTTTTTAAATCTTCTATATAATTGGATATATGATGCTTTGAATATACTACAGAAGTACGATATATTGGTCTTGAAATTCCTTGTTTTCTTATTTTCTATTATTTGCAGGAAAATTCCAAGAGATTTGACTGAGGCATCATTATCTGGTGCTGGATTGTCAATAATAGCAGCCCTTTCCATGATGTTTTTATTTGGAATGGTAGGAAATTACTCCTCGTTGGCTTGATTACGAGATTCATTACCAATGAACATAGAAGAGGAACATATTCAAAATTGGTTTAGATTATCCAACACGGCTTTCTTACTTATTAATTGCTGCATTACCATTTCACCAAGCCACACAGTAGAATGAACTCCCCATGCCTTATGATTATGCTGTCTTATTGTAGGAACTGAATGATTATATGAGAGTCAGCACCGCTACATCAGTTGTTGTTGACAAGAGTTCTGATGGGGATTTTTTACGAATTGATTTCAATATAAGGTAGAAATTCACATTTACAAATTGATTTCTATTTTAAACTTTCTCACATCTGTATGGATTATATCATTTTTGGTAATCAATTTCTTCACTTTGATCGCAAACATCTTTTTTCTTTCATTTCTATTAATAACATCTCAAAATTTTCTTGTAGTTTTCCAGCACTGTCTTGTGAATTTGCCTCTGTTGATGTCAGTGATGTCCTGGGAACAGTAAGTTCTGTTTATTGTTCCTAATGCTCTATAAATATATACATGCATATTTATGAGAGACAGAATAACTTCAGAATGTTCTTCTCGCCAGTTACGTGTTTTGGGTAGCAGATATTTCATGGAGCAATGAGTTTTATCATTTTAGCACCTCATTAGCATCTGAGTTGCGAAGTTTCACAATAGGATGGCTAATTGGGTAATAAATACATGATTTTAGTCTTTGACTTCAATTTGGGGGAAGGAGACTAAATTATTGCTTACAAGTGCCAGAAGTATAAATTCTCCTTTACTTTGCAGTTTATAAGTTGGGAAGGCCAGTCAACTAGCTATTCGACGACTAATTTCTGTGGTATAAAACAGAAAATCAGGGTAGACTATATGTTTTTGTTTTGTAAGAAGCATAACATTTAGCGTGCTTGGGAATTGTCTAAGTTTTTTCTTTAAAACAATTCACCTTATAATATGGCCTTACAACACACCTACCCAAACACACGCATCCAAAGGGATTCGGACCCTCGACCTTCACCAAACACAAGTATAGGAGAAGCTCCTGGTACCACTAGGTTAAAGCTTAGTTGGTTTGGGATTTGTCTAAGTTACTGTAGAACTGTTTTATTGACTACTGATTTGTTTTTTATATGAAAAGATATGAAAAAATTATAATGCAGTTCATTTGTTTCAAAGATTTCTATGGCTTCATTCTTCAGTGAAATTATTTTCTTTGTAATGCAGCCAGATTGTTTATTTACTGAACTGTTGTCAATGTTTCTCAGAATAGGTTGAATTTAACTAAGACTATCCGCAAGTACTCAATAGATTCAAAGTTAAATCCTACTGGCCCGGAGTTTCGGTCAGGAGCAGTTGCAAAAGCAATTAAGCATGATGAGCAAGACGATGAAGAGTATGGAGAAGGTTCTGTTACACTAACTGCACGCAATTTTGATAGAATTTCACACCAGTGAGTATATCGGAATTGACTTTGAATTCACTACTTCTCCCCATTTTGTCTTTTGAATTTCATAGGTGATGTTCTTTATTTATAGTCTGCCTAATGCATTGCAAATAAATCTTTGACAGGCATGCTATTTTGGTGGTAAATTTTTTTGCGCCATGGTGCTATTGGAGCAATCGCTTGGTATTCTGAACTTCTCTATTTTTTGTCTTTCCTTAAATTTCTTCTTTCTCAGTCCCTTAATTTGAACTTCTCACTCTGGCCATCATTGAGAATGCTGATGGATTCTTAGAAATCCTATAACACCTCTTCACCCCCCTTCCATTTCAGAAACCTTCATGGGAAAAAGCAGCAAAAATTATCAGAGAAAGGTGTAATCCTCTTTCCTAATAATTTATTTAGTTAATGAAGTAGTATGTGTTTAATCTATTTTTTTTTATGCTGAGGTGAAGTGACAATCATCTTTACGATAATCTCCACTTAAAAGCTCATTGTCACTTGTTTTTAGATATGACCCAGAAATGGATGGACGTATTATTTTGGGAAAGGTCGATTGCACTCAAGAAGCTGAGTTGTGTACTAGGTAATTTCTAAATAACGGTAAAATTCTTCACTATGACAATTGGGAGGTTATGTTTCCATATTTGGTTACTGAGCATGTTAATCTGTTATTACAAAGTCTGTTCATTCTTATTCCGGATCTTGAATATGCTGGCTTCTGTGTATGTGTCTTATCCAGAAATCCATGGCCATGACCATACATGGTATCCAAGGATATTTCGTCTCCTTTTGGTCAAATGTTATGTTTTTAGAAGTTTGTATCTGTTCTTAGGTCATCTGGATGTACTTCCCTTACATATGTCTTTCTCATACTGTTTCTATATTTAGTTGGGTAATTCTAATTTTGAGGGTTACAAGGATCCTGTTTATAGCGGGTTATTTTATTTCGGTCAAATCTTATTACTCTGGGATGAAATCCTTCTCATAAATACAATAGTGTTTTGACTTTCAGTGAGTGAGGTTGACATCTTGGCTTGTCATATCCATTTGCACTTTCTGGTTTGCATCTTTCATTTTCGATGGAGTTCACATATATCTCCATGATCCGAAGTTCTAGAGGCCTTTCACAATTGCTGAACCAGTTTCTCTTCTTTCTTTTTGGTGCTTCACTTTATCTTATATTCTTGATTAAATTTCTTATTACATATATCCAGGAATCACATACAAGGATATCCATCTATTCGCATCTTTCGTAAAGGAAGTGATGTGAGGTAAGTAATCATTTTGTTCTCGTTTATTATTTCCCAGGCACTTTCTAGAATTCTTTGGTTGAGTGTAAGTTTCAACCATGCCTTAGATTTGGTATTTTGTCAAAGTGGTAACCTGACTATGTTAGACAATATTGTCAAATCATTCTGAATATTTTCCTGCAGTAATTAGCTCTTTTATAATTTGAATATCTGTTTTCCAATTAACTGCTTGGTTTCTCCCCCCCCCTTCTTGGACACAGGAACGATCATGGCCACCATGATCATGAGTCATATTATGGAGATCGAGATACAGATACCCTAGTGAAGGTGAGTATGCTTTAAGTTTTTTATGTCGGAAGTTATTTGGATGCAAACTTGCAAAATCAGAAAATTTGGTGGATTGAAATTTTAATCTGTGTCAGATATTTGCTTACTTCTCAGGAGAGAAATTGTTTGTTTTTCTATAAGAAATTGAATGATTTTTAATCTTTGCAGACAATGGAGGATTTGGTAGCGCCTATTTCTGTGCAGTCACTCAGTGCTTCTGATAGTCCAGCCACTGAGGCGAAAGATGATTCAAAAAGGCCCGCACCTTTAGCAGGAGGGTGTAGGGTTGAGGGTTTTGTACGTGTGAAGAAGGTAATGATGCATCATCGGATATGGGGTTGGCTTACAGATTAATCGCACTTATATATATATATATATATATATATATATATATATATATATATATATATATATATATATATATATATATATATATATATATATATATATATAAAATATATATAATCTTTAATTGCTCTTTGTGGTGTAGGTTCCGGGGAATCTTATTGTATCTGCTCGTTCAGCTTCCCATTCTTTTGATGGTTCTCAGATGAACATGTCACATGTTATTTCCCATTTTTCTTTCGGTAAAATGATCACTCCACGGGTGATGAGTGACATGAAACGGCTCCTGCCACATCTAGGTTTAAGCCATGACCGCTTGAATGGCTTGTCGTATATAAGTAATCCGACTGACTCCAATGCAAATGTAACTGTAAGTTCCTCAATTTTAGGCATCATTTTGTCCCCTTTCAAGGCCTGTTTATGTTTTATATTATTATTGTTTCAGCATCTCTTATTAAACTATAAGTAAAATCAGTCCCTACTCATTAGGAAAAAGCTTTCATATAAAGCAGAAAGTTGAAGAATAAGAGAGTTTCGACCAAGTTATATATATGTTTACCATTGAAGCCACCAATTTTGTCCTTTCCTTAATTAAATTTGTCATCTCCCTCTGTTACGAACTTGTACAGTGTTACCCTTAATTTAATGGATCTTTTGATTATTAATCTATCACGATGGATGATCTAACATCAAGTGTTTAACAAATTTGGGCATTTGCAGATTGAGCGTTTTTGTTTTATTTATTTATTTATTTATTTATTTGCAGATCGAGCATTATCTTCAAGTAGTGAAAACTGAGGTGATGACAAGATCTTATAAACTACTTGAGGAGTACGAGTACACCGCCCACAGTAGTTTGTCGCACAGTAATAACATCCCTGTTGCAAAATTTCATTTCGAGCTATCACCAATGCAGGTATTGAGCTTGTCAATGTTATCCACTCGTTAATGTTGTGTAATACTGTTTCCGATTTTTAAATTTTATTTTTTTCCTTTTTAATTCTCGTATCAGGTCTTAATAACTGAAAACTACAAGTCCTTTTCGCACTTCATTACAAATGTCTGCGCCATTATTGGAGGTGTTTTCACGGTTGGTGTTCGCTTTTCCTTCTACATCTCATATTTTCCTTTTCCCATTTTACTGCGATTAGGTAAATCCGAACTTTATTGTTTATGTTTTTTTATTTTATTTTTTCAGGTTGCTGGAATTGTGGATTCAATTCTGCACAATACTATCAGGATGATGAAAAAAGTCGAACTAGGGAAGAACTATTGATCAAAAGTCGAAATTAGCAAACATCTAAGAAAAAACCGATTTCTTTATACACCCTTTAGTCGCAGATAAATTAAATTGTTTAGAATATAGTTTGTTTTCTAAATTATTTTGCTGAAGGATAGTATCTACATTTGGTAGCCCTTGTGGAAAATGCCATTGAGAGAGAATAATTTTATCTTCAATTTTGCATTATCTAACCTTTGTCTGTTTTGCTCATTTGATTCGTTTATTCTCTACTTTAGCATATGAACTACGTTGGTGGAGACTGGAGATATTAATATTAAACGAAACATTTCACAAATAGTTTAAACTTTTGGTTGATGTGGTCATTCAACCTGATATCAGAGTCCGATCAAATAAAAAGTCCCGAATTTGAATTTCACCGCCACCTATTTTAAATATTTCCAAGTGCAACACTTCAAATATTTCAATCCAGGGCCAAAAACTTGGAATGTTTAAATTGTAACGATATATGGTGCAAATGAATCGAGTCGAGCACAACACATGGTTGTTCAAGTTTACGTGAATTTTTATTGAGTTTTAAAAGTTATATTTCAACTTGGTTTCATAAACAATCAAATCGAGGTTGAGGGAATGTTGTATAGAAAGATTACAATTTTCCCAAGAGGTTAATGTAATATTAGAAACACGAGGAGTCAATGTAATTTAAACTAAATTCGAAGGATCTTTCTGCAATTTATCCCAACAATAAACTTTCCCACCGGGCCCAGTCAAAGTTCCATTCGACCCGACCCGTATATCTTACTCGTTGCCCCACGACGAGCGTGGGCGCGTGATCCGGCGCTCTAACCGTCGCCTTCGTGTATATATTGCACCCGCGAATCGAGGCGAGTGGTCTTGGTGTCACTTGACCCCGCGTCGTTTCCGCTGGCCACTCTGACTAGCTTGAAAGATTCTAGAGAGAGAGTGAAAAGTTAGAGAGAGAGAGAGAGAGAGAGAGAGAGAGAGAGTAGAAACATAAAAACGGTATGTCATTGAACGGGCATTGCTCCGGGATGTATATTCGGGTCGGGTCGAATTCGAAGACCACCGTCTTCACCCCCAACCTCTCTGACAGCGAAACAAAGTAAAGACGATCAAGAGAGAGAAATTTCAGTGGTTTTGCATATAAAATTCTCTTGGCTTGAAAGAGTCACCTGAATCTTTGTTAATAGAAAAAAGCCAGCTACTCACTCAATTTTGGGGGTCTTATAGCAGACGTTGAATTGTTGAATTTGATCTGGTTTTCATGTGAATAGCAGCTTAATTTTCAATACATTCAATTCAATTCGAATTTGATTCCCCTTTTCTCTCTCTCCTGCGTGAAATTGTGAAAAAATGTGGAGGGCAGGAACTTCAGCTGATTCGTATTATCAGGTGCGGCCTGAGTGCGCTGATGATGTTCCTGAAAGCAAGTTCAGAATCAAGGTTTGGCGTTTTTTTCTTTCCTCTTAATTAATTATTAAAAATAAATATATTCATCTTTTATTCCTTGTGAGATCTATAAGAAAGAGGATGGGTTATTAAATTGTATGCTTTGTTTATGCTTTTTGATGAATGATCCCATATAATATCCTATTCCTCAGCCCGTGATCTGCTTTAAATACAATACTCCTTCGATTTTGGAGTTCATCCATATGATCCCTTTACGAATGATATTGAGTTTATATATCATGATAATTGATATATGCTGAATGACCACCACATCCGAAACTGTTAGCTAGGTGAATAAGTTATGCTGGATTTTTTTCGCTGCAAAATTTGATGCATGCTGGTATTACTTTATATAATGACGAGAGTTACTTTGAACGTAGAAATTGGTGAAACTAAGATTTGATGAATGGATAAAAAGATATTGCAGTGTCGATGAGATGAATGGAGAAATTGTCCATCGTACAGTCATGGAAACTCTTTATGTTCGCTGGTTAGTTTTGTTAGCGAACTTTTATTTCTCCAATATTCCATTTCAGAGCATTTGGTTATAGTGGGAGAAAGTTTGCAACATCTGAAATAGGAGAGAAGCAATAGTAGAGGAATTGATGATGAGATTCTTCATTTTATGTTGTAATGCACAAGAACGATGTCTTTTCCCGGAACAGCATTTCCCAAACAAATTTTCGTTCTGGGGAAGGAATATATTCCAGCAAAATGGAACCAGATGAAGTTTTACATTCGCAGATGATCAAGTTGATCGCCTAGCCTCTAGGTTTAACTTTCCGGGACATTGTGCATATCCTTCTTGGATTATGATTACCTCATGGTTTATTTCCATACGCGATGAACGAATTCTAGATATATCTGAACTTGGGAAATAATAGCTTGTGTTGTCACAGCTAGAACTCTGCCTTGTCCATTGGATACTCAACCCTTTTATTAGACTAATTTTATATTACTCTAATATAAATCTAGATTACTGACTGCACTACTTGGTCTACTGGGATTTGGTGTTTGGATTCCTTAACGAATCTTGTTTGTTTATATTTCCATTTAAATCCAATTATTCTTAACATGCTTTTGTTTCTGAAACAAGTTTTTTTCTACATTATTAGGTAGGGAGAACTTTAAGTGCGCGGAAATGGAAGTCTGCTTTCTCGACGGAAGGTTATCTTGATATAAGCAAAACACTCGGTCGAATTCATCGTGGGGTAAAGCTTTGCTACAAATTGTGTTTATGTATACTGCTTTCCACGAAGTAAATGTCTCTAAACCTAGTCAGACTAAAAATGAAGATATGTCTAATAAAAATATTATATTAGATTTTAGATTAGTATTAGTTAGTGATCCCACCTTAAGTGGAACATTTGTTGGTAAATGCTCATGATTTTCTTGAAGTTATTTGTGCCTTTTTTTTTTTTGGTTGCTAAAACTTGTTATACTTTTGTCTTTTTAGCTATACTTTCTTGTCCCCAGCTTCCATTTTTGTTTTGCCACAATATTTCTTCCTGCTTCTGTAAATCGAATTTCAGAGTTGCAGTGAGAAAAGGGAAGTTTAACTGATCATAAATATGTTTTTGGACTATGGTTTATATGTTTCCTTTGATGTAATCGTTTGTACTGGAAACCATATTTTCAGATCATTTACTAAGATGGGAAATTTATAATGATTCCTTTCAAGTGACTTCCAAAGAAAATTATGATTTTCAAAGTGATTCTTCTCTTCTTTGGCACAAAATAGGGTGTTCACCCGTCAATTAGAGGGGAAGTTTGGGAATTCTTATTGGGTTGTTATGATCCCAAGAGCACTTTTGAGGAACGAGAGCAAATACGAGAACGTCGCAGGTACTTTTTCCTTGCTTTATATCATTCTGCTGCAATGACTGTTTTTTTTTCTTGGTAAAGATACCGTGCATTTCCACATATGAAAGTTTTTCCGTCTTTTCTGTCTTTGAGGTTTACTAGAACACCCAATATTTTTTGAGATGAATTCAGTAAGTTTTTACATTATTCTTCTGGTGCATCCTTTAGAGTGAAGTATGCATTGTTGAAAGAAGAATGTCATCAAATGTTCTCGCTGGTTGGAAGTGGGAAGTTTGTCACTGCACCAATAATTACGGAAGATGGTGAACCTATACAAGATCCCATCGTACTTCAACAACTTAATTGTGGCAAAGAACATGCATCTCTTACTAAGGGAAACGGTATGATGGAAACTGAGCTCGTCTCCACCCAACCTAAGAAGTTATGAACTAAACTTTATAGCGCAGATCTACTCTAATACCTTCGAATTGTAACAACAGATGCTTTCAGCGGCTCCCAAATGGAAAGACAATCAAATGGATATGGTCCCATGGACAAGAAAGAGATTCAGTGGAAACTTACATTACATCAGATAGGTTGGGATTAATTAATATAACATGCATGCTTATATTTCGATATATTTTCTTCTCTATAGCGTATGGCTTAGTACACACATACACATTTACGACCTTCAAATCCAGGTCTCGATGTAGTCCGAACGGACAGGACACTAGTGTTTTATCAGAAGCAAGAAAGCTTGTCAAAACTTTGGGATATCCTAGCCGTCTATTCCTGGTTTGATGCAGATGTTGGGTATTGTCAAAGTAAGTCAAGAAAGACCTTAAAAAACTTCATCATGATATCCGAGTAATACAATTAAACATATTATCTCTCTATATATATATGTGCTATGTGAGGTGTGAAATACCTTAAAAAACTTCATCATGATATCAAAGAGATTTTCGCTTAGAAGTATATTTGTGATACAAGCTTTGCTTCATCATTTTCTTGATATACTAAAATATCAAGATGGAGTGGTTCGGAATATTAATTAATGAACTCTACATGCTGCTATGTTATCTCAGTAAAAGCGCTTTTTTTTTACCAAATATATTTAATATATGGTAATTGCCACAAAGTGTTTGTTTTGAAGCTTTGCATGCTGAGCAGGTATGAGTGATCTTTGCTCTCCAATGATTATTCTCCTTGAGGACGAGGCGGATGCATTTTGGTGCTTCGAACGCTTGATGCGAAGACTGGTACTATTTCTCTTGTTCTTTTCTGTTTTCATGTATGAGCCTTCTTATTTCAACAACTCACCAGCATCTAATTCTAGTTTGATGCAGTTTATGCATTTTTTCTTACCGCTTTTCAGTTGCTTATAGTACTTGTCTTTAATTGAAATTTTATTGAAGCGAGGAAATTTCAGATGCACCGAGAGCTCTGTAGGGGTTGAGGCACAGCTCGGCAATCTAGCTTCAGTAACTCAAATTGTTGATCCTAAACTTCACCAGCACTTAGGTATAGCGTCTTATCAATTTTCCTCTCACATATTCCGTCTTTGTTCAAACTTCCTATTTTCAGGAACCGCTCAACAATTAAATAAAAAAATTAGAGAAAGAAAAGCAAAGCAGTGTACAGACCTTGAGAAAACAAATAATAGAAGTTCTTTAGTCTTTAGGTGTCATCATGAAAACCATTCAGTAACTGTTACATCATGAATGCCGTTACTCTTATTCTATTATTTCAATATTGTACGTTATGTCTTAACGAGGAAGTAACCAAAATCTGACTTTTGATTTTGAGAACAGAAACTCTAGGTGGTGGTGATTATCTCTTTGCTTTCCGGATGCTTATGGTTTTGTTTCGGCGAGAATTCTCTTTTGGTGATTCTTTATATCTTTGGGAGGTAATTTATTGTATCCTACACAATTTCCACATATTATATTACAAAATCTAAATACATTCAAGTATCCATCAAATTATCCGTCTTCATGCGAAAGAAAAATGAAGTGAATAGAGTAAATTTAATCTTCCTGAAGAGTTTAAGCTGCTAAGCAATCATTAACAGAGAAATTTATAACAGATGATGTGGGCTCTAGAGTATGACTCTGATCTATTCTCTATGTACGAAGACCGCGAATCAGCAACCGAAAAATCAGAGGGATCTAAAGGAAAGGCCAAGTCAAGACGGAGACAGTGTGGAAAATTTGAAAGAGAGAACCTCAGAAACGGAGGCAAAAGTGCTGCTGCACCTCTTCCTATTTCTGTGTTTCTTGTGGCCAGTGTCTTGAAAGACAAGAGTTCTAAGTTGACAGAAGCCCGAGGCTTAGATGATGTTGTACAGGTTGGCGTGAACAGCTGCAATCTTTTCCGATAAATTTATTCTGAACAGATAGATATGTTTTGACGGGTTTTTAGTTTCAGCTAATTTGGAGTTGTTTTTCGTATATATCTATTTTCAGATACTTAATGACATTACTGGCAACCTTGATGCAAAAAAAGCTTGCATGGGGGCTATGAAGCTTCACAAGAAGTATCTAAAAAAGGTATGACTAGCAAATCACTGCCTTCAATATTTATCGACGTTCTTGCTTAGATGGATATTAATTCTACATGCTATATAATAATACATGAAATTATGGAGTTGCCGTAAACATAATTACACACATCGTCTTTTCAGCAGCCAAACTTAGATTTTCTTCAAAATGCGATTGCTTCGATTTGCCAGCTTCGTGTTCCTTGGGACATTTTTCTTTGTCATAATTTATTTTCGTCTTTTCCACAATAATATTCCCGCAGGCCAAAAATACATGACAGGCGAAAATTTCTGCCAGTGAAATTCGAAGTTTGGTCGTGTCAAGGACAACAACTGCCTCCGTTGCCTGATACATGATCAGCATGTGTATACTGATGCTAATGAATGCTAAGAGATTCACATCCAGTATACCATTGATTTTTCTGCAATAGTTGTGTGATATAGAAAGGTGAGTTGTTTGTAAAAAATCTAAATGGAATCTATAAAAGAGCATCAATTTTTTATTTATTTTTTAATAATATGCATTTTTTCCTTAAAAGTTTACACACACACACACACACACACACATATATATATAAAAAGAAGTAGAAGGTTACTTTAGATAGACTGTTAATGCCACACAGGAAGAGTATAGAGAAACTTGTGTTAAGTTACAGATTGAATCAAAGGCATATCAAATTTTCCAGATTTTAACAAAGAACACAGCTTTTCAATAGTCTTGACTCTCTCTTCAAGTCCAAAGCCAATTGCTTCAAATGACCTGTTTAAAATAACAGGGCTTGCCCCGTCACCACCACCGCCACCGCCACCAGACCAATTCGTCTCATGATTCGCCATGCTCGAAGATTCAGCTACGGTTTTCTCAAAACCATGATCAGAAAGAGAATCACCCGAATCATAATCCCACGAGCTCTCTACATATTTCCTTTTTGAACCCTTGTTACAACTACCCTTTTCATTACTAGAAGATGAAGTGCTCTGGACGCGTGGTGGAGGGACAAATTCGTCTTTCGTTGCTTCTTCCACCGAGCCATCCCAAGTATTCTTCTTCCTCTGGCCAAGGTTCATTTTTCTCCACCACTTGAAGTACCTAGTAGTAACATCGGCCTCAAAAAGGCGAGGCGGTACGTATATCTTTGCATCTCCAATGGGGCGAATATAATCCCCCCAAGCAACATCAGCATTCACATTGACTCTCGGTACATGTCCTGGTAAATCTTGATCCATGCCGAACTGCATTGCCACACGGTGCGGCAGATACTGCTCTATGCAATCTTCTTCGAGCCCAACGAGCTCACTCGCCCTCAAGAATCGAACCATCCCCTCCAAATCCTCGTCCATATCCGAGCCAACTACAGCCCAGTATTCTCTATCCTTGTAGTAGTTCATTTTCAAAACGGCATTGCCAGCTGTCGTCGTGTAAGGGCGCCACTGGAACTCTTCTCCCGCAGAATCAATCTTCACCAAGATATCTTCAATCTTCGATTTCTTGGAGTTACTCCACCGGGCTAATCTCGGTTCGTCTTGTCCGACGCAGACGGGCTTTCTCGGTCTTAGTGATGGGAATCTTTCCCAAGCCCAAACCTGCACAAGCGCCAACGGGGCCGAAGCTAAAATTTCGAAATCGCCATCTTGAGATTGGGCTGATGCCATTCTTGCAGCAGCAACCGCCACTTTCAGCAGAGTCAAGCTCTTGTAAATGCCGGCTAGTACGGCCGGCGCGAGTGCGATTTTAGTCCCTCTAGCCAAGCGAACGCTGATCGGAAACACGCGTCTGATTATGCTTTTGCCCGAGAATGGGAAGACGAATCTGGAGAGCCAGTAAGCAAGAAAAGCTTCGTGCTCGATTTCGCTGCCACTGCCCATGAATTCCGTGATCCACATGTACTGCCCGGCGTTCCTCGCGTTGGTTTTGCAAATTGCTGATCGGGCGTCGAGTAATTCCTGCATTACTTCTTGCGAATTGCCGTCTTCCGGGGAGGGGGCGAAAACCGAGTGACCTAGCACGGAGAACCCGCCGAGCACCGCCGCGTCTTCTAGAGTGAGGGTTGCTTCCCCCCACGGGAACACCATCGTGTTCGTGGAGAGGCACCATTTGTCGACGAGATTAAAAATCAAATCCCGGTGGCGGTGGATGCAGCATTTGGAACTCACGACGGCGTCGTAAATCCCGGCTTTCCTCCAGGTAGAATGGTGTGAGGAGTGCATCTGGTCGACCCATGTTTTCCATTTCTCCTGTGGGATTCTCCAGCCGAGGAAGTTCACCTGGAAGGATAATTCTTTGTGTTTGGCGGCGGAGGGAGTTGGAGATTCCAGTGAAGGGGCGGCGACGGGGCCGGCGGTGGAGGTGACGGAGGGTCGGAGAAAATGGGCTGATCTGAGAAAGGGACGGCTGCCGGTCGGAGAAACCATGAACTCCTCCCTTTCTTCCATCACAAGATTATCCGCCATTTTTGGAGTTTGAAGAATCGAGGAGAAAGGTCGAAGGTCACACTGTTGCCCGCTTTCCTGTGTGTTTTGTGTTAATTAATTAATTTTTAGGGAAAATTTTCTATACACAAATTGCACTTCGCCCCCTCAATAAATGCCCTTTTCGCACTTTCCCCCACTTAAAATATAAATATACAACTCGGTACACTTTGTACAATAGTATAAAAAATATATTTTTTGATGGAGCGAAGTGCAATTTGCTCTATTATGAAACTCCTATTTTTGGTATTTTACTTGGAAGTTCTCTAATATTTAATTGGACGAATTTACCCAATCATTTTCTCTCTTCCAACAAAACGGTATCTTGTAGTTTGTTGACTACGTCTACCTTCGACTTGAAAGCGAGCGACACGACGTGTCGCTTGGAGTGACATCGGCGAATTGGCGTTGCATATTTAGTAGGGTAATGCTAATGTGGTGTTCTGCCAGGGCCTTGGCGGAGCGAGTGGTGGTGCTTGGTAGAGAGAAATGTAGTAGTGTTGTATGAATACATGATTTATAGTGATCTGATCAATAAGATCTACATTCACTTTAGAGCTGCTACCGAAACTTTTTTATTGATGATCAATAGGAGATTACAAATAGAATACAACTCTTTAAGAAATCAACTCTCACCGAGCTCAGAAAAGCGAATCACCTCGCTTTTCTGAAGTATCTCTTTCTCACTTTATACACCAATGGATTCCACAGTTTCTCTATCTTGAGTATATTCCTTATCTCTCTAGATCCTTGAACTCAATGTGTTATCTTTGAATCCAACAAAAGGTTGTGTTATTCACAATAATGTGTTATTTTATCTTTCTAAGTAACTTCATTACATTATTTTAAAATAGCGTTGTTTTATTGAAATTATTGATGTAAAGATTTATGGGAATGGTTTAAGATAACTCTAATTAACTGAATTTGTGTGGATTTGAAATGATTCATATTGACGCGAAAATAGTTGGACACAAATCTAATAAGCTCTATATTAAAAAAAAAATAATAATAATAAAAAAAATAAACATTTAAATATCAAAAAACACTAAATAAACATCTCAATGTCGAAAGACAATCAAAAAAACAAAATTAATTTTAAATAATACAAAAAATTGAGACATTTAAATATAATATACACCTCAAAATATGTATTTTCCTATTTGCTGTTTTACTGTCTGGATTTTAGTATCAAAGGCAGATCAAGTTTTCCAGATTTTAACAAAGCACACAGCTTTTCAATAGTGTTGATCCTCTCTTCAAGTCCAATCCCAAATGCTTCAACTGGGCTTGCACAGTCACCGATCCCCGTGCTCGAAGATTCAGCTACAAAACGATGATCGGAAAGCGAAACACGGGAATTATAATCGGACGAGCTCTCTACAAATTTCCTTTTCGAACCCTTGTTACAACTATAAGAGAGAGGGCTCTGCCTATGGACAACTTTTTCAGCCGCCACAAATTCTTCGTTGTTCTCTCGATCTTTTAAACCAAAGGCGTCGTCGTCTGATAACTTTCCATCTACATCAATTTCGGTTGTACGTCTCCACCCAAGATTCAATTTTTGCCACCATTTAAAGTACCGGCTCGTAACACGGGGTTCGAAAACACGAGGCGGTATGTATATCTTTGCATCTCCATTATTAATCGGGCGGATATAATCCCTCCAAGCGATATCGGGATTCACATTGACTCTCGACACGTGTCCTGGTAAATCTTGATCAATGCCAAACTGCATGGCCACACGATGCGGCAGATATTGCTCTATGCAACCGGGTTCGAGGCTAACGAGCTCACTTGCCCTCAAGCATCGAACGAGCCCTTCTAAATCCGAGGTAACTGCCGCCCAGTATCCGTGATCATCCTTGTAGATTGTTCTAGAAACTACATTGTGCATGGTTCTTGTTGAATAAGGACGCCACTTGAATTCTTCCCTGGCGGAATCGATCGTCGGCAGGCTATTGCGGTTGCTCGATTTCTTCGAGTTGTCCCACCGGGCTAATCTCGGCTGGGATTGTTTGATGGTGATTGGGTTTGTGGATCTTAGTGATGGGAATCTTTCCCATATCCAGACCTGAATCAGTGCTAATGGAGCAGAAATCATGACTCGGAAATCGCGATTCTTGGGTTGGGTTTGGGATTGATTTCTTGCGGCGGCGACGGCGGCTTTTAGCAGAGTTAGGCTCCTGTAAATGGCGGCGAGGACCGCCGGTGCTAGTGCGACTCTAGTGCCTCTGGCCAAGTGGACGGCGATTGGAAACACGCTCTTGATTATCGAGTCGCGCGTGAAGGGAAAGACGAACCTTGATAGCCAGTAGGCGAGGAATGCTTCGTGCTCGATTTCGCTTCCTCCGCCGCCGCCGCCGTCGCCGTCGCCGTCCATGAATCTGGCCATCCATCTGCTGTGTCCGGCTTTCCTCGCCGGGGACTTGCAGAGGTTCGTTCGGGCGGCGAGTAATTTTTTCATTACTTTTTGAGATTCGTCGTCGGCGGGAGGAGGGGCAGAAACCGACTCACCGACGACGGAGAACCCACCGAGCACCGCCGCGTCTTCAAGCGTGAAAGTCGCTTCACCCCATGGGAACACCGCCGTGTTCGTGGCCGGGGACCATTTGTCGACGAAATCAAAAATCAAATCTTGGTGGCGGTGGATGCAGCATTTGGAGCTGACGACGGCGTCGTAAATCCCGGCCTCTATCCAGGTGGAATGGTGGGAGGAGTGCATCCGGTCCACCCATGTTTTCCAGTTGCTGTCCGGAGTTTTCCAGCCGATAAAGTTGACGTTAAAAGACAAATCTTTGCACTTGGGTGGGGAAGTTGAAGAATCGAGTGAAGGAGCGGCGGCGGGGCCGCCGATGGAGGCGACGGAGGGTCGGAGAAAATGGGCTGATCTGAGACAAGGGCAGCCGCCGGTCGGAGAAACCATTGACTCCACCCTTTCTTCCATTACAAAATTATCCGCCATTACAGAAAAAGAAAAAAGTTGCTCTTTCAATTTCTTTTTTGTACTTAACAGACAGGTGCCGCTACAACTTCCGAAATGAAAAATAGGCGTTGTGCCCTGCGCTTGACGTCACATCTCTCTCCCTCTCTCTTGTGCGTTCCCATGCAATTTTGTCCATTTCATATACTAAACGTTAAACAAACGCTTCATACTCAATGGTGCTCGTTGTGTGCTAAATTAATGAATGGTAAATTACACCAACTGATATAAGACTAAATTACGAAAAAAATCATTTATGTTTTGATAATTATAAGGGTTAAATACAAAAACACCTATGTACTATAGATTTTGTATCGTATACCCATGTACTACACATAAATACAAAAATTCCCCTCATGATATATTTTTTTCCAAAATATTAAGAAAGGGGAAATATGCAATACCCCCCTCAAATTGAAAATATTTTGAACTAAACTCAATTGACTATTAGAGACTTTTGTCTACACCCAAGTTTCATTCTTAATTAGTGAGACACCCCTAACCAGACATGATAAGACTAAAGTGCCCTTATGTGATTAGGTTTTTAACGTGATATAATTTATTTCACTCTTTCCCTCCCCCTCTCTCTCGTTCTCGATGTATCATCTTTTTTTTTTTTTTTTCTTTTTTCTGTCTTTCTCCAGATCTGTACCGCGGCGCCCTCCTTCGTTGTTTTCACACCACCGCCGTAGTCCACTCACCATAGCCACCGTTGTTCGTGCACTCGTCACCGTCGGAGTAAAAAATACCTTTCAACCTCCGGTCGACCGAAACCTAATGCAGGAGGCCCTCCTCCGTACAAGTGGTGGTGGCGGTGCCTCCCCAACCTCGTCGCCGCCCTTCGTCGGATGCGTTACATGGAGATTTCCTTTTTTCCTTTTCTCTCGATTTCTCAATTTTTTTTTTTTTTTTTTTTCCCAGATTTGTCCACCATCGCCACCGTAGCCACGTCCCCACTCTCTCTCTCATTCACCGTTGTTGTCGTCGCCTCCCCAGGTTTTTTCAATTTTTTTCTTTTTTTTTTCTCTCCAAATCTGAAACAGCAGCATCAACGTGACTACTCTGGTTCGAATATGACTATTGTCGATTCACTCGATTAGTGATTTATTTATTTCTCGTGTTCGTTGTTTCTCTCGATTTCTCTCTCTTTACACCACCATCGTCTCCACATAAATTTGTACACAACCATTACCGTCGCCGCTCGTTGCCGCCGCCTCCTCATTCGTTTCCACGTAAGACTCTTTCTCTCTTTTTCGGTATCTTTCTCATTTTTTTTTATTTTTTTTTCCAGATTTGTCCCCCACCACCACCACCGTCGCCGCCTCTCTCACTCTCTTTACTTCACCACCGCCACCATCGCCGTTGTCGTCGACTCCCCATGACTCTCTTTCGTTATTTTTCTATCTTTATGTATTTTTCGAATTTTTTTTTCATAACAGGACTATAGTCATGTTCAAATATGACTATAGTCATATTTATGTATTTTTCGAATATGATTGTAGTCATATTCGAATATGACTATTGTTGAATATGACTGTAGTCATATTCGAATAACTAGATTCAAAATTGGTATTTTTTGTGTGAATTTTGATTGGATTGTTTTCGTAAACAATAGGGGAATCTTCTTTGTTTTATATAATTTGGTAAACATGACTATACCACATTATATAATCGAAATTTTTAAGTTGAAAATATAAAAAAATGCAATATAAAGAAAGAATATGTCTATATTGTCACATATAGTCATGTTTAACTATAGTCATATTCGGAGTTGTAAATCTGTCAAGAAAAATAAATTCAATTTTTTGTTTAAAAAAAATTTAAAAAAAAATTAAAATTTTTTTATTATAAAAAATATTAAAAAATAAAAATAAATGAAAAATGGCTAAAAAATCTGAAAATAATAAAAAATAAATAAAAAAAATATTTTTTTTGATTTGGTAGCAAATTTTTAGGAATTTGGAAGGAGATTTTTAGGAATTAGATTATTGTTATGGAAAGAGAGAAAAAATGAATAATTGAGACTAATTATCCTAATTGACATAAGGGTACAATTGGGAATACAAATTCTAGGGGGCTATCACAAAGAAAGATTGAAGGGGTGGACTTATCACCATTTATTATCTATATGAGGGGTTTATTGCTAATGACCCCATTAAGAAAATACCCCTGCTAAGCGTATGAATATGAGGGTTTGTTTGAGCCATTTTTCACTATATTCTTTAACATTTTCGGTAAATTTTACTTGGGAAATTTTGATATTTTTATTTTTTTCTTCAAAATATTTATTTACTTCGATTTTTTTCCTGAATAAAACCTTTTATTTTTGTCATTTTGAATTTCTTAATTTTTTTTTCTAACTGTCTTCCGGTAGTTCAAATTCTCAACAATAATAGGATTGTAAAGATGTTTGTAATCGTAGAATGTTTGAATTAAAAAAATGAATAAACTCAAAATGACAAAAATAAAAGATTTTATTTAAAAAAAAAAAAAAAAAAGCAATAAGATGTTTTGGAGAAAAAAATATAAATACCAAAAAATTTCCCACGTAAAATTCGCTGAAAATGGTAAAATATATAGTGGAAAATAACTCAAACTATATATATATATATATATATATATATATATATATATATGCTTGAGTAGGGGTATTTTTGTCATATTTTGAAAAAAAATGTAATATGAGGGGGGTTTTTGTATTTATGTGTAGTACAGGGGGTATATGATACAAACTTCATAGTACAGGGGTGTTTTTGTATTTTAACCCTAATAATAAACACCTTTCCAACTATGAATTTTTTTACAAGTTTGTCTTTGTAGTGTTAAATTTAGTGAAATATTTTAGATTATGTGGAATATTCTACAATTTTGTACCATTTTTACTCCATTGGAACTCCACATTTTGAAACAAGATGATCATAACATGTGTCTTTTAACTTGTAAATATCTGATTATGGTGCATCAAAAATTGCATTTTTGCACAAAATGAGTACAATTAAAGAACATTCCACGGAATCTAAAAGATTCTGTTGAATCCGACACCATGAAAATAGACGTATAAGAAGATTCATACTTAAGAAAATGGTTGTAAATTATAATTATCCAAACATAAATAATTTTTTTTTTTAATTTAATATTACCTAAGGATACCGTGATCTACCAGTTAGTGCAAATGCATGATGTGTTTGAACCAAAAGCTTGAACAAAAGAATATATAGACCTGGAAAAAAAATTAACTATACTGGCTAAGAAATTAAAATGTCAATCTGTATATAGTACACTAAGAATGGGTTTTTCCATTAAATCAATCGCTACAAACATTAAGTAATTGCTTTCTTTTCCCACTGAATGAATTCAGACGACACACACACACACACACACACACAAACTTGATTCTGAGTTTCACAAAAACTTGGGCACTACCATCAGACGAAAAGTTCTCAATTTAAGCCGACAGTCAACAGCAGAAACGAAAGAGCCACGAGCACGGCGGACGGAATCAATGCAACACCCGAAAGACGATGGCCCCCACTTCTTTTCGGCAATTCTTTCGGGAGGGCACACTCTTCCCCGTTGAAGTAAACTCTCGTTGGGAAACCATCTCCTTGTGCTACGTTCATGCCCCGAGTACCCTTCTTCGTAAATGAGATAACCGATTGTTGCTTCCCGGGCACCCGGGGGTCCCGGTCGGGGTGGGTCCCGTTCACCTCCCCGACCAGGTAGTTCAGCCCCGGAAGCCCCTGCATGAAGACGGTGCTGTCGATGCCCGTCAGCTTCGTCCCGTTGAAGGAGTAACTCTTCTCGAAACCTGGGAAGGCCTTCTTCAACTGGAACGCCGAGAACCAGTCGGCGAACGCCATCTCGTCCCAGTTGAACAGTGTCATCCTGGCGGTCCACCCGCTCTTGTAGTCGGAGTCGATGTGCCAGTTGATGCTGACACCGCAGTTGTCCGGGCACGGGAGCTTCTTCGGGATCGCCCGGTGCTTGATCCTCGCCAGCGCCAGCGCCTTCGCCGTCCTGTTGGCGAACGGCACCAACAGGGCATCCGACGGGAGGAGCATTGCCGGTGCGTTGGCGTCGCACTGGCGCTCACCGTCGCAGCCGCACGCGCACGTGCTGCACGGGACGGCAGCGTCGGAGTAGTAGGCGGAGTAGGAGACGCAACACTTGGACTGCCTGGGCTTCGGCCGAGTCATGTTACAGTTCACCTGCCAGCTGGCAACGGCCGACGTTGTGGCGTCGATCCCACTCGGGTCCGGGAACTCGGTCGGGTCGACCCTCTGGGGCGCGCCGCACTTGTAGCTCGGGTTGAGCCGGCCCTCGATCTTCCAATTCTGGGGCGGGAAGATAGCGGTCCTGTTCAGATCGGGCGGGAGCTTGAACACGTCCACCTGGAAAATGGCTCTCGACTTCGTCTCATTCATAGTCTTGGGCAACAAAATGCCGTCCTTACAGCAGTAGGGCAACTTGCCGACCTTGTCGTCGTTTTGCATCTCCGGCGGCAGGTCGGAGATGATGGGTTTCTTCTGGCAGTTCATCACCGTGGAAAAATCGAAATCTTGGTAGTACTGTCCCTGAGGACCGTAGATACACTCTGCAGGGTCTTTTCTGTGCGTGTATGCTCCTCTCATGTCGAGAATGAACTCATTCCTCATCCACTCCCATGTCAGGTTCCACTGGTCCAGACGACCCAACGGGTGGTTGTTGTCAATAGTCACCTGGGCCAGGTACTTATTCTCGTACGCTCGTAGAACATCGTACGTGAAATGGAGATCACCGTATTTCCGAGGGAAGAACTTTGTTTTCGCTACCTTCAGTTTGAATTTCGGGTCTTTTTTGCAACACACGTACATGTAACCACCTGCAAACATAAACAAGTCAGACCGACTGATTCTGATACATCTCACTAACAGCGTAAAACGTACCTTTACGCGTGGCTCCAGGACATTTGAACCCATCATTCATAAGCTTCAACGATTTGGGCATCGGAATAGTTTTGGCCGTGAGCCCAAATTGCGTCCCTTTTATGTTGACCTGAGCTTGCATCTGAGTGAAATCCCCAGCAGTGTCGATGGCCGTTTTCAGATCGGTCATCGGGTATCCGGCCAGGGTGGTCCCGTTTTTCCCCACACTGATCGGAAAATCGTCACCGTCGACAACCACAGCCCCGTCAACGGAAACCAGCAGCTCGCGATGCTGGAATCCTATGAAAAGCTTCCAGGATTTCAGCTCCTGGGAGCCGGTGTTGAGCACAGTGGCCATTGCCTGGAAAGACCACGCCTGAGCGGAAACGTTCTTGACGAAGGGATACTCCTTTTCCCTTCCCTGGAAAATGTAGGAAGCGAAGATGCCATCGCACTTGTCGATTTCGGCGGGAGGGGTGGAAGGGGTGGTGGTGCCGGGGGAGTCGTAATCTTGAGCATTACATGTCTGGACAGTGCCGTTGTAGAACAGGACAAGAAGAATCCAGGACACCACATTCCATGGTATTCTCATGCCTGTAAATAGTTTTATTTTCACGTTTTTCGACAACGTGAAATAGTTTTTTTTTTTTTTTTCGTTTTGTTTGTTGCCAGAAGTTCTAAATCGTATTTATTTCTACTGATCGGAGATGGGGAAGAAAGAAGAACGGGGCTCGCCGATGAGCCGGCAATGTTTGTAAATGGAGGTCACCAGGAAATGCCCCGTTAAAGAGAAATTAGTGATACAAACTTTGCGAAGAAAAACATGTTAGAGACGGTATACAATGATTACAAGAGACACAGATATTTTCTAGGACCTATATTCAGACACCATCCTCTTCCTCTAGTTTTCTCCTATTCTTTGACAGGTCCAGAGAAGATTCAGGAATTTCTATTACATATAACGGTTTTTCTGGTATACATAGGTTTTTTTTTTTAATAAAAATATTATTTATTTTTTATCATCTATTTATAATTTTTTTTAAATTAAAGTTTGTAAGTTTCAAGTATCTATAAAAACAAAATTACTTAATACTATATGATTTTATCTATTAACGTATAAAAAATAACAATAAAAAAATGCAAATTCAAATATCTAATTAGTACTTCATTTTTATTTTGTAAATTGCACATTTTGAGAGGGTAGCAATTTCAAAACTAATTTGATTTTTTAATATAGCAAATCTCAAGAATAAGTTAACATATATACAACGAAACGACTATTTCCAAACTAAATCAGATTTAGGACTCGCCGGAGTAGCACCAAAACATGTTGGAACACGAAAAATGAAATCCAGATGAAGTATGCTCATATTAAGTTTCATCTAAAAGGTACATTTTAATTTGTTCATACACATTAATTAATACTTAACCGAGTTTCTCACAAGATCAAGCAAAAGCTATCTCCTCTATGGGGGTAATATCGTCAACTAACGGGGCTTTTGGTTCTAAATCAATAAACTGATTAGACTTGCTAGCAAGGTGTGAAATGCTAACCCTACCCTCGCGCCTGATGTAATCCGCAACAGCTTTCATTTCTTCGAGTGATATGTATATGTATTTGCCTCTGTCATCCATTACACCGGATAATCTTCCTGTACAAACAAACATACGTATATATTCAACTCCGTATTCAACTCAAATGCTAAAATTTTAATTAAATGGGAAAAGAAACAGCATACCCATAGTCTCGAGTGAGGTTATTCGATTGATACAATCCTGCACCAAACAACAAAGTCAGACCGTATTTATACATTTATTTACATTTTTTGGGGGAAAGAATTCAAGCTATTAAGAGCTACCTGAGTTCGCAACTTGAACTCTGCAGCAATATCCTCCAGAGGAACGCATTTATGCTTCTGCAAAATCAAATTGAAAAGATGAATAAATTTTTTACTTTTGGATCACCTAATCAAGAAATAAATAAACGGGATCTCGCTAAGGTCACCTTGATGTACTCCACAAAATCAAAGAGCAGTCCTTGGCTTCCATCTTGCATTTCGTTTTCTGTTGTACCTTCGGCATCAATAGAAAACTCTCCTTTCCACTTTTCAAAATCCAACGCAGCAGCTTCTTCCTCCTTGGCTTTGCGAGCTATGGCTTCTTCTTCCTGGATAAATTATATTTAAGTACTTCCGAATGACATATCATATCATTTAACAATTTCACAAGACAGTCATAAGTTTCTATTACGAACCAGCTTTCTTTCTTCAGCTTCGCGCTCTTCATCTTTCCTCCTCCTCATCTCTTCATAACGGTCTTGTTTTGTTCTCCTCGAGTCACGTGAAGCATCTTCAGCCTGCAGAAGCAATCATAAGATGACAACACATTTAATGCCAGTCTACTTGGCCCATTTATAAACCTAATTTGAAACATCAAGAAAGTTCGATAGATCTTTCTGGATTAGGTTTTTAACTAGTTAGCCCACAAGGCTGTTTTAGAAGGTTAACTATGGCTCAATAAATCTTCACCTGGCGCTGTGCTTCTCTCTCTTGTCGTTTCTTTTCCTTCTTCTTTGATGCTTTAGCAGTGTAGTACCCATCTGCATCTTCTTCATCGTCGCTTCCATCAAGAGTTTCTGTAGCCACGTAAAATTACAACTTACTATCACATGTGTACAATATGCCTGTAAGTGAGACAACAGAGCAAGTCTTCACACATGCAATTAAATACAGGTGCCAAGTAAAGACATATCTATCAACCTAAGCTAATGCAGTGAAAGTCATCTTTTGTGTATACAGTTATACTGAATATGATGTTAGCTGCATAAAAATAAGACGGAGTCGAAAAATGAAGAGGCAGATCTGTAAATATCAAAAGAGAGAGCAAGAAAATCTCTTAATATCCAGGCAAGCCTCTCTTTGAATGCTTATAAGAACCCTTCACCTACCAGCAGTGAAGCAATTCCTTCACCATAGCAGGCATCTTGTCAAATGATTCATATTCAAATAAAAGACATCAGGTTCCATTAATTGAACAATGCAATAAAAAACTTGTGAACAGGCTCCTCTCATGTTAACATTAACAAACAGAGAGTTTCCTTATTCCCAAAATTATCCCCCATTAAAAAATCCCCTCGTAATTTAGAGTTTTGGGTACGTTTCATTAAGATAACAATTAAAAGCTGAGAATTACGCACTGCTTAGAATGAACTGGCAGGAAAAAAAATGTAATGAGGGAGCTTCGGTAAGAAATGTAAGGGATTACTGGGTACGAACTCGTATCATATTAATCTGATCCTCTCGATATAATATTAACTGTTCAATATCAAAGGAACCAAAAAATTAGTCTTGCCCTATCAGAATTTCATTAATAGAAATTGATAAGAACGAATCAGTACCACAATACGTAACACTAAATTCATCTAAAATGAAGAAAGTTTAATTAAAAAAATAGAAGAGAAAGCAAACCTTCCACATTAGCAGCAGCTGATGATGTGCTGGCAGCAGAAGAAGCTGCAGTTCTTCGGCGCATTCGCCCCCGTGGATTACCACCACCAGCCCTAACCACTCTTTCCCCTTGCATTTCCTAAATCAACCCCAAACAAAATAAATTACACAAAATTGTTGCTATTCAAACATAAAATCATCACCGACATTCAAAAACATCAACACTATATTCTCAATTTCAAAATAATGATCAAAGAACCTACTAATGATCTTCATTAAAAAAAATCGGAAATCATTAATTATATACCTGAGGCTCTTCTTCATGTTCGCGAGGGCGGGAATCGACTCGACGTCTCCAGAAGTACAGTGGAATCAGAGAGAAAATCACAACCATCATCACTACTGCCACGATTATATCTTCCATTTTTTCTTCCTCGATTCAATAATCGAAATTAAAACAGCTAAAACCCTGACGGAGAACTGAATTAGTAATGGGAAATTGATTCTTAAGAACAGCCGAGTATTCTGTGAGTGATTTTGACGCGAGCTTCTGGTTTCACTTTAACCCAACCATGTTGAACAATACGACGTCGTATCGGACTATATATCACAGGGATTGCAGACGGGTCGAATCGGGCGGGTATGGGTAATTTGGCCCATTTAGCCCATACGATTCATGATTCACTTGAACTTGGCCCAATATACATGGCCCGAATTTGAACAACATTACGAATAACAACATATTTTAATAGAGTTACTTTTAATTTCGTATTTGTCAAGATATGATTAGTAAAAGCAAAATTATATAATTATTAAATTGTATAAACGGAATATTCATAAAAGAAAATCATGTCATTGAACGATGGGTTCAATATATATGAATCGTATTAATTTATATAAGATTGGATTAACTATCTACTATTTAAGATGTTCGGATTTGTTTTCTTAATGAATCAGCAACCAATTATATAAATGCACTGATCATCAAACTTACATTCTCGTATAATAGTAGCTTACTATTCGCAGCCCGCATGGGTGTAGCTCAACTGGTTCCGGAGGTGGTAAGTTGGTGCAAGGTCCTAGGATCGAATCCTGGTAGCCGCAGTGTGGGAATTTCAACTCCAAATGAGGGTTGGTTCCTTGTGGGCACCAGGTCCGGGTCCACTACCTTCACGGGCCGTTGAGTTACCATTGAAAAAGATATTCGAATTTGAATCAAAGATGTTCGGTTTCTTAAACAAATCTAACATTTTTCCAAATCGAATTGACAAATATACAAAAATGTTCATATATTATAAAAGTGAATGTATTACAAAAGTCAACCCCACGCGCTCAGATCACAGTGTTACTCACACAAAGCAACTTTAAATTAAACAGAGTTTTTACAAGCCCTCGGTGAAAGTAACTCCGGTGGAGCCCAACCAATCGCCGCCCTGAATCAACTCCTTGACAGTAAACTTGGTGGCCTCCGCCGCGTCGGTAATCACATGATACCCAGTCCAATTCACCCTTTTGCTTGTCCCAGCACCACCTCCCTTGTTCATATACTCCCCGTAGTACAGCGTCTTCAGAGCAAAATCGCCGCTCCACTCCGCCCACCCCGCCGGATCGATCAGATCTCCGATGGTCGACTGCATCACCACCGTCCTCGAGTACTCCTTCCACGGCCGCCCTAGGTACGTCGGGAACGAACCCTTCACCGGTGCCAGGTCAGCACTCGCAATGATCTCACAGTCCTGGATCGAGGTCCCCGTGTTCTGGTTCGGGTCGGTCCGCCCCTGCGCCGTCACCATGTTCTTCTGGCTCTTCATCGGCTTCCGCGCCACCAGCTTGCACTTCTGGAACACCACCGCCGCGTTGCCGAAGATGAAGTCCACCGTCCCCGTGACGTAGCTCTCCCTGTAGAACTGCCGCAGCGAGTGCGTGTACAGCGTGTCCTGGTACGCGTCGATCCGGCACCGGTTTATCACGGACTTGTCCGCCCCCACCCGCAGCGCCACCGCCTGGTGCTTCTCCGGCCCCGCCGTGTTCTGGATGCAAATGTCCTGCATTATGAAACCCTCTCCAACCGCCGCTGCGTGAATCGGAACAATTCAGTAGAAAACAAAACAAAATTAAAAATTAATTAGCCCTAATTTTGACAGGAATTACCAAATTACCTAGAGTGGCGGAATTGAAGGTGGTGGCGCCGTCGGCAACGTTAAGATCACCGGTAATAATGGTGTTGTTCATACCATCGCCGATAATCATCAAATTCTTCTTGTTCTTACCAACTTCAACATTCTCCTTATAAGTCCCTTTCTTCACATAAATCACATACCGTTTCTTGCTCTTATCGGGCGCCGCCGCAACCGCTTCCGCCACAGTCTTGTAATTCCCCGACCCATCTGCCGCCACCGTCAGATCAGCTGCCACAGCATCCGCCGTGCTCTGCAGCAGCTGCCTCTCCACTTTCGTAATCCATGACGGCATATAATTCTGCCCGAAAGACGGAATATCCACTTCGTTGTGATCAAGCTTCGATACTGCCACCGCAAACACAGCCAAAGAAGCACTAGCCCTTTCGATCAAATCCTCAATTACTTCCCCTAAATATTGTTTTTCGAAAGAATCGAGCCCATCGAAACACGTGACGTGATTAGTGAGCACACCGCTAAGCCAAGCTCGTGCATTGTCTCGAGACATAGCACTAGTTTCGTTGTTGAGGTCTCGAATCGAATCGAGCACGAGATCAATCGAAAGGTCGATTAGGTGGAGACAATCGGCAAGAGCACCTCGTTCGATTTGAGCATTCATACGATTCTTGAGTTTCCTCGTCTGTGAGATAGCTCTGCTCATGTGATGAGCTTGCCTGATCAAGAACTTTTGTAGTAAAGTGGTGCCGTCTTGTTGCGGTGTAATTGCGATTGCGCTATTATCGGAAGTAACTTCGGACACGAAATCTTGGCATGATTGGGGATTTAGAGCACGGCTGCACAAGTGTGAAGTTTTTGAATTTGACTGATACTGATTGGGAAGAAGAAGAACAGCTGAGATAACTAGTGCAGAGATGGATATGGTGAAGAAGATGAATTTGCAGTTGGATTTTGTTTTGTGAAGCAGAGGTTGGTTTGTTGAAGCCATTGAATTTCTTGTTGTGATGTTTACTATCTAATTACATTGCAGCTTTATATAAAGAAATGGGAGTGATTGGAGTGAAATGCGGAATATTTTAATCAGACAATTGATGCGATTTTTCTAGTCTAGAGATAGTTAGTGGCTCTAATCATCAATTAGTGTTTGTTTAACTTTATTCATTCAAAACAAATAACAGTTTTAATACGTCTCAGCTTTATTGACAAGATTAGTCAAAATAAGATTATATATTCCCTGAATAAATTACGGCTATTTTTTAGGAAATGTCAAATTACGAAAAAAACTCATCTTTTTGAATAATTACAATCATCCTCATCAATTATGAATATTCTTGCATGTTCATCCATGCGATGTTAAATTTAGTGAAATCTTTTAGATTATATGGAATATTCTCCAGTTTGTACTCATTTTATCCATTTGAGATCCACATTTTAAAAGAAAATGATTATAAAATACTTCTCTAAACTTGTAAATGTGACACTGTGGTACACCAGAAACTGAATTTTTGTACAAAATTTAGTACAAAGTATAGAACATTTCATAGAATTATGACTAATCTGCGTAACCAAACTAGTCCATAATATATTGTTTATTGTCATCAGTCATGAGTCATGTGACACATTATTGTGACCTGTGACGGAGTATTATATGCAGCGGTATGGAAAAGGCTTAAACATTTATTATTACACAATTATTATTCTTATTATTGTGGGCATAACCTCTATTATATACTCTTTTATTTTATTTAAAAAAAAAATGATAGAGTTGATATGGAAATTTGGAAAGGATTTATCCACGAACGCGAATCGAGAGAGTGCATGATTATGACAGGGTGGAACATTTTCACGTGGACCTCAGATTTAATTAAATTTATATTAATTTAAGGAAATCCATAGTTTTGTTTTTTTCCTTTAATTAATTTGAGTAATTTGAATACGATTAGTTGATTACTAAATTACCCATAAACTAAAGTAACGCATCCCTGCGAAACTGGACATCAACTCAAAGGGGCAAGGATAGAGAAGGAAAAAAAAAAGAAAAAAAAAAGGGGGAAAATTTCCAAGTTTGCATAGTTTTTTTCTTTTTTTTTTTTTTTTTTTTTTTTGCTGAATTAGCGGGGAAATTTGCAAATAACAACTTTACCTTTTTTTTTGATAATTAATAACAACTTTACCTTTATAAGATAATAATTATCCAAACACATACTTTGTGATTGCAATTGCTAAAAGTTATTTAGCCATGAAATACTTTAATGGTAGTAGGTGAGACATCACAAATATCACACACACACACACACACACTGTATCGCTAATTGGCATATATAGTATTATTATTAATCTCGACACTTGTTTTAATTGACGGAGTAAAAAACGGAGTTTATCTACAGCAGTCGGAATTTTGTGGATAAGAGTTGACGGAGTGATGCATGGTACATTCAAGTTGCTGCTGTCAATTGATCTTTAATTTGGACAACGTGACAATCAGGTCTGGACTATTGTAGCACATGGAGAATTAGGTATCCATATATCGGTGACAAAACTATTTTAATATTAATTCAAATATGGAAACACGTGGCAAGAGGATGGGAGACCCACCCGGTGATAATCACCGGATACAGGGTTGAATTAAGCTGTATACCCGTTGTTGAGTGCTCGTTTGAACATCGGTTGTTGAAACTCAATGGCCAGAATCGAAGGAAGATCTAGAGCCTTCCAATGGTTTAATCGAACAAGTACGCCTATTATATATGTTGCTGTAGTTACGTATCCAGGCGCGGGAATCCACTCGATGGGATTCCGAGAAAGTGGAGTTCAGGTAGAGTTTTCTACAGTGGCATCTTTTTGTATAAGAGTTTGGAGTTGCTGTTAGTTAGTTAAATGGTCTCGAACACGACAACATGAAAATTAGGTCTCTATACATTGTCGTTCGTAATATCGAACATGTGTTGTGTTCGACATTAGTTGGAGTGCATTCAATTCTGATAATAACAACTGATTTATATAGGTGATTTAGGCCGATAATGGTACGGAAAATCTAAAATCAAGTAAAGCCACACGCCGAATATTTACAAGCTTCACAGTAAAATTCATGGCCTCCGCCGCGCGGCGCATGCTTGAGAGATCAAATGTTGGCATGCTTCGAGATTTAGAGCGGTACAGCACATGTACGAAGGGCTGTCGTTTTTGGTCGGATTATAATTAGGAAGGAGAGAAACAACTGAAATTAGTACAAGTGAAAGGATGGATAAGTGAGGAAGAGGATTCTCCAGTTGGCTATGGTTATATATATATATATATATATATATATATATATATATTTTAAATAAGCACACAAACACATTGATGGTAGTTTTTGAAGACAAACCAGGAAAAAAGCCCAACCAGATAGGTTCTTACACAGAAACATACTCCAATTAAGGAGCACCACATCGATATCTAGCAAACGAAAGGCTTAAATTTTATTTCGTTCTACCTCAATCACATTTAATTCCTTATTCCGTTCAAGCATCGAGAATTTCAGCATCATCAACCGCAGCTAAGACCATCTCCGGGTGGATGCTTCCTACATTATTAGCCAACCCCAGTGACTGCAACGCAATGTGAGCCGCCTTCTGACCCGATATCATCATCGCTCCGAACGTGGGGCCCTGCGATCAAATCAAATTTCCACATCACTATTATCAAAACAAACTCAAATAATCGTTTACGAGTACAAACATATTCTTAATCGACATTTACCAACAAACAAGTACATGTTTATACATATACACACATATATATACTTACCATTCTTGGAGCTCCATCAATTTCTGCAACCTCCATGCCGGTGACAATCATCCCGGGCACAATTTCTCGGGTAAGCCTAACAATAGCATCCTCGGCCGTATTCATATCCAACGCCTTCATACCAGGAACACTATCGATCATTCCAATACTCTTCAACCTCTTCACACCCGTAGCACCGAACGGGCCATCGTGCCCGCACGAGCTCACCACCACCTTTGCCTCCATGACATTGGGGTCCATGCAAGACTGAGTGTCGTGGTTCATCGACACGAGAGCCCAGTTGGTCACAACTCCGGCGACCCTGCCTCCCTTCACTATCAGATCTTCGGCCGCCACGGCATTGAAGAGCTTCACATTCGGCCTGGCCAGGAGCTTGCTCATGATCGTGGAGGTGAAGAGGGCCGCATGCTTGATCACCACGTAGTTGTCCTGCTCGTCGTATTCCAAGCCGAGCTCGTCTAGGAAGAGGTGGGCGGGTTTGCGCACCACCATGGCGGAGAAGAGCTGCCCTCCTAGCCATGCTCCGCCACCTGGGCTCACCGACTGCTCGATTATCGCAACCTGTAAATATAATTTTAATCATCAATCCAATCAATCTTATAAAAATCCAATCAACTTTATCAAACGAGGCTGTTTAAAAATGGTACTTTCTTTGTGCAAGAATACATAATTTTTAATCTGTTCATATAAATCATCAGTAATCCATTATTTTACGAAAATCATCATAAAAAATTCAAGAAACCTCGCCACTGTTAATTGTTCCGGGCTCAACCAATTAAACAGAGAAAATAATTACAGAACACCCTAAAAAAGTTGCTGAAAAATCCGTTCAAATCACCCAGATTATTAATTACTCAGAAAAATTCCCAAATATTTATATACTTACAACTGTTTGAGAAAATGACTCAACGAGAACAACAGTAAAAATGAAAAATTCCCAAATATTTATATACTTACAACTGTTTGACAAAATGACTCAACGAGAACAACAGTAAGAACGAAAAACCAAAATCGATTTGCAATAAAATTAAAGAGGGGTACCCGAACAGAAGGGTTTTTGCTGAGCTCATAAGCGCAGGAGAGTCCGGCGGATCCAGCCCCGACAACGACAACATCGGTGTCGGCATAAGTAATCATGTCCGTCATGTACCTCCTCGTCATCTCCCGAGAAACGATCGATTCCTTAATCGGAGCAAATCTGAACTGATTCAGATCGTAACCCGGAGGAGAAGAAGCCGACGACATGGATATGGGCGACCCATTTGGTTTGGCGGATCGGGTTGCCTGGCGGCGGCGGCGAACTGCAGGGGAGATGGGCTGGCCGTTGAAGGAAGTTTTGTGGGTGTCGAAAAATGAGGGTTTTGAGGCTAGGGCAGAAGCCATGGTCGCCATTTTTGATTTTTTTTTTTTTGACAGTGATAAAAATTGGGATTGTTTACAGTGAGGAAATTATATATATAGAATTGAAGGGATGAGGATGAATTAATGAGAGAGAATCTGGGAGGCGAAGGTTGGGATGAGGGTGAATTAATGGTGGTTTTTGAAATTATAAATGCAGGTGGATTTGGAAGGCTTCTGTGTTTGGTATACACGTGAATGCCATGCACATGTTGGTTTCTTCAACCTTCTGTGCTAGTACTTATTTTCACTGGAAAAAAAATATTATATATATATATATATATATATATATATATATTCAAGTGATGCATAATTATTTGTATTTTGGAGAATTTTTCATGTCCCAAATTATTTATTATTTTAGATATTTTATGAAGTATTAATTGTATTATATTCAATTTTACGCTTTATCATTCATAATTAATTAGTAGTAAAACAATGAACTCATAATTTTTCTTGTTTCAAATTATCTATCACTTTAGAATTTAAATGATGTATTAATTACTATTTTCTCAATTTATCCTTATTTTTTTTTTTTTTGAACAATCAATTTTATCCTTATGACTATTGAGAGAAGGGTGTATTTAACGCCAATGATATGTTAGTAATTTTCTATATTTTTACTATAATCTATACAAATTTATTGATATTCTTCATATGGGCAATCCAAAACAAATTTATTGATATTCTTCATATGGGCAATCCAAAACGTCGTCTAAATCGGGAAGGAGGTAGTATCACGAACGAAAGAAGTAATTAGTGAGAACTAATTATCACAAATATAAGTTTCAAGAGAAGATAATCATCAAACATGTTTTTATTTAAATTTAAAGATTAAATTTTAAGGTGTTAGGATATAAAACTTATAAGATCCAACTTTTCCGCCAAGTTGCACATGAACAAACATTTGATATGTGGAACTAATTTTGAAGGAATTGTGAAAAATATCGAGATTCGGAAGCAAGTACACAAACAATCATAGTGACGAATATATGCAAACAACACAGCAAGATCACAAATCATATCCATTAATAGAAAAAGACTTACTTCAGTCAACATCACACATTAAACTCGTAGAGAAACACGAAACTAAAACAAAACAGCCAGTACGTAGTATCAGTAGATCGTTAAGGCTTGTTCAACAAATAGAGCTACTATACACTCAGAGATTAGCACTGAGTTAATATTGCACAGCCACACTACAGATACAGATGCTGCTGCAGCTCAGAAACCATGAATCTTGATATGCTCCTTTTTCACGATTCCAGCCTGTTCCCATAAAATCAGGATTAGCTAATAACATACATCCAAACATATCGAATTAATACGACCAATTGTCATCTTGTCACTATTATTATTATTTTTGTTCATGTTTTAATGGTGAATATGTACGAAAATCACCTGAACAAGAAAGGACGAAACGTTCTTCCTCTGATCACCTTGGAGTTGAATAACCTTCACCAAGATATTTTTAATTGAATATGACTGAATATATAAAAACATTTAAAACGACGAGTAGGGAAGAAAACTTGAGAATAAGATTTCAAACCTGTCCTAGTTCTGGGTCCTGAACAACGGTTCCATTGCAGCAAAATTCTTTCTTAAGATCCTTCAAGATTTTGTTATAGCTGAACTCTTTCTTCAATCCCTGCACAGTTGTTAGGCTTTTACGACCATTTCGTTGTTGTACACGAATGTGAACGTAGTCCTTTGACCCAGCACCGGAATTTTCAGCATTTGCATCAGCAAAAGGATCTAACAATTTTACATGAAAAAACCGAATTACAGAAAGCATAAAGGACCCGTCTTGCATCTAGCTCCGCCCCAAAATTTCATTACATTTTCTTTATCTACTTTATTTTAAAACATTTACATCGAATCAAGGACGAAAAAATTGCAGCCAAAACAATAATTACAGGGCAAACATAAAACGTTACGCAAATATAGCATACCGTATGCAGATGGAACCTGGATGTCAAGCTCAGACATGAAACTCGGTTGATGCAGCAAATTCGAACCCGGCAAACACGATTTGCTCAAACTAGATTTGAATTATCAGACCTGGTTATATACAAAATAACATGAACCAACAAAATCAGACACTAAATCATTCAATTGAGAGCTTCACTTTTATGCAAATTTATTGATGACAAAAAAAAATATTAATAAAGCAGATCAAACACTAAACCAAAATAGAGGGCAGCGTGAAGATTGATCCGCATGTATAAACGTTTAAAAAAAAATCCCAATTAACAAGTAACTGATTCATCAACAAAACTCACAAATTAAAAGGGCTAAATCAAATTAACAACCAGATATCCCTAATTATAACCCTAATTTGAACAGATCTGAAAGAATCCGAAAACATAAAGGGGGAAAATGGTGCAAAATAAGATTACCTGATCCAAAAACTAGGGTTAGATTGACGATACGGACGGCGATTTACAAACGGAGCCCCAAATTCTGATAGGAGAAGAGAAGAGATGCGCAAGTTTGTGTTCATAGAACGTCGAATAATGAGATTAATTAAAGAAAATTGTGGGGTGTTTACTGCCTGCTTCGCGGTGCAGTTGGTGCACGTGCCTACCCATGCTACGTGGCAGTTATTCATTTGGCGGTGCATTGGTTGAGAAGCACCGTGTGGTTGTTTTAGATTGCGGGGTGATCCAAAAATATAGTAGGCCTCTTTCTAGTCAAAAGAGTTAATAGGCTTTTTGTTTTTTTGGTTATGGCCCATTATAAGAAAATGATGTGTGCTTCAAATAAATTAAAGAGTAAATTTCACTTTCCATCATCCTACTTTCGTTCAATATTAATTTACTATCTTCTACTCTCAGTTGCATCGATTTGCCCCATTGTACTTTGGCTAGATACGAATTTACCACATTCTACTTTCAATTGCATCGATTTGCCCCCTTGTACTTCGGTTCGATATCACTTTACCCTATTCTACTCTCAATTACATCGATTTCTCCCCATGGACTTAAAAATTTGTCTCAATAAGACCCTCGCCATTAGTTTTCACACCGTTGACCTTTACATCGTTTGATCTAAGTTTGAAAATTACAAAAAATCCACCCCAACAGTTTAAATAATTATTATAAAAATTAAAAAAATAAAAATAAATTGTGGTTGGCGTCGTGGACTATATTTTCTCGTTGTCTTGAATTTTTTATTTTTCATTTATTTTTTATTTTTTATTTTTTTAATAATTATTTTAAACTGGGAGGGGTGACTTTTTAGTAATTTTCAGACTTACATCAAACGGTGTTAAGGTCAAAGGTCCGAAAACTAACGGTGATGACTACATTGGGACAATTTTACTAGTACAGAGGGTCAAATCGATACAATTTGGAGTAGAAGGGGGTAAGGTGATATCGAGCCAAAGTACAAGGGGGCAAATCGATGCAATTGAGGGTAGAAGGGGGTAAGGTGATATCGAGCCAACGTACAATGGGGCAAATCGATGCAATTGAAAGTAGAAGCGGGTAAGGTGATATCGAGCCAACGTACAAAGGGGAAAATCGATGCAATTGAGAGTAGAAGAGGGTAAAGTGATATCAAGCCAAAGTACAAGGTGGCAAATTGATGAAATTGAGAGTAGAAGAGGGTAAAGTGATATCAAGCCAAAGCACAATGGGGCAAATCGATAAAATTGAGAGTATAATGGAGTAAAGTGATATCGAACCAAAATATAAGGGGAAATTGGAATTTACTCTAAATTAAATGGTAATATATTTTATTTTGTAATATAATAAAGGGAACATTACGGTCATTCCTGATGTATGACCAAATTACAAAATACTCATCTTGTTTGCGTAATTATAGCAACTCTATCCTTTTAATTTTTTTTACATGAAATTTATGTAATTCGGTTATTTACTGACCAAATCGTATATCCAATTTGGTAAACGATATAAAATGTTAGCGTACTGAAATTTCGGTTCAATTTTATCGATTTGATATCCCTAATTACCCTCTATAAGATATTTTCATAAGATAATACATAATTGAGGGGTAACTGTAATTATACAAACAGAAGGGAGATTTTTGTAATTTAACCATAACTATGTGGCCGTAATTTGCCCTATAATAAAATAACCTATGTCATACTTCAAAATGAGAAATTGATATTAATTAATAAAATATCATGATCCCACTATATATTAATATAATATAATTCAGTGGCAGCATATGCATGAGTGACTTACGTGGAAGGCTCGACCCATGACACGTCACCCCTCCGCCACCTCCACGTTCTCTCCATGCAAATCAAATCCCACTATATATTAATATTAATATTTTTAACAATATATTATATATGTATACAATATTTCAAATAGAACCCTGAGCAGAAATTTAATAGTAAATAATAATGGCAAAACTCGCAATTTTCGCCGGCTTCTTGGCCGCTTTGATCGCCGTGGGCAGCGCCGCCACCACCTACAGGACGGTGGACGAGGAGGAAAACCCCTCTTGCCAGAGAGAAATTAAAGAGATGCCGATGAAGGAATGCATTAAATGGATACATCTGAGTTGGGCGGCGGAAGAAGCCCCTTCCTGGGAAGCGCGGTGGCTAACCCCGGCCAAGAGCACCTCCAGGAGTGCTGCGACGAGTTCTGGCGCGTGAGCTCACCGTGCCGGTGCGAGGCGGTGGAACATATGACGAGGCAGATGCAGCAACAGTACGGAACTGAGGAGACGCAGGAAACTATCAGGGAAAGGATGCAGTCTCTTCCCCGCACGTGCAATATCAGATCCCCCACGCGCTGCCGCTCTCCGGCCGCCGTCTTTGTCTGAACAGTCTAGAGCTGTATCTACTATCTACTAGCTAGTGTTATTTAACAACGTCCATGAAAAGTGTGTTGTGATATTATATATTTAACAACATGCATTTAATGCATGTTGTTATTAGTGAATGTTGGATGTATTTTACAACATTCTAAATCCGCATGTTGTTAAATATACATACTACAAGATGCACTCGCGAGTTGTTAAATTATTCAATGTTCCACTAATACGACAAGATTCTCAGCGCGTTGTAAATATTTATTACATACGACAAGATACTCTTGTGTCTTGTAAATTTGTTCAAATTTTAGAAGCCACAAGTTACTGATTGTCATTATTATTGAATATATATATATATATAAATATAAACTAACTGGTGTAGTTAGTATTTTCTTAAGAATATATATGTGTTATTATTCAATTTATAATAATTATTTAAAATCATTTTTGTTAAGTAATTTTGTCTTTTCCTATAGATTGATATATCACTATAACATAATAGATATTAAAATAATTAAAAATATATAAATATAAATAATAACTATATACGGAGTGTATGTGTTGGCTATTAAAAAGTAAAAACTATTAATTTAGTCTGTGTATGGTTTTCTCCATCGAAGGACGGCACCGTCGTTCTCTTCTCCATCAACGGTCGTCGAAAAGTTCACCACCACCGTAGAGTTAACGTTGCTCTCTCTATTATTTCCTACGGAAGAATAATAGAGGGCAGCGTGAAGATTTCTCTTCCCTTTCCATCAGCCAATGTCGCCAGCAAGAACACCACCACCACACAGGTAATATAATCTTCATCTTCTCCGTCAATTTCTCATTTTCTTCTCCTATTATTCAATCATATGTCCGGGTTTTTGCTTGAATACCCTAAATTGGATTTTTTTTCTCACAATGAGGAGTCTTCTGATTCAATTTTTTTTCTTTAATTTTATTTAGGGCTCTTTGTTGTTGGGAATGAAATTAGGTTTTCTATGAGTAATTAAGTGCCCGACTGTTGTTTTGAAATTATATTTCTATAATAGACTATAATTTATTGAATTTTTAAATTATATGTTTGTTGATTTTGTTTCATTGAAGAGCCGCATATTCTTGTGGTGTCATCATTGAAGAGAGACATTCTCTCTCCCTAAACCATGAGCAAGGCAAGGCCAAGGATGTAAGTTTTTCTATGTAAGATCTCTATGTCTCTCGTTTTTGTTGGTATATACTCTAAATTGGTTTTATTCTTAAAATTGAATTTAGTATTTGTATGATTTTATTTTTTAAATTTCCTTAAGTTTCATATCTGTTCATTATTCTAAGCGCATTCGAATTTGTTGTTGTCCTTCACCGTCAATTTTTTTTGCCTCCATCTTTTAATAGTCTTTTGCCTCTCAATCTTCTAATAATTTTCCAGACCAATGTAAATATTACCGGCTGTGTTTGTTTTGTAGTAACTAAATACTGATATCTTTTAGCACATATATGAGGAAGAGTTTTGCTTAAACTATAAATACCTCTAGCAATCTACTTAGGTATGTAATTTTATATATTGTTTTTGTCTTTTGTAATAAAAGAAATGGCAGGTTATGTCAAGTTAGATTGCAGATAGAAGACGAGTTGATTCAGTAACCAGAACTGGTTGTTGATACGTAGTTTTCTCAGGATTAAATAACATGTGATTTCTAGATGAATACTATATTAGCAGTTTGGTGGAAGATAAAGTACAGTGAGTGACTTTTTTTTATTTAAATTTTTATTGAAGTTCCTTTTATACATCAAAGAAGAAGATGTGATGTTATACAAGTAAGATTCCCTGATTTTGCTACTTTATGATGACTGACAAAAGAGAAGATATTTTTCTTCAGAAATATCCTAGGATTTGAGGACTTGGGCAAACATAAACTAGCAAACTAAAAAGTCTTGGTAATAATTTGTTTCATTTACGGTAGAGAGGTTGGCATCAAATGTGTTGATCGGGCTTGCTTTGACTATTGTTATGTGCTCTCTTTGTAGTAGCTTTTCTTTTCCTTTAATCCACAGTTTCGTACTTTAATCAGTCTGGAGTATTGGGCTTTTGAGATTCTTGTTTTATTAGAGGGATTGACGCCGAACTCGAAAATTACTACTTCAGTTATAGCAATGTGGTAAGTGTTATAGTACATAAACTTTTGCTCTTCAATGAAACATAAATCCAAGTCTATTCATAAGTCTATAAAGCTTTTAATCGTTTAATTTCGAAATTCTATATTCAGGGTGAATACAGAAACCGTACACGATTGCATATGGTCTAAGTTCAGCAGCTTGGTGACGACACAAGATAAGAACATTCTCTCTCTCCCCCTTTATTTGTTTGTTAATTCCTCTTATTATTATTTTTCATTTTCTCTTGTAGTACAAGGTTGTTGAAGGAGTTAGGAAAATATCCTAAGCTTTTTATTCAGGAAATAGAGGTTGGCATCAATCTCCTGCACAAGAGCTCTGTTTTATTTAGCTTCATCATACAAATTATGTACATTGATTTACTTGTTTTTTGATCTTATTTTTCGGTTGTGGAAGGTTGACCGTAGTGTAGATGAGTTTATTACTCTTGAGAATGATGGAAAATTTATTGTAATGGATAATAATTATTTTAATGAAATTATATTTTTTCTATTTTTATGGATGATTATTATTGAATAATTGTATTTCCAACAAATTAGGCGAAATCGGAAAATATTGATTTTTTTTTTTTGTGTGAAAGTATAAACTACAACATGCATATAAATGATGTTAAAACTCTATTGCAAGACGCGCTGGTGTACGGTCGTAAAAGCGGCCACAACATGCATATTAATGTTGTGAATGCTATAGCGCAACATACGATGCATATTGTTGTAATATAAAGGACAACGCTTCGTACAACGTACGTTGCCCGTTGTTATTACGCAGTCACTTTTAACAACATGTTGGTCTACAACATGCGCTTGTACGTTGTTGAAATAGTTTGACAAAATGCACCGCATGTTGTTAAAAGTACTTTTTCTTGTAGTGTTTTCTTGTTGCATCTTCCACCAAGATTTATTTTATATATTATTTAAGGGGAAATATGCAATAACCCCCTCAAATAGAAAATATTTTGAACTAAACCCAATTGACTATTAAAGACTTTTGCCTACACCCAAGTTTCATTCTTAATTAGTGAGACCCCCCTAACTAGACATGATAAGACTAAAGTGCCCTTATGTGATTAGGTTTTTAATGTGATATAATTTATTTCACTATTTCACTCCCCCTCTCTCTCTCTCTCACGTTCTCAATCTCTCATCTTCTCTTCTTCTTCGTCTTTTTTTTTTTTTCCTTTTTTTCGTCTTTTGACAGATCTGTATATATGCAAGTATTTTTGGGCGAGATCGAGGGGCCTAGTCGTCGTCTTTGTAGCGCTCTATGCTTGATGTTGAAGAAAAATTGCGTGAAAAAGATCAAAGATTGTATGTAATTGTTTTTTTTTTATTTTTTTTTCTTAATTTAGTCTATGGATTATAATGTTTGGTTCGCAATTTACGAACGTTTGTTTTGTTCAGAGCAAAATGTATGGGGTTTGTGTCGTCCGAGTTGTATATGATTTCATTTTATCTCGATTTACAGAGTAGTCACATAATAGTCATATTCACTGTTCTGTTAATAATTATGACTATTGTTGATTCACTCGATTAGTGATTTATGAATTTCTTGTTTGTTCCCCACTCTCTCTTTCATTCACCGTCGTTGTCGTCGCCTCCCCCTCCTTCTCTTTCGTTACTTTCGATTTTTTTTTCTCCAGATCTGGAGCAGAAGCATTAACGTGACTATAGTCTGGTTCGAATATGACTATCGATGATTCACTCGATTAGCGATTTATTAATTTCTCGTGTTCGTTGTTTCTGTCGATTTCTCTCTCTTTACACCACCATCGTCTCCACATAGATTTGTACACCACCACCACCGTCGTCGCTCGTTGCCGTCGCCTCCTCCTTCGTTTCCACGTAAGGCACTTTCTCTCTTTTTTTGTTATCTTTATCGTTTTCTCAGTTTTTTTTTTCCAGATGCCATCACCACCACCATCGCCGCCTCTTTCACTCTCTTTCCTTCACCACCGCCACCACCGCCGTTGTCGTCGACTCCCATCACTCTCTCTCGTTATTTTTCTATCTTTAATTTTGTATTTTCGATTTTTTTTTTCAGATATGAACAATAGCAGTAACATGACTATAGTCATATTCGAATATGACTATAGTCATATTTATGTATTTTTCGAATATGACTGTAGTCATATTCGAATATGACTATTGTTGAATATAATCTATCATCTTGTTTTCAAGTTGACTTCGAGTAAGTAGATTCAAATTGATTTTTTGTGTGGATATTGATTGGATTATTTTCGTAAACAATAGGGAATCTTCGTTGTTTTATATGATTTGGTAAATATGACTATGCCATATAATCGGAATTTGTAAGTTCAAAATATAAAAAAAAACAATATAAAAAGAGAATATGACTACAGTTAATATAGTCATATTCGACCATATAGTCGAATATGACTACAGTTAATATAGTCACATATAGTCATATTCAACCATAGTCATATTCGGCGTTGCAAACCTGTGGAGAGAAAAAAATCAATTTTTTGTTTAAAAAAAATAAAAAAAAAATTATTTTTATTAAAAAATATTAAAAAAAAAAATAATAATAAATGACTAAATAAAGTCCGAAAACAATATAAAATATAAAATAAAAAAATAAAGTCCGATTTTTTTTTTTTTTTTTTGATTTGGTAGCAATTTTTTAGGAATTTGGAAGCAAATTTTTAGGAATTAAATTGTTATTATAGAAAGAGAGAAAAAAGGAATAATTGAGATAAATTATATTAATTAATCCTAATTAGCGGGATTTAAGTGCCTAATTAATAGGAATTTTGTAAATAATGCGGATTTAGTTGCCTTATTAATAGGAATGTTGTAATTAGTAGATATTTATTAAAAAAAAGTGCGGATTTAATTGCCTTATTAATAGGAATTTTGTTAATACTAGATAATTATTAAAAAAAAATGGGTAGTATAAGGGTAAAATTGGAAATAAATATTCTAGGGGGTTTTCACAAAGAAAGAATTATGGTATGGACATATCACTATTTTTTATCTATTGGAGGGGTGTATTGCTAATGACCCCATTATTTAATGGGTTTGTCCCTTATTTTTGGCCCCTTTAAATGATTTTTTATTAATTAAACTACTAATCATATCAGATAACTTTTTTGGCATTTCAATTCCTAATTTAAAGCCCGCAATTAGGAAATTAAAAAAAAAAAATCTTAATTATACTTTTTCTAGTATTCTCAATCAACAATTTATCCAAAAACAAAGCTATTTCAAGATTAATACACTTTTCATTTCAAGAACTTTTCACTTTCATCTAATCAGAAAGCTAACTCAATGTATTGCAAATTCGTGTATTTTAGTTTTGCCGAATTAAAATCGAAAAAATGGCTAAAATTACGTTTGAAATTGAAATGGCATCATTAACACTGAAACGATATTTATCAAATTCCTTCTAAACAGTTTTTAGCTCCAATTCCACAATATCATCACTACAAAAAGTAACTTTTAAGTGGCATCGCAACAACTATTTTTACATGGTTAAGCAAAAAACATTAATGTCACTATGAGCTTATTATGATAATAAGGTATTACTAATTTTATATAGTGCTTATCATCATGATAATACGGTATTATTACTAATTTTATATAGTGACAACAAAAATTGATTGTGTCACTTCTATATAACGACAATATATATCAAGAATGATCAAAGGGACAATTAAAAAGAAATCATTAATGATCAAGGGACAACATGAAAAACATAAAGTGACAATAAAAAGAGCTATTAAATTTAAAAAATATGCCGTCACTAAATATAAAAAATATGCCGTCACTAAATACATGCATGCATACTCACTAATAGCTCATTTTATTGCCACTTAATCATCTTTCATTTCGCTATATACAATGAATGACACTCCATCAGTGACAAGCGTAACCATCGTAACAATATTGTTTGCCAACCATATAAAAATGTGTATTGTCACAAAATATTATTTCTTACAATGTAAGGTAAATGTGTATAGAGTGTACTGGGGCACCCCGAAACCCCATAAACTTTTATAGGACCCCAGTAGCAAATGTTGTCCACATTAAATTCTAAATACTATTTAATAAAATTCTAGAATATAATCATCATTATAATTTGTACACAAATTAAATCTTAAATATACAAAAATCTCCAAATATATACCCTATAATTTCCACAAATGGATCGAATCGAAGAAATTTAACTATACAAAGAAGTAATTATTAGTTACTTTTTTATGGTGCATTTTGCTGGATTTATCAGTAAATTATGATTATATATTATATTATATGTAATGTAATGTAACTAGCTAGTGCCTAGTGCATGTGTATCTTCGTGGCAACATTCTCAGCATTGCATGTACAATTCAACAGATGGAGAGCTAAACCAGCCCCGTGTAAATAAAAAAGCATGCATCAATATGGCAGCATATGCATGCATGCATGCAATTACGTGGACACTGAATCCTGTCACCCAACACCTGATCACCCTCCACGTACACTCCATGCAAAAGCTCAAATCCCACTATAAATACCACCCCACCTTTCCCCTTCCTTCCTCACCAACAAACAAACATCAAATATAAACCATCAACAACTAATTAAGCAATATAATATTTTATTATCAATGGCAAAGCTCGCAATCTCCGCCGCCGTCTTCGCCGCTCTAGTCCTAGTGGCCAGCGCCACCACCTACACCACAACAGTGGTGACAACCACCGTGGAGGCCGAGGAGAACCCCCGGGGACAGTCGTGCCAGACGGAGATCCAGCAGAAGCCGATGAGCCACTGCATGCAGTGGATGGAGTCTCAGATGAGGGGCAGAAGATCATACGGCGGCGGCGAGTCCTTCATCAGGAGCGCGGTGGCGAACCCCCGATACCAGGAGGAGGAGCACCTGGAAGAATGCTGCAGCGAGATGAAGAAGGTGAGCTCACCCTGCATGTGCGAGGCAATGAGCCACATGATGAGGCAGATGCAGCAACAGTACGGAACTGAGGAGGAGATGCAGCAGATGATGAAGGAGAAGATGAAGTCTCTTCCCAAGATGTGCGGCATGAGCTCCACCACCCAGTGCCGCTTCCGCGCCGTCTTCGTCTGAACAACTCGTCGTCGTCGGTTGATCGAATAAGAGTTAATAAAGATAATCTCTCCAGGCAGCGAGTTATGGCCCATCGGCAATACTTGCTTTGAGGGATCGTCTTCGTTTTGTTGTTGTTGTTGGCGTTTTGTAATAATAATAATAATGTAGCACATATCATCGTGTGTGTTACTTTCTCTAGCTTTTGAGTTTAATGCCATCTTTCAACCTTTTTTTATTTTATTACATTGTTTTTACTTTGTCTTGCTCCCTACGCTGTAGGACACGGATACATGGACACGGCGATACACAGATACGGATTGGTATTTTCAAAAAACTAGGATACGGAACATGTGAGGGATACGTGTAAATATAAAAAATATAGGGGTATATTTATAAATAATAAAAATATAGAGGTACATTTATAAATTGTAAAAAATATGTATAAGTCGTCATCGCATAAGATAATTGCTCGCCCTTGTTGCTCGCCGTCGTATGCTACACTTTTGGAGTTTTGGGTGAACTCACAGAGAAAACAGAGGAAATGTGTATTATAGAGAAAAGAAAATGCGCATTTTTTTTATTAGGGCTCTTTCTTAAAACGTAAGAGAAGTCCCAATTTTTTTAAAATTGTGGACACTGCCCGACACGGGTGTCCTATTTTTAGCGAAATTACGATACGGCCCGACATGAGTGTCCGAGAAGTATCTGGATGTGTCCGAATATCCAGGTGTCGGATACGGGGACTCTTCACCTTCTAGAAATGTGTGTGCAGCATATGCCCTGGAAATTTTACATTTAAATCAAAAATATGGATACATAGTTAATTAAATTTATAATTAAAAAGCATACGGTGAATAGGATATATATTACTTTTGGGGTAAAATAAATTACTCTAATAAATAATAATTGATGTGTCTTGTTTCATATTATTTATCTCTTTGGAAAGGGTTTGTTTTTATTTAAATTATCTATCACTTTATAATTTCAATGAAACATTAATTGTACTTTTTTCAGTTTTATCATTTATTAATCTTAATTAACTGAAAATAATTTATCATAAATATATTTAAGTGATTTTCTATATTTTCTGCTATAATGTATGTGTATATATATATGATTTATAAGATGGGAGAGAGGGAGTAGAAATGGATTTTATTACTTCGATCTAGGTATGGAAATCGGAACGAAATTTCCTGTTTTCGCTGATTCTGATCCGAAATTTTCGATTTTCGCCGATTATTGTAATATATACTACGTCATGTGAAGAGAAAAGGCACGATTTTTTGGAGAAAAGGAATTCAATAAACTGGACCATCCATATACATTATCTTATACACATTATGTTACAGATATTATTTAATAGTCTTTCTTATTCGTATTATTTAGTGATCTCATAAACATACAAGGTATGAATATTCAAATCTATGACAAGATCTAATAATCTATTGAATAAACAAAAGGGGAAATACTATATTATTGTATGTGGCTAATTTAAGCTCATCACCATCCCGTGAGGATTTTTAAGTACATGATTAAATTATAGTTTGCACTATATCTAGATATTTGTGTTTTTTTATTATTGTTTGTTTATATCAGTTTTATCAGGATATTTCAAATATTATATACATTATTTATATCAAAACGATTTCAAGATTATTTTTAATTATTTATATCGGAAAATAAACAACATAGAAAAAATTACCCACAAACACAAATGTCTCCTATTCTTTAAAAGTTATTTGCAGTATTTTATACACACACACACACGAGGCATGCCTCGTGATCAATTTGTCATTAAAATTTAAAATTATTATTTAAAAATATCGTGATTAATAATTATCAGCAAGCAGGTACTTAATTAATTTGATAAGCACTTAAACGAAGACAGTTTTCCATATTATTAACATGATCAGTTTATTAGTAATTTTAATTTCCAGGTTTGGGTTTTGGGTAATTAAGACAAGTAAAAATAATAAAATAAAATAAAAAGGTTGCATGCAAGATCGCAGAAAAACATTAACAGATAGCATTAATTAAACTCAGATAGAGAAATTAACACATACGATGATATGTGCTACATTATTCTTATTATTATTATTATTCGATCCATGCATCCAGTGATCGACGACGACGACGACGAGTTGTTCAGACGAAGACGGCGCGGAAGCGGCACTGGGTGGTGGAGCTCATGCCGCACATCTTGGGAAGAGATTCATCTATCCTTCATCATCTTGCTGCATCTCCTCCTCAGCTCCGTACTGTTGCTGCATCTGCCTCATCATGTGGCTCATTGCCTCGCACATGCACGGTGAGCTCACCTTCTTCATCTCGCTGCAGCATTCTTCCAGGTGCTCCTCCTCCTGGTACCTTGGGTTCGCCACCGCGCTCCTGATGAAGGACTCGCCGCCGCCGTATGATCTTCTGCCCCTCATCTGAGACTCCATCCACTGCATGCAGTGGCTCATCGGCTTCTGCTGGATTTCAGTCTGGCACGACTGTCCCCGGGGGTTCTCCTCGGACTCCACGGTGGTTGTCACCACTGTGGTGGTGTAGGTGGTGGCGCTGGCCACCAGGACCAGGGCGGCGAAGAGGGCGGCGGAGATTGCGAGCTTTGCCATTGATAATTAAATATTATACTGAATTTGAATTATTGTTGTTGGTGGTGATGGTAGAGAAGAGGAGAAGTGGGTATTTATAGTGGGAATGGAGGATTTGCATGGAGAGTACGTGGAGGGGTGTGAACAGAGTGTAGCTACCACGTAACGTAATGCATGCATGCATATGCTGCCACTGCATACATACAGCTATTACTAATACTATAGCTGTATTTTCCTCTGTATTTATATTTACCGGGGGCGGAAGTTACACCTTACACTTCAATGAAGATGCGCACCTCACAATTTTGTTTGGAACCTAGTACAAAAGTTGATTTCCTTTTTTTTTTTTTTTTTTTTTTAAGAGGTAAATTAAAGAATGAATTGAAATACAATACATATACATGGTAGGTTATTTCCATCCTACGCCTGGTGAACACTAATGTGGATGTGTATGTATTTGTGTGTATATATATGAATGGTAAAGATCTATTCGGTGTATTTCGTCCGTGTACACTACAACAAATGTATCATTTAATAGCATTTGTTTATAACGTTTACAACATAAGTGCTATGATAAATATTTAGTATTTTTAATTACTAGTGATTTAAAAAAAAAACACTATAGTAGAACTTTGCCGCTATTTGCCAAAAAAAATTGAAAAAAATAAAAACTCTGCCGCGTATTGAAACTCTTTAGCATAGTATAAACTGTATGAGGTAGTAAACAATACCTCTCAATTTAAAAATATATTGAACTAAACCTAATTGGCTTTAAATACTTTTCTCAAACACCCAAATTTTATTCTAAACTAGTGATCAGACCTCCCTTAAAAATGTGTTAATCCTAATTTACCCCTCTCAATAATGATATTATCGCTATCTTCATTATCTCTCTTCTCTCGATCTTTATATCTTTCTCTTCAGATGTATAATTTTCTTTTAAAGATTGGCACAACATAGCTACCGCTCTCATTCTTCTAGATTTACTCCACCACTGTAATCCGCTCACCCTAACCACTAACCACGGCCTCATCCGTCTACGGTTCCACCGTCACGCTCGATAAGAAGGAGAGCACCAATTAGAGTTATGGCCCCCTAACAACGCAAACTCTAGCCCCCACCTAGGGTTTCGCCTTTCCTCATCCCAACCACTTCAATACCACCCAAAAACTCTTGCATCTGCCTCCTCACTACCACCTTCGTGCCCAACTGATGCAAATAAAGAAACGCCGATGAGATTTGAGGAAACCATAGAGCGCCGACGAGATTTACACCATCATTGTGAGTGTGGTCGGACTGCCACAGTAGTTATATTCATTTATAGTTCATCTGGGCTGATTTGCCTGAACTCAGAAGCCCACCATTTACTCCCTTCTCTCTCTTGGGCCCAACCATTATCTCTTTCCTCTCTCTCATTGGGCCCAGTCCACTCTCTCTGTTTCTTTCTTGGGCATGCGCCCTAAAACAATAAGAGAATAAGGCAGGGGCTGATAGAGAAGGAGGGACACCTTCGGCTGACCACAGAAGGAGGAGAGAAGAACCAGAGATCGAGAGAAAACACACACACACAACCCACACACACATGAATAAGAAGAAGTGCACACACACCATAAACATACTCACACAATAGTAGTTTAATTGCGGCGGCCAAATTGGCCCAATCAATAGTCATATTCAACTATAGGCATATTCGGTGATCATGATTGCTGTTGTTGAGAAAATGTATAAATGTGATTGTATTTGATTTTATTGTGCAATTTTTGATTTTTTGGAATTGTTGGATATAATTAACGGTAGTACATTATAGATGTTTTCTATTTTTTGTCTTTCTTTTATATTCCGTCCTTGTTAGGCTCGTAATCGAGATCGAGGTGAGCACATCTTTGTTGGGCTTGGGGAGTACTGAACCGAGTTTGACTCAAAGTGTGTCTTATAAATTAAAAAATATTGGGACGATTTTTTGAATAAAATAAACATAAGAGAGTTGAATGCAATAAACGAAACTTAAAATCTGATTTAAAAAAAGATAATTGATTTTTGCATGAAAATGGTGAGACAGCAACTCTAAGGGGCTGCCACGTAGCCACCCAAGCAACGATATGTGTGACGTATGAATTATGATTAATGAAGAAATATCCTTCAACCAACTTTCTTTCTGCAGAGGTTTCTAATTTCCTTTCTTTAATTTGTAGCAGTAATTAAATAAAAAATGGGGGGCGGCCACCTCTTGTCTATCTACTCAGCCTCACAGGCATCAAGGATCAAACGCCTAACTGCTAATCTCCCACTCTCAATTATGGTATTTAATTATATAATAATCATTCTATCTACATATACATGTTTATCGTTGTATCATTCATGCTTAATTGTTATATTAATTTATATATATATATATGGTGTAGAGATATAACCATGGGAAGAAAGAAAGTAATAGTACCGGACACGCGCCTTCCACGGCGGAGGAGTTCGAAAGAGTTGCGGAAGAGAAGAGCCGCCATGGATTCGCCGCCCAGACGGTGGAGAAGGCGGAGGACGGTGTCGAAGAGGCTACCGTCGCTGATTCCAATTTTCAATCTGTCAAGGAAGCTTTTAAGGACGATACTCCGCCGCCCGGAAAAGCTAACTACCATAAGACAGGCGACGAACGATAAGCTCTATATATGTATGTATATATGATGATGTAAAATTATGTTTTCCTTTTCTGTTTGTGGAAGACAAATTATGTATCTATCACAACTTATCTTCTTGCTTGTGTCTGAAAGTGATATAAGGGCCTCCTGTTGTTGTTAGTATTATTGGAGTCTGACAGCTTATCAAGATCTCATCTCTAACTAGAAATCGATTAAACAAGAGATGCAATTCCATCATGTACAATATTAAGAAAGAAATGAAACGAACAAGACCCGATTCTTCATTCGGATCGATCTTGGTTTGAAATCGAGTTTCTTGTCCGAATTCAGTTCTCCTCCTTGTGATCATCACTTAGCCCATCGGCTACCCTTTTGCTAAAGAACTTCACAACCTGTATATAAAAATAAGTTGGGGGAGACGGAAGAATCGGATAACAAATTTCAAAACAGGGTAACACGTAATTCGACAAAAGGCAAAAGAGAGATCGAAGTCGAATTCGACAAACAGGATAACAAATTTCTGTAAGAGAAGTTAACAAGACTGAATTCACATATAAGTCATCTTAATTCCATGAAAAGTTGCAAGATCGTAGAGCCACATGAACATCAGTATTTGAGGGATCTTAAGACAAGATTATATCATTAACAAACGGAAAGCCTATACGAATGTACCTGGAAGATAATAAGCCTCTGCAGCTTAATAAACGCAAAGTAGAACAAAAGCGATTTCACCGGTCACTCTGTTTTGGCGAGGAAATGAATCCATAGACGTATGACAACAGAAATACTTCCAGGTAGCTGTGTTCAAGCCGTAACACTAAATATGGTTCGAATTAGTTTAATTACCAGGTGCATTCTTTGGTTCACAATACAAAACATCAACTGAAAGATAGCCGATCAGATAGTAAATATTTATGGAATATCCCCGCTGGCTTTCTGTTGCTAATCAGCATGATAAAAAAACCCTGAAGAAACAACAACGGGGATGAGCTCAGATAATTCAACTTGTATCCATCTGGAAGAAAATAAAAAGGATTAAAATTAGAAAGTGGAAGTAGCTGTGATGTACATAAGCATCGAGTCTGAATGTTCGACGCCCTGTAGCATCAAATAGAATACCCCAGGTGTGCTTGTTTCTGTAAGCAACACGATCAACAGCCATACTCAAAGCCCTTGAAGTGGCTGAACATTATGCATCAAAGAATTTAGTCAAATTTGCATGAGTGAGTAGAGAAATGATAAAGAGATCAATTTCAGGTACTATAATAGCATTAAGTAAGAACAAACATTATTTAGTGCTGGAGCCCCGATATCCATTGTTTCAAAGGCAGAAACCAACACCAGCCAAACAAAAGGAGAGAAAAAATTAAGGGCATATACCATGAAGAAGGGAAAGACGAAGGCTCCTATATAGCAAGAATCAGCCGAAATCCTTCCACACCCTCCAGTCCAGGCTCAGAGATTTGAAGTTACTTCGCACCCACAGTTTCACAAATCACACGTCCCCTTAAACATTTACTTGTGCGTCAACAATGAGAGCAGAAACATTGGAGACACTTTGGACAACTTATCAAGACTCGCAGTTACCGTCAATTCGCATCCAATGGTCTTTCTTCTCTTCTAGTTTGCAGAATCATTTAGCTTACAATTGGAAGAATTTTCTCAGCTCTACCTCTATAACACAATCATAAAATCGACAGTAGAGAGAGAAAATAAGAATCTACCCTTTATGCCAGGTACTGTGCATCAAGGAATGAAAACAACAAAAGGATTTGAAATGCTGGTATCCATGAAATTTTTTATGTCAACCATACCTGAACAAGATTAAGGAAGAAAAATCCATTATGTCCCGATTCCCGAAATTTAAAGAGTAAAGGTACTGTCCTGAAGCACCTGGCGTCGAATGCAATAGGTAGTGATACTTCATGGTTCGGATAATGTTAGTCGACCACTTAATTTCGTTTCAGGCACAGCAATCACAAGGATTTATTATCACTTTCCAGTGCCATTTCATTTCCAAGAAAAATGCCAAAATACACATTCAATTTTGCAAACTCTGCATAGACTTCAAACAATATAGCAGTAGCAGTATTTCTAAAGCTCATTTCACCCAAAATTCAAAGTCTGTTTAGGCATCATTGTTGTCAAAAAGAAGCAGAACTCTTAAGAAGTTTGATTAATTTTCAACTGCAGAGCCATATCGACAAATCGTAGGTAAATGACAAGAAACAGAAAATACAAACCGAAGCATCAAGCATCGCACATAACAAAAACTCTAGGCAAAAATGAGTGAGACCATACCACTGCAGAGGAAGATAAAAAATCTTCCAGCCATCAATGACAGTAAATTATTTGCTACTCAAGGGAAAAACCACTCTCAACTTAATAAGTTATTGCAAGGTTGAAATCAGAGACGAAACAACTGCAGCAATAGTTGACAATGCAAATTAAAGAGAGCAACTACTGAACGGGGCTTTATTTAACAAAGAAAGTGTGAGCAAATACAGAAGGGAGCTTTATTTAACAAAGAAAATCCCAATCCATTGTCTCAGGGACTAAACCGAATACCAGAATTAGAGCACATAACAGTAACAAAGTTTCAACATAAACCAAAAGGTGGTTTAAGACAGAAAAGAAACGGAACAACAAGATAACAGAAACAAATGATCAAAGGACAAATAGGAGGAGACATCTAGAAACCACCACGGAGACGGAGGACAAGATGAAGGGTGGACTCCTTCTGTATGTTATAATCAGCAAGAGTCCTCCCATCTTCCAGCTGTTTCCCAGCAAAGATCAACCTCTGCTGGTCCGGTGGAATCCCCTCCTTATCCTGAATCTTAGCTTTGACGTTGTCAATGGTGTCCGAACTCTCCACCTCCAAAGTGATGGTCTTACCAGTCAAAGTCTTCACAAATATCTGCATCCCTCCCCTCAACCTCAGCACCAAGTGAAGAGTGGACTCCTTTTGAATATTGTAGTCCGCCAAAGTGCGACCATCCTCCAACTGCTTCCCTGCAAAGATCAGCCTCTGCTGGTCCGGTGGGATTCCTTCCTTGTCTTGAATCTTGGCTTTGACGTTGTCAATCGTGTCGGAGCTCTCCACCTCCAAGGTGATGGTCTTTCCAGTGAGAGTCTTGACAAAAATCTGCATCCCACCCCTCAGCCTGAGAACCAAGTGAAGAGTGCTCTCCTTTTGGATGTTGTAATCGGCAAGAGTACGACCATCCTCCAACTGCTTCCCTGCAAAGATCAGCCTTTGTTGGTCCGGTGGGATTCCTTCCTTGTCTTGAATCTTGGCTTTGACATTATCAATAGTGTCGGAGCTCTCAACCTCCAAGGTAATGGTCTTCCCGGTGAGAGTCTTGACAAAAATCTGCATCCCACCCCTCAGCCTGAGCACCAAGTGAAGAGTGCTCTCCTTTTGGATGTTGTAATCCGCAAGAGTGCGACCATCTTCAAGCTGCTTGCCAGCAAAGATCAACCTCTGCTGGTCCGGGGGAATGCCCTCCTTGTCCTGTATCTTAGCTTTAACGTTGTCAATGGTGTCGGAGCTCTCGACCTCTAAGGTGATGGTCTTTCCAGTGAGAGTCTTGACAAAAATCTGCATCCCGCCCCTCAGCCTGAGCACCAAGTGAAGAGTGCTTTCCTTTTGGATGTTGTAATCGGCAAGAGTACGACCATCCTCCAACTGCTTCCCTGCAAAAATCAACCTCTGCTGATCCGGGGGAATCCCTTCCTTGTCTTGAATCTTGGCTTTGACGTTATCAATAGTGTCGGAGCTCTCAACCTCCAAGGTAATGGTCTTCCCAGTGAGAGTCTTGACAAATATCTGCATACCACCTCTGAGACGGAGGACCAAGTGGAGGGTAGACTCCTTCTGAATGTTGTAATCAGCAAGAGTGCGCCCGTCTTCGAGTTGTTTGCCAGCAAAGATCAACCTCTGCTGGTCCGGGGGAATGCCCTCCTTGTCCTGGATCTTGGCTTTAACGTTGTCAATCGTGTCAGAACTCTCGACTTCAAGGGTGATAGTCTTCCCAGTGAGGGTCTTGACAAATATCTGCATACCCCCTCTGAGACGGAGGACCAAGTGGAGGGTAGACTCCTTTTGAATGTTGTAATCGGCAAGAGTGCGCCCGTCTTCGAGTTGTTTGCCAGCAAAGATCAACCTTTGCTGGTCCGGAGGGATCCCTTCCTTGTCCTGGATCTTGGCCTTCACGTTGTCGATGGTGTCCGAGCTTTCCACCTCGAGGGTGATGGTCTTTCCGGTCAGGGTTTTCACAAAGATCTGCATCTGTACAATTAAACACGGTTAACAGAGAAAATCCAACCATACACAATTTCTACAGTATCGTAGAATCATCTGTAGGTCTGTACTGAACACAACAACAAAATTTCTCGGAGAAAAGCTATATGCAAGACGATGAAATATAGAAGACAATGATTTATCCAATAATCTATCCAATCCACTCAAACATTAAAACTACAACGAACGGGGATCAGACACAAACTTTTTCCTTGCAACAATCAAAATCAAATTAGATCACATAAACAGACGACACTGCATCAATCAAGCCACACATCCGATTGATTCTCCTAAAACCTCGTTCACAATTTGCTTGCATCGGAAACATACAAACCATCGATGAAAGATAATAATAGACAATCCGAAAAATTAAAACCAAAAACACGAAACATACATCAATCGAAACCAGAGAATCATCAACAGCTATAGAAATAGGAAACATAAGAAATAATTGTTACCTTATCAATCAAAATCGAGAAGATTAGGTCAGAAACTAATGGATTGTGTGTGAAGCGATGGTTTTCTGTAGGCGTTTTTTATGTTGTTGATGAAATAAGGAAGAGGAATCAATGCTTTATATAGGGGCTATGGGATTGGAATTAGAAAGTAGAAACCGCCTTTAATAAGAAAATCGGCCTGACGTGTGATTATTACGCTAGAATCGTATCGAAACGCGTAGAACAATAGCCAGGGGTATATGTGGAAATATATGGTATCTTTTCAATTAAGTATTAGGGTAATTACGAAAACCCCCCTAAACTTAGGCTAAATAATAAAAAGTACCCCCACCTATTCGTAATTACCAACAATTCCCTGAGGTTTGTAAATTCTCAAACGAATCTACACTTTCTCAGTTTCAGAGGGGAGGAAGATCTAAGCCCTGTACTATTATTATCTCATGGCTCCCGTCGCTCCGAAGTCCGGCGATGCGATTTTCGCCAGCGTTGATCGCGTGGCAAGTAGATTTGCTTTCAAAATTCACTCCATTTCTCTAACTTTTCACTCTCCGATCGTGGACCGTTCATCAGCAATTTGAGTAATTATTTGAATTTTTGTTTTGGTTGTTGGCGTTGTGTTGCAGAATGCGGAGCTATTCACACTGACGTATGGTGCTATCGTGCGCCAGTTACTCACCGATCTGGAGGAGGTGGACGAGGTCAACAAGCAGCTCGATCAAATGTAACTTGACTATCTATCATACTGTTTTCGATTCTGTCAAGTTTCAATTTGATTTTACACGTGATTTTTTTCTTAGGTTTCTGCAGTAAATGATGTTTTTTTCATTTGATTTATGTTTAAATATTAGTTATTTGGCGAAGTGTTTGAGTTTTTCTGATGTTGTGTTGCAGGGGTTACAATATCGGAATCCGGCTGGTTGATGAATTTCTCGCAAAATCTAATGTTTCCAGATGCGTAGATTTTAGAGAAACTGCTGAAGTCATTGCCAAGGTACTTGTCTTCTTACTCTTCTCATTCATTGCTTTTCGGTTAGGTTTTGAGTCGGGGGAATTTTAGAACAAATTTTGAATTTTAATTTGTCTACAGCTTAGAGTTTCTGTTTCTAATTTGCGCAGATTATAGAAAAAAGTTGAATTATTTGAGGTTTAAGAGTAATTAGAGTACAATTAGAGTACAATAAAACCTGTGTAAGGTTTAAGAGTACGAAATTTAGAAGCCTTTTCTTATGAATTCCTCTGGACATAATTTAAGAACTAGTCGATGAAAAGGTGAAGAATAGTGTGATATAGTTATAGCATTTGAAAATGTGATATTTTGTATGATTTCATACTAAAGCATCCTTAAGTTAGATGAGAAGTTGTGGCTTCTGATTCTCGAAAATTGCAACTGTTGTGTATATATGCCTGACAAAATACGACTTCGGCAGATATTTATTAAGATGTAATATGTACATCGATGTATGTATTATTTGTTTTAACGTAAGTGCACTTTTTCACATATTCAAGTATGTACTAAGTATGCACGCAAGTTTTTGGGTAGATGTACACATTCTATTAACAAGTTTGTTGGCTGATTTACCTGAACTTAAAGTGATGTTTCAAATGTTTCCGCCAGTTCAAAAGTAATTTGTATCCACTTTTTTTTTTCCCTATTATTCTAGCATGAGAGAATGAAATGATTAGGCTGGGGGTCAAATGTATGCCTCATATTCGATTAGGAAGTATTAAATTGTAATTTCTGAGCATAAAGGTTACATATTCACCCATAATCTTAGGACCAAGCAATTGAAAGAAGCTTGAGGAGTGCTTGGAGCAAAGTGTGTATGATTAGGTCATTCTCTTGGCACAATAGAAGAACCTTATTTTCACTGGGCAATTGATTTTTCATCTTCGGGTACAAGTCATTATGTTGAACCTATAAACGCACTTGCTTAATTTGAGTTCTGTATTTTTGTTAGGTAAGAGTCGCAAGACACGGACTACTTAAATTACTTTGTTTATTTTCTCTCTCTCAAAGTGGGGTGATTTTGTTGCTACAATATGCTTCAGCGATGGGGTGTGGGGTTATATTGACGTTGAAAGAACTAGAATTGCGTACATTTAGAATATCAAGTTACAGTAGAAATCATGATTCCCTTTCCTTCACGTGCACACATTCCTGTATATTAAGTCTATCATTAAACAAGAGAAAAAAAGAAGGAAAAAAAAGAAGGAAAAAAAAGAAGCTATCATATCTCAGCACAATCCCATTTTTCTGTTAAGGTGTGGAAGTGAGTAGGAAATTATGGCGCTTATATGATAATTGTTCTTTGAGTGTCTGTGGTTTAATTTGCTTCAATGTCTGACGAACAGGTTGGATTCAAAATGTTCCTTGGTGTCACTGCATCTGTGACGAACTGGGACTCGGAGGGAACAACCTGCAGTATAATTCTGGAGGATAACCCTCTGGTAGACTTTGTTGAGCTTCCCGATAACTGTCAAGGACTATACTATTGCAACATTTTAAGTGGAATTATCAGAGGCGCTCTTGAGATGGTGAGTATTGTTCTTATATTAACATTTTATGCCTAACATATACTATGTTCTATTGCGAGTGGGAATTCTACAATGTAAGGTTATTTGACTTATTTCAAAATATAGATAGGGGGCTTTAATTTGGTTCATCAAAGAATATATTTGAAAACCCTTCTATAAATCTTTGTTGCATTTGAGCTATGTTTCAAGTACTGTCTCCCAATTACAACTACTTCAGCAATAAAATTGATGGAATGTGTGCCTTATTCTCGGTCGATTAAAATTAGGGTAGTTAATTCACAAGAAATTGCTCTAGTTCATTGTTTTTCCAACTTTTGCTTATGGCCCATTTTTTGCTGTGTTGTAGGATGAATGCACTGTAAAATAATGGAATTACATTGATGACTTTAGTTTTTCTTTCCTCGTTTAGGTGTCGATGAAAACTGAGGTGACATGGCTGCGTGATATGCTGAGAGGCGATGATGTGTTCGAGATGCAGGTGAAACTTCTGAAAGCAGTCCCCGAAGAGTACCCGTAGTAAGATGATGAGTAACATGCCTAATATATATATATATCTTTCTGGTTTTCTGTACCTCAGCAAAGTAGTTCAGGTTTGTAGTACTTCTCCCAGAAAAAGTTTTTGGCAAAAAGCACTTATTTGGTTCTCGTGCTGATTTTGCTGTATGGATATTTGTAGTTTGTGTTGAATTTAAGAGACTTGAGCTCGAATTAAGAGTAACCACTAACCAGACCTATTTTACATAAATTCATTGTACCAAAATGTAGGCAAAGTTAAATTTAGGGTTGAGTTTTTTTAAATATTACTTTCACAATTTTATTTTATTTTCCTACGGAAATCTAATTCTCCAAATAAATAGTTATTTGATCCAAAAGACAAATCTTATGATCATCTTGTTTCAAAATGTGGAGCTTGAATGGGGTAAAACGAGTACAAACTGGAGAATATTCCATATAATTTAGAAGATTTCAATAAATTTGATACCGCAAGAGTGGACGTGTGAGAAAATTCATAATTAAGGAGGGTGGTTGTAATTACCCAAATAAATGTTTTTTTTTTTTTTCGTAATTTGACCTTACATGCTAACACGAGAGCTAACCGTAATTTATCATTTTTATTTTCTTTTTTGGTTTTTTCTAAATCGAAAAAATTACACCAGCTAGCAAAAAAGAGGAAGCTCATAAAGCAAGTGAGCATGTCCCTTCGAAGAAAATGATTTCTCTTCCCCACGAAATTTCTTTCACCCACACATTTTGTTGTGGGAGTGTATATATATATATATATATATATATATATAGATATACATATAATCCCTACTTTGCTTTCCATCCACTTACTGATCTTGCGATACCAGGCGTTTCTCGACATGGCGGAGTACGGCGGCGGATGTTGCAGGTGCTGCTTCAGCTTCATAATCACCTCCGGCTTCGCCGCCCTGTTCATGTGGCTAAGCCTACGGACCTCGAAGCCCGATTGCTCAATCGAAAAATTCTACGTTCCCGCCCTCAACAGATCCGCCGACATTAACTCCACCAACAACCACACCATCTACTTCGATCTCAAGCTCGACAACGGCATGAAGGAAAAAGGGGTAAGCTACGCTAACATAAGCCTCAACTTCTTCTACAACTCCACCCACCTCCCCATAGCCAACTACACGGTTCCAGGGTTCTACCAAGGCCACAAGAAGAACACTCACCGCCGTCAGCTGCTGGAAGCCACCGGACTGCCGTGGGCGGCTGCGCTGGAGGCGGTCTCGAACGGGTCGACGGTGAGCTTCAGGGTGGAGCTGGCTACGAGGGTGAAGTACAAGATTATGTTTTGGTACACGAAGAGGGAGAGACTGGAGGTCGGCGGTGATGTGGTGGTCAACGACACCGGTAAGAAAGTCAACAGGAAGAATATTAAATTGAAATCCGGGTCACCCGGTCCAGCTAGCCATTGGGTGAGGGTGGGACCCTTGCTTATTTTAACTTCATTCATTATTGTATTCTTGTAATAAAGATGGTGTATTTTTGTCTAGGTTTTTTGTTTGGTAAAGGCTATATTATTTGTTTGCATATTATTATTTTGAAGAGTTTAATTTCTTAGTTCATTTATTGAAGCTCAACTATGAGTAATTAAATATTAAAATTTAGATCAAATGAATAGTTAATTGATTTATGGAACATTCCCTTTGGAATTGGAATCTTGCTTGAAAACTTTTAGCATTTTATTGTAAAAAAAATTAAAAATTAAAAGTATCCCACCACACCACTCACAATAAAACAACAAAGTCTTATTTGGTTGGGGAAATTAGACTTTGAAGTTAAAAAACAATCCAACACGTCAAAAATCAACAGTCAAGCATTCCCATAATCACAAGTTGAAGAAAATCTTCAAAATAAAAGCAGCAAAAAAAAAAAAAAAGGGTTGCGGTGAAGTCACCGACTTTTACTCCAAAATCAAAGTAGCAAAAGACACCACTCCCAGTGAAGAACTTCTGCATCATCCACTCAGACAATGGCTCAACTAAGAATTGCCATTAACATCATTTTCTATTTTGATCTGCATATACAAAAATAAAAAAAAAAAACCAAAAAAAAAAAATTAATAATAATAATCAGAATTAACAGTTCTCCTTTCATCGGTTGCAAACAAGATGTCCGATCTTTTATTGGGAAACTAAAGGGTAGCTGCATTTCAATTTACTTTGGAACGATAAAATGACAAGTAACAAAGTAGCTTACCAAGCGTTCTCTCGCCTCGCTTGTTACTTGCCGAAAATCACCTACATAACAACAGTACAGAAATAAATAAACTCTATTTTTATTTTCAATTGGCATAATAATAAGTGTAATAAATAGAGGAACTGAGAACTTACATCTGAAGAGGCTTTCAGCATACGGAAGCACAAACGGCTCACATTCTCCAATTTTGAAAACTCCTTCACAAGATATTCTCCAGGTCATTTCCTCCACATTCAGGAAGTGGAAGAAGAAGTGGTTCTCCATATCAGGATTTAGAATAAACAGCAATTCTTTATCAACTGAAACTATAGAGTTGATGCCACCAAGTGAGGCATCTATCAGAAGTGGAGCACCGCCTTTACCACACCAGGTTGATTTACCGTGATCTGTCAATAGCCATATATACACATTACTTTCGTCGTCATCGACACTCACACATGCCAAACTACCTTCGTATTCAGTCAAGAAAGTCAGTATATTGAAAGTTATTGCATCGACCATTTGTACATCTCCTCCTCCTGGTTCGTCAGAAATCACAATCGTTGGTAGCTCAACCCTGGTGATGTTTTCATCCATATCTATCGAAAGAATATAACCAGGAACTTCAATGTCCTCTTCGGACCAAACTAACCAATACATTATTCCTCCAACACATACGTGTGAAGGGAATAAATGGCTAAGAAGATTGGGCACAGGACCTTTCACAATCCCGGAAATTTTTCTCCATTCTCTAGTATCGGGTGTGTAAACTTCGCATTTGCAATTACTGTTGTCGTTAGATTCAGATTCATCATAGAGAAAACGGAAGATTTTGTATCCATTTTTCTTGGTGTCGAAGAGAACTCCAACTGATTCCGTTATTTCAGATGGACTAGTTCCAGGAATTTCTAGAACTTCCTGGGTGGCAGGATTGACAACTTGGATTCCCAATTCATCCTCTCCCACTGATTTAGTGCAGAAGACTAGTCCATTGAAGGAGCAGAGCAATTTCAAAGATGAATCCTCTTCAAGATAAGGAAGGGACACATATTCACTAACTACTCCATCTCTGTCCATCAAAAACAGATCTTCATCGGTGTTAGAGTCCTGACTACCAAGATGCAAAATAAGCTTCGGGTCTTTTGGAGCACAATCAAATTGCAACTGATCAAATGTTGGTTCAGTTATCAACTTATACCAGAACTTGGAAACCAACTTGAATTCTAGCAAACAATCTACTGGAAGTTCTGACACGATTTTTTCCGTGAGTCCTTCCATATATCCTACATTACGGACATAGTCACAACCCATACAAACCCTCATATTTGTATCTTCAGACATGATAATGTAGCTCTGTTTACCTCCTTCTCGGGAGAGCAATGCACCTCCAGGTAAACTGCCTGCCAGTTAAATAGATTGGTCTGCAAAATGGAACATCAGTTAATGATCCGTGCATTATACAGCATTTTTTTCTCATATTAACAATTCAAAAAAGTAATGTGCTCTCGTTTCTCCAAAGCACCATGTTATAAGGTTGTAGTTCATGCCTGGTGAAAAGGAAGAAGAGGAACAAGTAAACCTGATATCCCCACCATGCATATTATATACATGGCAATGATGCATCGTTTAGAAAAAGAAGAACTGCCTAGTACAGGCTGAGAAGGTAATTTGTTTTCAATAATTTTCTGGCCCTTTGAGGGATGGTTTTACATCAACAAATAAAATTTATTCTTGATTCATTTTCAATGTAGTCTTGTTTACAGAATGTTAGAATTCCAAGTACCTGAAGACCAGAAGCTATTTCAATCTGGTTAAATACAATCTTGTAATTCAAATGAAGCTCATAAAACAATCCAGTCTGAAACCATATCATGAAGAATAGCAAAAGATTTAGACATAAGCACATACATAAAAATCAAAACACAAAAAAAGACGAGATAAAAAGAAAAGAGAGGTAACCAACGATAATAACAGCCTGAATCCAATTTCAAACTTGCTGAGAGTGTATAAAGTATAAGAGCACAGAAGATATAAATCTTTGACTGACTCTTGCATAGTCTTTGGGCATCAGAATTCACAACAGCCAACTCAATCGGATAAATGGTTGAGTTTGGCAACTAGACAGCTAGTTCTGGTCAGAACTAATTTAACCTTGAGTGGACGAAGTTCAAAAAGTTAGGGATTTGGCTAATTTCTTGCCATCCCAAGTTTGTGTAAGTCAGATACACATAATAGACTTGAAAAAATAAATGGACTGACAAGAATCTTATGATTCTATTAAAATAAACATGCCAAACATTTCCCTTTTTCTCAAGACGTTTTAGAGAGATTCGTTTTTGAACTACACTTATCAAGCTGAAGCAAGTCAAATCCTCGATATCATATTCGGGTCCAGTTTCTAAAATTCCTAAACCGAGCTCATGGTAATAATATTCCAGAAAATAGCCTCAATCAATTGGGAGTCTAGACAAATAAACTTGTAGTTCTTATCAATTGGATGTTGTTTGTTGTCAAAGTTAATCAAGAGTTTACTAACCAATCATTAAGATCCAGCATTACATATATTGAGACAATGAATGAGTTAATGAATGGGCGAACAACAGCTACATAAAAGTATATATTTTCCTTTGTCCTGGAATACGCAAACTAGACAAAGTTGGTTGAAGTACTCCAATCATTGTACAAAAAGTACCAACTAGACAATTTATGTTTTATATAGCGAAACCAATGAACAAAACAGCATTGCCCCAAGATTGAGTCCAGAAGCACAGTTCACCAAAACAATAACACAAAGTTTAAGATTGTCTTGGCATATCATGTCCCAACACATATTTTGCCTCCAGAAAAGGATAAAGAGATGCAAGAATTCGCTTGATTGCTGAAGAATTCGCTCAAGGATTGGCAAATTTTCATTTTTCCTACTATTAGAAATGGCAAAATCTTTAGGTTCATAGAAACAAATAGAAAGAAATTATATTAATTCGACTGTTTTCTTGTTTTATCTTGTGCATCTGCTTATGAGTCCGGGTGTTCATCGGTACGGTAAACCGATCAAACTGTGCCGAAACAAAATTTCAGCACGTGCCGAATACTGAATCGCTTATTTGGTTCAGTATTCAATTTTCTTATTTGAAAATTATGGGTAGGTCGGTGTCCACCGAATAGGGGTACTTTATTTGTAGACATTTTTTTCTACATATTCCTATATAATATTATATTTTACACTAAATTTCGGTATGGTTCGGTGCGGCTTTACCGAATGAACACCCCTACTTATGAGTATGTTCATGTAGTTGATCAGTATGAAAAACTGAAAAGATTAGAAATGATCTTTTACTGCTAAAGTTAATCTTGGAGTTCTATGCAGTCCACTAAGGGAGGTCTTCAAGTTAATCTTGGAGTTCTATGAATCTATTGAAGGAGGTCTTCGATAAAATTTTAATGATCGAGCTTCTATTTGGTTGAGGTAGTGCTTTTCTGATAATAGGACTATAAATGGACTAAGCAAAAAATAACAATAGTTTATTATATTTATCCACTAAACCTTCAACATAAATACTACACTAATATCACAATAAAAAAATACTACATTGCACACCATAAAGTCCAATATAATGTAGTTTGATGTTGCACAGAAGAGGAAAAATACGACATTTTTTGTTGTTGTATGTAATAAAATTGTATCACAGATGCCATAAGCAACCAATCTGAAATACACACATCAAGATTCTTGAACTCCACTCATTCAATTGAGATCTCTTCCTTCCACTTTTTTACCTCTCAAATCATGGATCGGTCCATATGGACAAGTGAAGGTATCACAAGGGAGCAGGAGCAAATCTCACAGATTTTTAAAAACAAAAGGAGAAAGAAAATACACAAGGCAAGAAATCTATTTCATAATTAACACATACTCATTGATAATCGCATAACATCAAGCCAAATTAAACACTATCACGAACACTAATGTTGACTTAATTAACCTATAATTCTATAAATCATAAACCGCATGCATGCAGAGCAAAATTCCAGTAGGTATCGGAAAGGAAATTTTGACATAAAATCAAATAAAGTGTACCAAAGGAGAATCCAAAAAGATCTTACATAACCACAAAAATGATGATAACACAGAAAAAGGTAAAAAAAAAGAATCGTAGGATTACAAAGTGAAGCTAATGTAAATGCAGGCTGTACCACAGGAGAATCCAAAAGATCTATACATAAGACACAAATTATGATAGCATTAAAAGGGAAAAAGAAAACCGAAGGATTACCAAGTGAATCTATGTAACTTGCTCTTGTTTCGCTTTCGCTGCGGCGGAGAGTTTGTGTGTGTAAAAGATGACTGTAAGAACAGATATAAACCCTAGAACAAGTCATAAATAGTGTTTGGTAACGGACGCAACCGGTGGAAAAGATTAACTGTTGTGTTGGCCCAACGGTTCAATTAATTATGGACTGGACTAATATTTTTTTTGCCTAAACCTAGTCCGAAAATCATAAATCCAATAACAACTCAACTTCTGGGGCTGGCCCAAGTCTCAAGTGCATATAAGGACAGTGTGGTGCACAATTAAATTTGGAATTCAATTCAGACTTCGTTAAATCACATACTATATCTCGTCTCAGGACCAAACGTATTGCAAAATGCTAAATCAGGCAAAGATCACTCCATTTTTCCCAACAAAAAGTTGATCTCTCTAAAAACCTGGCCACATAGATCCACAACAACATTAGCCCAATTTCTACACGTCCTGAATGAATCCCATTGGAATGGCTTTCAATCATCACCCAATCTGATTTTTGTGAGCACAAAAGGAAGATTCAGTTTGCATTTTGACTTTGTTAAAGTTTCCGCGACAATGAAGACTCTACTACAACCATCTTCTTAGACCATTATTTTAAAGTTTCATGATGATATTGATTTAGAAAATCAAGATCTGACAAATAGAGAAATTGTTTTTAGTACAAATTCTTTGTGCTATATGAAAACTGGAATATACCACAATTAGCGAAAGTAGTTTTAGGACTTCGATTGTTCAAAAAAATAATAATTACCTGACTCTGTTAATCTCAGATACCAAGATCATATGAAAAAATAGCAATAAATCTAAGGCCAGTTAACCATAAATCACCTAAGCAGCAGGGTAGAAGCTTAAAAGGTTGTACCTCGTAACAAATTTAGAGATAATTTTGTTCAAAAGAAAATAATAATCATATCACTCCATTAATCACAGATACCAAGATCATATGAAAAATATGGCAACTAATTTAAGGCCAGTTAATCATAAATCACCTAAAAATAAGGCTAGAAGTTCAAGAGTTTGTCCCTCATAAAAAAATCAGGGATAATTTTGCTTCTACTTGTCTATAAAAACATCCAGTAACTGTAGATGTGAAATTAAAGGAAATTGTCTATTAAGGAGTGCAGATGAATCCATTACCTCAAGATGCAGAACCTAGGGTAGGGTGGGGATTAAAATTTGCTGCAAAGTATTATTTAAGGACAACAAAACATTTTTTTTTTCAATTATTGCTTTTAACACTAAAATAGGTCTTGTATGAAGAGATATAACAGTTCCAAGCGCTTCCAAATTCATATCTGCGGTAATTGGCTTAAGCAATAGGAACCGATGGAGCGGCACAACTTTGACAAGTATTATCACTTGGCATTACACGAGCGATGAATATATTTGAGCCCATTGAGCTGAAGCATTCATTCTACTCATTGGTGATCAAACTATTAATTCATCATGAATTGAGATTTTTTTTAAGAAAGAAAGAAGTATATACAGTAAAGCATAAAATCACAAATGATCAAACTGAATACCCTTCAATAGAGGAGGTTGTGGTTGTGGTGGTAAGAACTACCATTGAGATTTCCTTATACCTTAATTACCCTGAAACTTCATATATATTATGTTCATCAGAGATTCTCACAATCCATGTATTGAGAATCCCCCCCTTCTAAAGTACAAAAAAAATTCAATCACGGTATACATTCAATTACAAAATGCTTTATTCAAGAACCAAACAATTTTTTGAGTTGGCTAAGACCCCTTTCCTCCAATACGAGGAAATTTTTGAGACAATAGTCCCTCTAAGCAGCGAATTACGAATCCACATAGTTTTCTGTCTAGACTAAAATTGCATTTCAGATTTACCACATACCAAAACCTAGGTCAAAATTTATCAACATACGTCTAGTTTTCACCCAAACACTATGCGTGACAGGAGAGAGCAAGGAAAAGAAAAAGAGCCCAATCCAAATCATGGATCACTATAAGCAACAACATATAGAAAACTCAAGATCCGACCATGTTCCCATTAAACCTACATACCTAACTTACAAATCAAAATTTCTCTTTTCAAACATGTGAAACTTTCCAATAACACAAACATCAACATGCAAATGAACTGGAAAGTAAAATTTCAACAATCCTCCAAAAGAAAGTCAATTCATTATGTACAACTAGGGCTACCTAGCTTCAGCAACAAAAAAAAGGGGTCCTAATCTTCCAAAAATTCAATACTGTTTCCACTATACACATACATATAAAGCCGAACAAGAAGAAAAATGAAAACTTCAACGCACTGTTTCCAGTAAATGCCAAAATCAAAGTGAAAAATAACCTCAGTAAAAGCCGATTCTTCGTGCAATTGCACCCCTTCCCCTGCATGGTACACCCTGCCGAAACCAACAGCATAATTGAGGCAAAAGCTGGATAATGCGAGGGTTTCCATAACATTATAGGGTTGAGGATTCACGGGGAAAGGATCTGTATAATGGATTCGCATTGGGTGATAATTTAGCGGATCTTTTGCAGCCAGATTTGATGAAAACAGAAAGGAAAATTGTTCGCGGTTTTTGTGTGTGTTCATGGGTTTTGGTGCTCCTGATTTTTCTAAACCGACTCGGTTAATTTACGGGTCGGGTTATATTATTAGATAATTAAACCCATGAATAAACAGATCCAGCCCATTAATCGGCCTACCCATGTTTGAAAATGGCTTAATCCCACTTTGCACCCTTAAAATATAGTTTTTTACACTTTGCACCCTCAAAAAAAATTAATAACACTTTGCACCATCAAAACACAATAAATTATGCAAAGTGGAAATACCAGAAGTCGTACTTTTTACATAACGCGACTTTAGTCAAAAGAATTGGGGGACAACCAGACAGGTATCGCAGTCTCCGCTGCAAGTAAAAACCCCAGCCAGGACCGAAACTCGGAACTGGGTTGCGAAAAAGCACTGAGCCAACTCAGTCGAAGGGAATAACAGGTGCTGCTAATCTGCACCGGTCGGAGGGTTAGGGGAAAATGGCGAAGGTTCCGTTAGGTTGCGAACCGGTGGTCGGTTCGCTAACGCCGTCGAAGAAGCGGGAGTACAGGGTCACCAACAGACTCCAGGAAGGCAAACGCCCAATTTACGCCGTCGTTTTCAACTTCATCGACTCGCGTTATTTCAACGCCTTCGCCACAGCCGGTGGCAATCGCGTACCTACTCTTACTCCTCTCACTAAGATACATTTCAATTTTATTTGTTTCCTATTTTTATCCATGAGAATTTGTGTGCAAATAGAAGGTTTTTTTTATTAAATTTTGCGTCATTTTTTGGGTGTGTTTCAGGTGACTGTGTACCAATGCCTAGAAGGTGGTGTTATAGCTGTGCTGCAGTCATACATTGATGAAGATGTAAGAGTTTTCAACTCATTGTTAATTGAATTTGATTTCTTAACGATAAGCCGTATTCTTAGACAGTATCTGGTATTCCGTTTGCTGTGTAGATCAGAAAGATGAATCGTTTTACACTGTCAGTTGGGCTTGCAATACAGACGGAACTCCGTTTTTGGTGGCTGGTGGACTTAATGGAATTATCCGTGTTATTGATACTGGCAGTGAGAAGATATACAAGGTACATTTTACGGTGAATCTGAATATTTGAGCTTCCATAGTAATTTGCAGTCTATCATTGTTTGCATCATATGAAATGTAGGATGATTTTGTTTGGAAAGAGTTCTTTCATATTTTATTTTGTCTGCAGAGTTTTGTAGGACATGGGGATTCAATTAATGAAATTCGAACTCAGCCACTGAAACCATCACTTGTTCTATCAGCAAGCAAAGTAAGTGATCTATTGATCTCTGTTTGTATATGCACCGACTGAATATTACTATTATACCTATAAATGTGAGATGACCAATTTCTTGTACCATCTTAAAAAATATGAGGTTAATGATTGCCGTATTCGCTAGAATAAAACTTGTTTGACAAAAATATGGATCAGGATGAATCTGTGCGCCTGTGGAATATTCATACGGGGATATGCATTTTGATATTTGCCGGTGCTGGTGGGCATCGCAATGAAGTACTCAGTGTGGTACGTGAGCATATATATATATATATTGGAATACGAGGATTCTGTGTTGATGTGGCATTTGAGCGTTCTACTTTTCTTGGGCTATGGCTAATGCAGGACTTCCATCCTTCCAACATATACCACATAGCAAGCTGTGGAATGGATAATACTGTCAAGATCTGGTCGATGAAAGGTAGAGTGATCCTATCTAGGGGTGTAAACGAGCCGAGCTCGAGCCGAGCTCGCCTCTTTTGGCTGGCTCGAGCTCGAGCTCGAGTATATTTTGTCGAGCTCGAGCTCGAGCTCGAGCTCGCGAGCTCCTCTTTTTTTGGCTCGAGCTCGAGCTCGTGTCAGTTGTGTCGAGCTCGAGCTCGAGCTCGAGCTCGAGCCCATTGTCTTTTTTTTTTTTTTTTTTTAAATATTTTTTTAATTATTATTTTATTATTAAGAATTATTTAAAAAAATAAAAAATAAAAACTAAATTGTAATTATATATATTTTTAATATTTGTATTTATTTCTATAATATTTTACATTATTATACATTATTTAAATAAAAATAACATATAAAAAATAAAAAATAAATAATAATAAATCCGGCTCGCGAGCCGGCTCGCGAGCTCATGAACAACTGAAAACCGGCTCGAGCTCGGCTCATCAGAAAGCACGAGCTCGAAAATTTCGAGTTCGAGTTCGAGCTTTTTACGAGCCGGCTCTTCGAGCTCACGAGTCGGCTCGGCTCGTTTACACCCCTAATCCTATCTGCTTATTTTATAATTTTCAATACAAAATTACTTGCAATATGATGAAATATGAATGCAGTTGTTCAAAATAGTTTTTTTTTTTTCGTTTCCACTTTCCAATTGTTAAGATTAGATGCTTACGGTGGTTCAACTGCAACCTAAATTTTGCTTGGTAACATTAACAATCAAGTTTTCCAACTTGCAATTAAAGCCTAGTTTCCGAAGTACCTTAATTTCTCATCTTAAATGATGCTAACAGCACCTAGTTGATCCATTATACTCTTATAAGAACTTCTAAATTTTAAGAATCATTTGCACCATTGATATTCGGAAACATGTTAGAATTAAAATAAAAACAGTTTTATCACATTTATAGTTATTTGCTACCGTGATAAATTCCGTGATGATTTCGACACTCTTAGACATATTCCTCGATACCAAATTCACAACGCTTAGGCAACAACTTACGATTTAGGTTCTACAGTTTAGCCCCATTCACGGCACCCTGTAACAGATTTTCCTCGGTTGACAGTTTTGAGTGTCATAAATATCATGCCCTACTTTGTTTGTTAACCTATGAAATTTCACTCCGACAACCATAACTCATATATGAAGTTCAGACTATGTAATTAGCATATGCATGCAGTAACCAATCTGTTCAATCTTCTTAGTTGCACAGTTGATCAATTGTAATTTT